AATCCATGCTCGATGCGTTGCCGACACGTCTACGTGCCGTCGAAGTCCCCCCCTTATAAAAAAGCCAAAGCCAAAGCCAAATCGAGAGCGAGAAGAAAAGAGGAGCAGAAGAAGATAATAAAAAAGGAAAAAGAAAACTCATGCACCGCGTCCCTCCCTCCTTCATCATTTACCTCCGTCCCCGCGTCTCAGAGGCCTCTAGGAAAGACGGATCCTTAATACTGCCTCCTGCGTCGTCTAGTCCCGCGACTGGTCTGTTGTAGCTAAAGTTGACAAACTGGTCCTGCATCGTCTTTGACAGCACAAAGTCGTCGGGCACGGAGTCTTGGGCGGGCTCGTTCTTGAAGATGTCGTCGACGTTGCTGACGTCGGAAGCACTGGCCTGCCACGTACAACCGCCGTCTGTCAGCATACGTTCGGGAAGAGGAATCTGGCCCCCGGGTTACACAGGGGCCTCCATGATGGGTCAGTTGGGGAAGAGAGACTTACCACGTTGGGTTTGAACGTCGGTTCGTATTTTCGCTGCAGAAGCTTCTTCCAGTCGATGCCGTGGAAGAAGGGGTGTGACTTGATTTCGGTAGAGCCGTTGACTCCCAATCTCTTGTTGGGGTTTCGATCCAGGAGCTTGGTCAGGAGGTCCCTGGCGGCCGGGGGGACGACATCGTAGCCGGGGAAGTTGAGAGGGGCTGTCAGGATCTTGCGATACATTTCGTTTGTGTTCTCGTCATAAAACGGCGGCAGACCCGTTAACATTTCGTACAGCAGCACGCCTAGCGTCCACCAGTCGACTGTCTTGCCGTAGCCCTCGCCCTTGAGCAGCTCTGGTGCTAGGTATTCAGGGGTACCGACAAAGGTATTGGTGGAATCTTCGTCCTTCATCTCTAACTTGCAGAGCCCAAAGTCACAAAGAGCAATGTGGCCCTGGTAGTCGAGGAGGATGTTTTCGGGCTTCAGATCTCGATAGATGACGTTGAAGCCGTGCAGACACTCAAGCGCGCAAAGCAGCTCTGCAGTGTAAAAGCGAGAGCGGTTAATATCGAAGCGCCCTTCTTTAGATAGATGGAAGAATAACTCTCCGCCGTTGACAAAGGCCAGCACGAAGTAGAGCTTTTCGGGAGACTGGAAACTGAACTTTAACGGGACGATGAACGGATTGTTGATTTGGGCGAGCACGGAACGTTCCGCGAGCGTGTGCGTTACTTCGGACCGAGTGATGATTTTGGCCTTTCGGATTGTCTTGATGGCGTAGATGCGGCCGGTGTCCTTCTTCCGAACCTGCATGACCTTTCCAAAGCTACCCTTGCCAACTAGGGTGAGGAGGTCAAAATCGTCGATGGTGAGCTTGCCGACGCGGTTTTCGACGAAATTGACGCCAATCTGAAGTTTGCCTGTTCCATTTTGTAAGTCAAACCAGCCCAGGCCACTAAAGGCCTGGCCCTGCTGCGGTTTTTCTGCCTGGCCCTTTTTGCCCGCCTGCGCGGCGTCGGGAACGGCTTCAAATCTGGGATTCACGCGGACGGCGCCCAAGAAAATGTCCTGGGTCCTGCCTGTGCCTGCAGCCGCCGCCGGGTTTCTCATGAAGAGCTGGACGGTCAATTCGCCAACACGGGACACGTCAAACTTGTACTGGGTGTTGGAACCAGCCCAGACAGGGTTCTCGGGGTTTCCATCAACAGAGTTGATGAAAACTTGGTTCTTGTCAAAATCCACTAGGGCGTACGGCATGTACTTGCCCGACACACGGCCGTGGTTGGTGGGGATGCCCTTGAAGCCCGACCCGGAGGACGTCTGCGGCCTGTCGAGGCTACCAGAAAAGGCAGAGGCGTTTCGAGTAGATGCCCCCGTGCGCGTAGAGCCGCTCAGCGCATCTCCGGCAGAGTGGGCGCCAGTCGAGTGGCCCGCTGACAGTGCATCTTGATATTCTTCGGGGAGGGAGAGGCCGCGGGCTTCGTAGAGGGTGAGGACGAGGATGCCAGGTTTCGCGGGCTTTATTACGGGCGCCTGTGTGAGGTCCTCTATTGAAAGGGGGAGAGAGGAAACACAAAGTTAGACAAGAATATGAAAGAAAGGGCGGAAATGTGTCTGATGGACGTACCGGAGGCTCTCGCATCTGCGATGCTGTTGACGTCAGACGGGGTGGTGGCACCACTCTTATCCTTGGCCTTGTCTTTGTCCTTGGTAGAGGGTGTTGACGATTTCGAGAAGCCCAGGTGGGTTTCTTTGAGTTCTGAAGAGTGTCCTCCGTCAGCAGGAAGAAGGGAAGAGAAGACAGCTATGGAGACATTATGTGGATTGGCGGATCAGCTGGTTGCAGGCCGAGGCTGGGGGGTAAGGCTGAGGATATTCAGGGTTTGGCGTCCAGCCACCGGACCAAGTCTTTACGCACAGACAAAGAAAGCAGACACGCTGGCAGATTTTGACCGATTGAACATGATGACGATGAGCAGAACGACAGAGACGGGCATCTAGATACCCAAAGACGCAGCAAAGCCCGATCGGGATGGGGGATGCAGAGCAAATCGCCAAACTCACTTTTGGTCAGGTTCCAAGACATGGTTTGCACCAGCGCAGCGAGGCTGGACGATCCAGCAGGGTGAAGGAGTTTGGAGTCGTCCGAGTGCGAGCTGCGACTTGGGATTCGAATCTGGGATTACTGGAATACAGGCCTGGACTTGTGATTCGAACTCGGGATTTGGAATAAATCGGGTGGGGGTGGGCGCAGGATTCGAGGTTCAGGTTCGGGATGGGAGTTTGGTGTATTGGAATCAAAATGGAATTGGCTTTCGGATCAGGTTTGATTTGATGCAATGTGACGGCGGCCACTGACGCGGGAGCGGGGGCGAGCGGCACAGGGGTTGCTGAGCGGGGGTTGGAGGCCTGTGAGGCGCTGGAGGAGAGCCCTGGAGTGCTGTGGCGCGACTTTGCAGCGGGCGTTGGCTGCTGTGCTTTCAATGATGCGCGGACCAGCGATGAAAGGCTGATTCCAATTTACAGCGAGACTGGGCGGATGGAGGTGAATTAACTTTTCAGATTGTGCGCAACAGTGTTTCAGTACAGTATGACTCAAGACTTCACTAGATCTCTTACCATTTCTCAAATACAGAGTCGCAGAGTACTAGGTACTGATTGCACTGCCTCGTGATGACGATTTCGCTCCAAGTCGGAAGATGAAATGGAATTTGATCATCACTTCAAGTCATCCAACAGCAGCAACCAGCGTTACCACCCTTGCTCATTGCTCATGCACAGGAACCCTTACATCCCTAACTTCCAACTCCAGTTCCAGCTCCAGCATCAAAACCCCCCCAAAATACGGGGTGCATAATCAATCAAGCCTCAAACAAGGTACCAAGTAATCCTTAGGAATCCATCCCCCCTGAACAAAACGCAGCTCCAAATCCCCCACATCATACTCAAAACGTCCCATCTCATATCCCAGTACACACTAAACAGTTTACGAAGAAACCGCGGCCCGGGATTTGTCATTGCCGTTCTCTCTCACTCTCACCTTTTTTCTCACTAGTACCAAGTTGGGCGAAGGGGTCCAATTGCGTCATGCACGCGATGCTCAGAAACTGGAGCCGAATCGATGGAATATTTTTCCTTAGCCCCTCATTGGGAAACTTTTTTGTCATTTTGTGTGTCTAGACTCGATCGAACCTTTTTATTGTAATTATTTTTACTTCTTTTTTTCCCTGTTTGTAATATCAAGAGGGGAGAATTATATAACATAACAATTACAACTCTCTGGGAACTATTTAACTCCAAGCCTCTTCCCCAACTATACCTTCAACCCCTCCAACAAACCAACCTCCACACAAACTCACAACTTACACAACCAACACCATACCCATCCGAAAACAACACAATCCGCCCATCATGATCTTCAACATCTTCTCCCGCCTCGCCCGCCCCTTCACCACCGCCTCCCGCCTCTCCGTCGCCCCGGAATCCTCCTCCGCAGCCGCTTCCACCATCCCCGAGGGCGCCCAGCGCTGCACCGTCGCCGCCGGCTGCTACTGGGGCACCGAGCACCTCTACCGCAGACACTTTTCCGGCAAGGGCCTGATTGACGCAAAGGTCGGCTTTATTGGTGGTGATTTGGACAACCCGACGTACCGCGCCGTCTGCGGCGGAAAGACTGGCCGTAAGTATACATATAACACAGCAAACCCCTTCCTCTGAGGATAAACCTCAAACTGATACTCACACGTATAAGCAGACGCCGAGGCCGCAGAGCTCATCTTCGACCCAACCCAAGTCTCCTACCGCCAGCTCCTCGAGTTCTTCTACCGCATGCACGACCCCACGACCCTCAACGCCCAGGGCCCGGACACCGGCCCCCAGTACCGCTCCGCCATCTACTTCCACTCTCCCGAGCAAGAGGCAATCGCCCGCGAAGTCACCGAAAAGGCAAACGCCCAGTGGTGGGGCGGCAAGATCGTCACCGAGATTGCGCCCGCGGGACAGTGGTGGACGGCCGAGGAGTATCACCAGCTGTATCTCGAGAAGAACCCTTCGGGGTATGAGTGCCCGAGCCACTTCTTGAGGCCGTTCAAGGACCTCGAGTAAGATTGGAGACGAGGGTGAAAGAGACGAGAGGGAAATCATGGACAAGATGAAGGAAACTTGTCCGTGAGCGATACGTAATTCAACATTCTTCACAGTATACCCATTTGTATATATATTCGCACATTCACAGCGCACTCATTGCAAGTTCAACCAAAGGGGTCATGTAGTCTTAATCAATACACTGCAACAATTGAATCTTTATTTCATTTCAGTTTTATTAATTTTTTTGTACATGTTTTTTCTCTTTCAATTCCTTCACTTATTGATACAATGGAAGTGCTGTGCTCCCGTAGAAGAGTATTTCATAAATAATTCATCCAATGAGGGGAGTTTATAACCTCTCGCAACCAAGTTTTTTTCTTGAGGGGAAAGAAAAAAATTAACCCATAAAACACCCCCGCAATCAATAGTCTCCGCGCTTCATTCCTCTATTTTCTGCGGTTCTGGTTCAGCATGAGAATCTGCACCATGCGGATGAAAATGTTCAAAAAGTCCAGCTCCAGCGAGATGCTCTCGTTGACGGGATCCCGCTTAATCACTCCGGCCTGCGCAAGGCGAGCGTGGTGCAGCACCTTTTGCACATCATACAGCGTGAAGCCGCCAAAGACGGCGAGACCTCCGTACAACCAGATGTTCTCAGTAAAGGCCAGTGTTCGGACGGCGGTGGCGGGGATGATCAGAGGCGCAAGACCAGAGGCGGCGACGATGGCGGCACCGGCCAGCAGAGGTCCACCGATGTACAGGTACTTCTCCTGCTTGGCGGTGGCACCGACGACGGACAGCGAACCCATCATGGCAATGGTGTAGAGACCGGCACGGGCGAGCAGAGGACCAGGGACAAAGGCCAGCAGAGGGGCAACAAAGGCGGCCTGAGTGGCGTTGAAAGCAGTCCAGAGAGCGTACTTGGGAACGTAGCTATTGAATGCGCATGTTAGTAAACCATACCATTTCCTTCTTTAAAAGCACGACAGGGTTTAATACTCACTTGTCAGGGCTAATGGATCGAGTTCCAATCATCGTAGCAAAGCTGAGCGCCAATCCTCCCAGTCCAACAACCCACGGGTTCGTCACCATCAGTCGGTACACAAATCCAGTCTGCACCATCTGTCTCGCCGTCAATCCGATGATGCCAACGCCGAGACCAGTGTGCAAAAATGTGTTGTTCAGATACTCCCGCTCAAAAAGCGGCATGCCTCCATCCTCTCTCGTCTCGCGGTTGAAGACGGTATTGATGGCAACCAGCGTACCGCCAAAGATGGCGCCTCCGACGAGCAGCTTTCGCAGCCCTGTTCCGCTCGCCGCCGCCTGGTGTCGGGTGGAAGCCTCCTGGTAATATGATCGTGCGAAGCCATGGCGAGTCGTCGCTGAGGCCACGCGGGAGGTGAAGAAGGCGCTGGTCGGCTTGGGTGTCTGGTGGTGGAAGCTTCGCATCGACGTCCGGAACGCAGATTTCGAGAGTGCAGGGAGCAGCCGCTGCTGCGCAATGCGCGCGGGGCCCTGCTGAATGCTCAGCGTAAATGACATTGCTGGGACCGCTAGTCCTTGTAATTTGGCTAGGTGTTTATTCTGTGTCGATATATGGTGATTGATGTGAAGCGCAATGCAATGGTTTGTCCAATGCGGGGAGATGGCAGTTGGTGAATTATATGAGTAAGAAACTCTTGCCGCCGGCTCCAGAATAATATACAGCTCTCGTCGCAGTAAAGCCGGGCCATGACGTTGGCCCGATACCTGCGCTACCTAAATCCGCGTCACGTGTTGGAAGCCTGTAGAAAGCTCCGGCAGTGGCGCCGAAGGTTCAAGCACAGCTTACAATAGGTATTCGATGACTAATGCCGCAGTTTTCCTGTATGGCTTCAGATCAATTTCTTGCAGCTTGGATTTCGGTACTCCGAACTCCGCCAAAGTCCGCGTGCTTCTGATGTTCCCTATGTTTCTAGCTTGTCAAGCCGTGTTTTTCCTTTCCATTAAATCGTTCAATATGCAATTACGTGCTATCCAAATACATACATGTTCCCATCTAACTGCCGACCAAAAATGCATCAACAAGGGAGAGATTGTCCAGCCCCAAGTACCCGGCTCATCACCCTTATTTCGTACCCATTTGCTTTGTAATATAGCCATCCAGAGAAGAAAAATCAACCAGTAAAAGCTCCCCGTCATGCCCCTTTCATGAGTGTCAATAGATACATGTTGTTTGATGCTATAAAGTACACCTCGTACAAAAGAAAAACCCCCCTCATAAAACATCAAGATGGATAATCATGCTGTCGCTAATACAATGATGATGGTGGTGATGATGATGACCTTGTTAATAAGCCATATCATCTAAGCCCGTCAGTTCCCTTTTCTATCACAAACTTGACAGGCGGCCTCCTTTTCTTGCCCATAAGGGTAGCGCCAGGCCTCGGGAAGAAGCTTGGTGTGGTGAGCATCGCTACACTCATCTTCCGTGGCGTTGGCAAGTCTCCAAGCATGCTGTCAAACGCTGTCGTAGGCCAGCTGTTCACTGATGTCAGCTCCGTCTTTGCTGTCCGGCTGTCGAACCCCCATTTCGAAACACTGCCTGCTCGAAGCCAAGGCTCAAGGTTGCGGCACTGGCTGACATCGACCCACTTGAGGCGTGTGCAGCCTCTGAGGATGTATTCCAGGCCTTTGCCCGTCACGCGGACACATCCTCGAACGCTAAGACCCTCGAGCTCGTTAAGATGCAGAGCGACGCTCTCCAAGCTGCCATCGCTCACGGCGCTGCCGCAGAATGCCAGCCTTAGCTCTTTCAGCTTCGGCAGGCCAAGAGCGACAACCTCTGTTGCAGTGTCGGAGAGTGCGCAGCAAAAGGACAAGTCGAGATGGGTCAAGTTCTTGGCTGCGTTGACGAGTGCTACGATGGCGTTGTCAGAGAGGTAAGTGCAGTCTGCCAGGCACAGTTGAGTCAGCTTCTCAAATTTGAACTGAGCCCACGACTGGAACCCTGCGTCCGTAATCGATGTGCAGCGGGTGAGAGACAGAGACTCGAGCCGGCTCGAGGCATGGGCGGCGAGATGGCCCATTGATCGATCAGTAATGTGTTTGCAGTATGATAAGTTCAGTGTGTTCAACTTGGAGCAACCAATAACTGTTCCCGGTGCTGGCATAGTAGGCGAAGGTTGTTGGGCAGCCTTCTCCTTTGCCTTCTTCCCCGAGCTCGATATCACAACCTTGCTGCTGCTCACGGGCGGCGGTTCGGGAACAACCCATCCGACAACTCGGCCAAGGAGGTTGTCTCCAACTTTTCGGCAGTTGCTCCAGTCGACTTCCCTGAGGCCCTTGGCGTTTTCGCTCATTTCGAGAATCTGGTTCGCCGAGACGTCCCATAGCGAGCGCATCCTCCACTTCTGCACATTCTTACCACAGGTCCGCCACAGCACGGAAAACCCTTCGTCAGTGATGTGGAAGCAATTATTCAGATCCATGACGAGAGCCCGAGTTCCAACAAAGGGAGCAATACTGTCGATAATAGCTTGGTCTGTCACCCTCCTGTTATAGTGGGAGAGGTCGACATATGTGCACAACTTTGGAGACGTAGTGAGGAGAGTCTTCCAGTGAGAACAGACACGCCGCAGCCTCAAAAGTTCGCCAACTTCGGCATACTGAAAAATTTGTACCAGGATGTTGTCTGTGATAGATGAAGGCTGAAGAGAATGCGGCCGGTGAGACAGCGTCTTGACTCGTTTTGCTGGTACATCAGATTCAAAGTCTGGAGCAGTCCAAGCAATGGGAGATGATGGCTGTGCTAACGGGGATCGCGCTCCATTTTGTCGAGTAGGCGTGGTTGGAGAAGCCTCGGTGGGCGTGGTCGGCGGTGCTATTGAATGGCGCCTTCGATTTCTCAAGTTTTCCATATCAACACTCAAAAAAGGATCGGGGTCCTTTGGCTCCATGACTTCCGAATCATCCCTAGGAGTCGCAGATATGGGCTTGAGAGGTGTTGCGAAGTTGTCATCAGGAAGGCTAAGGCGGGCGAGTCTCGGCGTTGGAGGGTCTGACTTGCTCGTCTTGCCGTGCTGGTCTGCGTCGGCCATGTCGACATCGTCGTCACGGTAGTTGTAGCGATGCCATGCTGTTTGCTCCACCTGTAATTTGATATCCGGGGGACATCGTGTCCACAGCTCATCCAGGGTTTCACCCGGTATCATTAAGCATTCCACCGTCGTGATTGATCTGACCGTTGCCGTTCGACCACGAGACAGGCCCAAACTAGCGACCTCTCCAAAGTATTGTCCAGTTTTCAGTCGTGGCCTTTTTTGGATCGATCTGGTCAGGCTTTCTGCTTCTTTATCTGTCTTCGGCTGTTGATGAATAACCTCTGCTTCGCCTCGTACAACGAAAAAGATCTCATGACCAGGGGTGCCTTGGCATACTATGTCGGTGAAGGGCGGGTAGGTTTTCGGTTGCACACTTAATCCTAGAAAGTGGAGGATGTCAGGCGGCAGAGAGGTAAAGAGAGGGAGCTCTTTGAGCGTCTTTCGGATGTTGACAAAACCGCTACCCAGAGCACTGCCGAGGGCCGGGTCTTCGATTACGCTGGGGCTTGGAGATTTCCGCTTCTTGGACTTGATCACCGCGCCGTCTTTGATCGCGCCGGTCTCTCCAGTCGACACTTCGCCTGGGTTCGTAGTGCGTGGAGTGAACTCGCTTTTGGGGGATTTGAGGGAGGCGCCACGTTCCAGTCGTTTTTTCTTGAGCACGCTTAGTCTTTCCTGCGCTTCCTGTCGAATGGCCTTCTCCATCTCTGGGAAGCTTGGCATGACCGTTTGAAGGTCTTCCTTTTTCAACACCAGCAGCAGGCACTTGGTTCGGGCGACGATGGTGGCGGTCCTAGGCATGTCCATGAGCACTCCGATCTCGCCGAAAAAGGCGCCAGCTTTGAGTTCTGCGTAAACGGCCTCGCCGTCTCTCGAGGTGACGGCGACAACGCCTCGCACCAGCCAGTACATGGCCTTTGCGTCATCCCCCTCCGTGACAATGTGGTCGTTGGGTCCATGTACTTGCGGTTTCAAGTGATTGCCAATTGCTACTAAAAACTCTTCCGACGCAGAAAGAAAGAGGGGAAAGGCTCTGATGCGATCTACCAGATCCAATGGCATGTCTCTGATGGTCGAGGCGGTAAGCGGGGATGGTCGCATCGGCCGTGTAGGGTTATTTTCGACGTTGAATGACCGGATGAGAGAGACTGGATCTGATTCTGCGCCGTTGCCATGTTGATGTCCCAGCGCCCGATAGTGCGAAGGCGCACTCGGAGAGCGATTGCGTCTCATTGTGATGCTCGGCCGGGTGGGATCTGGGTGCGGCTACCCTTGCAGGGTCGACTTGTTTCAAGGCGCGCTGAAGCCCTTTTGCGGTTACCCGCACCGCACGTTCCCAAGCAGCCTCAGAGATACTGCCTGCTCAGGGCGAGCGTCTCCCACGCTGCCTTGGATTAATCGGTTTTTGCGTGTGTCCGCGAGTTGTAAGTCTTCGCTGCTGAGGTTGGTAGTGTTGTGATAAACCCCGGACCATGCTCTTTCGGATGAGGCTAACGGATGCCCTGCTGTCGCTCATACAGTAGCGGCGGCTTCGCATATATTCTTCGCAACGGAACTCATCTACCGACAAGGTTGATACAAACGCTTCGGAATTATGCAGCGGGTAAGCGATATCGGGCCAGGGATGTCGCGGTGATGGCGGCGGTGCCCGACTGTCACCGACTATTTCGTCGAAAGGAGCGAAAGCTTGGAGGTGGTGCAAAGCTTCGCTATGCTGACGTCGACCCAAGAATGGATGAAAAACGAACCCTCAGCGACCCCGGCCACCGTTTATGGTCACTGGGCTCTGATTCTAGAGCGGAAGCGGTCGCGTGCCGGCAGCCAACAGGCTAGGTCGAGGGCATTAGCAAACAACGACAGCCCAGCAAAGTGGCGGAGAGGTTTCTCACAGAGGATATAGCAATCCCCGTGGGCAACGCTATAACGTCAGGAGTAGCCAGTCGTAAGTGTAAAGGGGTGTGTCCAGGCCGTGTCTGCTATGCGACCTCGAGGATTAGTGAGCAGATGAAATCGAGTCCAGGCCGTCGAGTTGGAGAGAAGATGAGGGAGGGTCGAAGGACAGCCAGAGGGTCATTGCGCAAAAGAGACAGACACGCACACACATGCACACACACACCATATTAGACAATCAGGCCGGCTACGGTATGGATGCTGCAGCTTTTTGACGTTGACGTGGGGTAGCTCCAAGCGGTGGGTTTTTTCCAAGGTTGGCGTGGCGAGCTGGCCGTTAGCCTCCACTGGCTTCCAGCGAGCGACAGCCTGCAGAAGCCCTGCAGCACCAAGCAAACAACAGCCGAAATGATGGAAGATCAGCGGCAACCCCGAAAGGAAAATCCCCCCCAAAAAGGACCGCCACGATTTCGAGGGGGTGTGTGTCCAAGTGAAGGGCAATGAGACCGGATTGAGAGGATGACAGATTGTCGAGCCTTGTCGAGGCAAGGTGTGTATGCGCCTGTACTCGCACAAATACAGTACAACAGCAATGGGAAGTACAGGTACTCCGTGCAGCCAAAGCAGTTGTACCAGCCCAGACAGTACCCAAGAGCCTCAGGACAGGGCTAGCAAACAACAAGGTTTACGTTGAAATTTCAGATTGATGCGACATCAGATCCATGCAGCGAACAGACGAAAAATTTTGATCCACGTCGCATGTCTTCTTTGATAGTCCTTAGTTGGCATACACATTAAGCAGCTGGAACGGCCTGCATCGGGCACTACGAGTAATGAGATTGCCTTCCATCTCTTCGGTGAAGGTGCCCTGCTATGCTGGCATTTTATCGTGCCGAAGTTCTAACCAAAGGGAGGCTGGAGCCGAGCTACCTACCGGCTTAATGCCGAAATCTGCATGACGCCAGCGGCGCCAATGCTTTCCATTTCCACAACGAAGGTCCCCTGAGAACGTGGCAATGCTTGCAGCCTTCAGAAAGGAAAAAAAAACAAATGATGATTTCGTGCCTATTATGTGGGATGTGTCGAGTTACACGTCGATGGCATATATCTTGACAGCACCAGATAGATCTACCAACGTTTGTGCATCTCGCTTGAAACACACGGTGGATTAGATTGCTAACCGAAGCCTCGCAGAATCCCAAGAGATCCGTCTAATGGTACCCTGCCTAGCAGGCCAAGAATACATGCGAATATCAACACAGCAGGTAGATGTACATGCGCAACCACCGTTCAATGAAACGCCACCACGATCCTTCAAGGCTGACATGCGCAGGACATCAAATCTCTTCTAATCAACTAGACAGTGTTTGCTGGCCATTCAATTGTATTTTGGATCCCTCTGTTACACCACCACGCACTCACTAATTACGGCGCCGTTGCCACGCACCGCTGCATCCGAGTCTGTAGAGTCGAGTGCTTGACTGAGTCAAGGTGTACAGGTACTACAGGTTTAGTACGGCTTCCTGCCGCACGGGGCGCTAAACGATCCATGCGCTCGGGATGGAACTGAGCATAACGCATGGACCAGGGCCCCTAGCAGGAAGAAGAGATACAGAAGAATGTTGGAAGCCTAGCTGCCAGACGGCCCTTCTGAACCATCCATGATCCTTGTGCTGTTCGGGTGTCTTTTTTGCAGCTAGCCGTCGCGCGGATCTCACAGCAAGGATACATATACGAAGAAGCTATCTATCTTTCTAGAAGGAAACAAGAAGAAACAAAAAAAGGAAAATGAGAGCGCGACGAAAGAAGCGCAAGGGAATAGAAACGGCATCGTAGATACATATTCCCCGTGCCTTGCCGTAATATTACGCGTGCCTTGCATATTCCTCCAGAAGCCAAGCCGCATGCGCACCCTTTCCGCGCTCACACTCCCTCCTAAACGCACTGCTACCACATGCACCTAGGACAAGCGTTCCGTAGCGATGCTGACCTGGGCTTAATCGTGCATGTACGGCTCGGTATATAAATAGAGCAGGTCGAGCCATTCCTACCTGGGCAGTTCCAAGCATCAGCACTCACCAGAATGGAATTTCAAGGCCATCAATATCTTTTCTTACTGATTAGTGCCAGGTAACACTTGGCTGCTCGGCATGCACGACTGACTACTGTACGCCTTTTGACGGCGAAATTGGAGAATAATCTCCGTCTGACCTACAAAGATCCAATGGCGGAGTCCCCATGTGGTATAAGCACAGGTACGAGTACAGGTATGTCTCAAGTTGAGCTGTTTACTTCAGACACCACTAAACTCGTCCATGCCGCATTACAACACACTTACCTGCCCTACTTTACCTTGGGTTTCATCGTTGACATCACCCACAGCACCGCCCTCTCTCACCCTCATTTCTGTTTCATCTTACCATAGCCGTACAGAATCTAATCTCATCATGGGACTTGATATCATTCTGTCATGTACATCGTGTCAGCGCACTTGCGCACATGTCGAAAAGGGGGGCCAAGAAAAGCGCCCCCAAGCTGACTAGAGGCCTCCTCATCGTACCTGCCCTTTCACATTCTGCCGACAATTCCACATCCAGTTGTTTGACCGCCCCGGGTTGTTTTGTTTGCCAGTTTGAGCTTATCAATCTGTTATTTTCCTTTTCTCCTCTCTGGCTTCCTTGTTTGTCAAAGTCCGATTTGCACTCGTCATCATCCGCAAATTTTTCACATCCGTTCCTGGCCTTGACTCGAATGGGCCGAGCTCTCTAAGTTCTTACCGGATGGACCCATTGATGGATCGATCAGATCATTGGCGGAGGAAGAGATCAAATGGGTGTTTCGGCACTGCATCTCTCAAAAAGGGGCACGGCATGTAGTCAGTCATTCAGTCATTGTGATTCATATCCTCTTCATTCAGTTGGCAGATCCCAGTAGCTCTACGGGATCATCATTTTCTAAAATGGCACAGGTCGTACAAAGAGTACACGTACAACCGAAAATGAGAAGGAAATCCTTCGTGAGCCGCCCAGTGGCAGCCCAGGTGCAAATGCATCGCCAATCAAATTGGGTCATTGTCAACATACCATGCCCACGTCTTCGGAGATTTCCGAACTACCAAGCATGCATCCAACCGCTTTTCATCTTGTCCTCCGTAGATCCTTGAACCGTCTCTCGGCTTCACATGTAACCATCGCATCATGTCTATTTTGCAGCTTCCCAGTCGGGGCCTTTAACCCAGCCTGCGACCAAAACAGAGGCCCTAAAAATAATAACCGGGCTCCCTTGAACACATAATCATTCACCCAACGCCGCGGATGTGGTTCCGTAACTCAAACATACTCCCCCCTGCCGCCTTATGGGCTGGTGCTTTTCAAGAACATGTTGAAAACTGCCGAGTCGGTGCACTCCTCGGAAGGGTATCCAAGCTCCTCCAGGAACTGCTCCAGTTCGGCATTCTCTTCCGGTGGGCACTGGATCCCTGCCAGTACCTTGGCCACGTCTCCGCCATATGTACGATACTGGAACAGGCTGATGTTGAACTTTGGTCTCAGAGTTGTCAGGAACTTTTCTAGCGCTCCTGGCCGCTCAGGGAAGTTGAACATGAAGACCCTTTCGTTCCCCACGCCGGTGCGTCCGCCGATGAGATAACGCACATGACTTTTGGCGAGCTCGTCGTTGGATAGATCAGTCACGTCCATGCCCTCGGCTCGGATACGTTCCATAAGTGACCGCACCTCCTCGACCCTTTGGGCAGCCGGTACTGTGATAGAGAGACCGATGAGGACATTGGCAACGTTACCAGATGAGTAGCGGTAGGAAAACTCCGTTACTGGACGAGGCATGATGGTGTCGACGAGCTTGGCAAAGGCCCCAGGACGCTCTGGGATGGTAGCGGCCATCAAGACCTCCTTGCCCTCACCCAATGTGGCACGTTCGGCAACAAATCTCAACCGGTCAAAGTTCATGTTGGCGCCCGAGGTCACCGCAATGAGCGTTCTCTTGGCGTCGACGGAAGGCTGGCGCGCAACGTATTTCTTCAAGCCAGCTATAGACAGGGCGCCCGCCGGCTCCAATCCGGATCTGGTATCGTCGTACATGTCTTTGATGGCAGCGCAGATCTCATCCGTGGAGACCTCGATAACTTCGTCCACAACCTCGCGGCAGATGCGGAACGTCTCCTCTCCAGGGATCTTTACGGCGGCGCCATCTGCAAATAAGCCGACTTCTTGAAGCATGACTCTCTTCCCCAGCTTCAAAGACTGTGCCATGGCATTTGCATCTGATGCCTCAACGCCAATGATTTTAACATGAGGTGCCATTCTCTTGACAAACAAGCCAATGCCTGCTATGAGGCCGCCGCCTCCAACTCCACAAAAGATGGCTTCAACTTTGGCCATGTTGACCTGTCCAAACATTTCATTACCAATGGTCCCTTGGCCGGCAATGACATAGGGGTCGTCGAAAGGAGGAATGTTGATGAGTCCATCGTGCTTCGCACGTCGTGCGCACTCTTCCTTTGCAGCGTCAAAGTCTGCGCCGTGCAAAACCACATGGCCGCCAAGGCGCGCAACATTCAAATGCTTAATGCTTGGCGTGCCCTCAGGCATGACAATGGTGGCGGGAATCTTGAGTTTTCGGGCAGAGTAGGCGACTCCCTGGGCATGGTTTCCGGCCGAACAGCAGACGACACCCTTCCAGCTTTCGGCCGGGTCAAGATGGGCCATCTTATTGTATGCGCCGCGCAGCTTAAAGCTGAAGACGGGCTGCAGATCCTCGCGCTTGAGCAAAACATTGCACTCTAGTCGGTTGCTCAGGTTAACGGCTGGGGACAGCGGCGTGGTCTTGCAGGCCTCGTAAACTCGTGAGGTTGCGCTGGCAATCATGCGCAGGTACTGCTCCGTTAAGCCAAACACGTCAGTCCTCTTGGTCCTACAATCTTCCTTATCTTCGCAAAAGGGAGCAAAAGAAGAAAGAAAAGGCATTGCCCAGAGTTACTCACGTCAGGGTGACCATCGGGAAGTTGAAATTCTTCTGGCACCAGCGATGCGCCCTCTTCGACCGTCTCGGGTGGTGGTGATGGATTCGCGCTGTATTCTGTCAAGGCCATAGCTCTCATGGCCGATGACGTTGATGGCCTGCGAGTCCCATGGGTGCCCGTGGCGCCGTTGGGCATTAATGTTGTGCCATTGAGGCCCGGCATCTCGAAGGCAAATTTTCGAATCGGTGATGCGGATTCTCGTCTTAATTCTGCCTCTTGTTTGTTTGGTGCGGTGTAAAGAAAGAAAGGCCAGTCTGACTGACGCCGGCGAGGATGATGACCTCCGATAAATCGGACCCTCCGAGTTTTTTTTTGGGAAAAAAAGGTGGCGTATACTAGCGACCGCCCCGATGCAATGAGAAGTCCGACAATGCTAATCGGTATGCGGGCATGCTTTTATATGGCGAAAATGGCTCTCTTTGGCAATACAGACGCTTCAGAGCATGTGGAATAAGCCAAGAGGTAAGTTTGTCAAGATACAAGCCAAACCGGCGGAAGATTCCACCAAAGCATGCATGCAATTGAGCTTGGGTGTGCAGAGCTGAGTCAATCAAGACATGGCGCAAGAGCGCATCGATATCGGAGCCCGCATTTGATTGCACTCAAGGCTTCTTATCACCCACTGATTCGATTCAATCCGCGCAGCGCAGCCTTCATTATTACTACAACTCTTTCAGTACAGTAAAAGACCAAGCATATATTACTAACTCCAATGGTATCTAGGACGAATCATCTGCCAGATGAGATAATTCCTTTATGCGCCCAATCTATCATTCCACGTCACCAGCAGCAATCAATCAATACAAGTTTCAAATAACAGCCCATTATGCAAGCAATCATGCAGGGGAATCAAAAACATGGCCACTCCTCTTTCTCCACGCTACTTCTCCAAAGCCATCTCTTCTCAAGACTTGCCAGATTTTCGGACTACCTGCTCATATGTCGGTAGACTTTCCGACGAGCTTGCTGGGTGCAGATCCCCTCGGCTGGTCGGCCGGTCGCGACTCTGGATATCCCGCCATTGAGACCCTTCCGGTTCTGGATCCATGACCCCTTGCTGTGCGGGGTGATACATGGCTTGACTTCTTGAGTTGTCACCACGCTGCATGTAAGGCACGCCACCATTACCAGGTTGAGGTTGCATATTTGAATATTGAGGCACGGGTGAGCGGCGGCCCGCTCGCGAACCAGAGTTCATCAGGGATAGGACCATGTCGGCATCCCTTGCTTTGCGCTCTGCCTTGCGCATTCTCCTACCCATCCGACGCTCTTCCCGACGGCTGACCATCATTTGTGGTGGGTAAGCGGCATAAGGGGAGGCATTGTAGTTGTTGCTACCACAGCCGTTGTTGTAGCCATTATTGTAGCCGTTGTTGTAGCTATTGGGATAACCACCGCTGTAGTTGTTGCTGCGGCCGTTGCTTTGGTTGTCGTAGTATTGGCCGTTGTTGTATCCATTGTTATATCCATTATTGCGGTTTTGCCGACCGTTATCGTCGTGGTTGGCCATTGTTCGAGCGGCGGCGGCCACGAGGCCAATAAGCAGGGCCATTATTTGTTTTTGGTGGTGATTGGACGAGTTTGGAGAGTAAGTAATACTATGCAGGTGATGTAGCCGAGACGTTGATGTCTTGTGTAAGCGGCGCCGAGGAAATGATGCGCGAAGGATGAGACGGATGAGACAGGGTGGTTCACAAAAGTCTCCGGTTACAATGATTGATTAAAAGAAGACGAGGTATGTAGGGAGTATGTGTGATGAGACAATGAGAGATAAGAGACGAATCTTTATACAAGTTTAAAGCTACTATGCTAACGATGCAAATTCCAAATACTAGAGCGAAACTGCATGACGACTTTATATCCTGCATTCGCACCGCCTCTTCCTCTCGAGGCTCAGATCAGGGACCAAGGCTGTGCCTCTCTCCACGCGGCCTCCCAGGAGCGTATTGTGCGTATCTCGAATCGTTCTGCTCGATCTGGCCTAGCCCCTGGAGACGATCCGGCTCCGCGCCTCCACCATCGGGGCCGCATCCACCCAATCGGCCATTTCCAGATCGGAGCGTCAGGACGCCTTGATGCCGACCAGCGGGTTTTTACTGCCTAGTTTTTTCAAAGGGAGGTCAAAAAGACAAGGTTGCTGCCATGAAGTTGAACCCAGACTAAGATCAAACGGTAAAACGAGGTTAAACGAAACCGAAAGAGTCAAGTTGATGCAACTTTGCTTTGCTGGGTACAGTGCCAAAAAGTCTCAGCCACAAATGACACTCATGACGATAGTGACTGCGAGATGTCCCAATAGGCGCGAAGCACGGCGACGCCTCCCACCTGGGTTTCCACTGTGCGTCCTCTGCCGCGATCGTTAGGGTCGCTTGGACGCGGTTTTGGTTTCCTCATAGGTTTCTCCGTCAAATCCAACATGTCCATCTTCTTGTAGTCTTCTGGTGTAACTTGCTTGCCCAGCCCTCTCTTTCGAGATCCTGGCAGCCATCTTGAATCCCGACCCCAGAGATCATCATTCGGGGTTCCGTCCTTACGGTAGTCGGTGGCATTTACAGCATCATGGTCGATTCCGTCCCTTGCCAGAGATACGTGAATGTTGCCAAAAAGTGCTGAGCCCCACCACATGCCAAAGCGTCCTCGACTGTCTCGAGATGTCAGCGCTGCCAAAGCGTTGTGCTTAATCCAACCCAGATACGCGTGACAAGCTGATTTGTGAGCAGCCTTGACACGAGTGAAGCCATCCACGTCGACGTAATCGCCATCGTTGAGGTTATCCTCATCCAAGGGCCGACAAAACGCAGTCAGATGGTGAAAGTATATGCCCTTGAATGTCTGGCCGTCCTGAGAGCATGTTCCACTTGCATCACACTTCTCTTCTAGGATACCACCCCGACCAAGTCCTCTCCATTTGGGCAGCTTTGCAGATACATCCACCGAATCTATTGGCCGGTTCGTCTTCAAGCTCCAGCCGGTGGCCTTGATGACGGCCTGGATAAGGTTATGGCCGTCTTCTAGGTACGAGGGGCTCCCCGTCACATCCCACAGCCCTCGTTGGCCAGTGAGTAGCACGCCCTGGTTGTAAGTGTACACCATTTCATCGCGAATGTTGCACTCCACGCCCCCATGCTTTCGTCGGCCGACGTGAAACCCATCAGCATACAGGCCTTCACGGTTCATCATGTTGCTGTTTACGAGCCATTTGTAGCCCTCAATCGCCGCTTGGAGATGTAGCGGATCCTTATCAGCGACACTTCCGTTGCTCATGTGCTGATACATGGAAATCGAAGCTGAAATGTACAGCTCATTCGTGATGGCGTTCTTGTAAGGCTCCAGACGGGGGTTCCAGACCATGCCGCCGTGGCACAATGCCGTATCCCAGCCCTGAGCCCCAAGAAGCCAGAAGCTTTTCGCCCGGCTCTGGAAGGACGGGATCCAGAGATGGCCGCGCCATGGCAGCAATGCCAAAGCGGCATGGACGTCAGTAGGGAAACTAGCATTGGGGCTGTGCTCAGCTTCGGGGAAGCGGATGCCGTCATGCGATCGAGCGAAATTCACGGCCTCTATCCAGCCAAGCACCACCCATAATATGTCATCAAAGGCCTAGATAGGAATGTCTCTCTAAGCCAAGGATATAACTTGGGGAATATAACTTGGGGACAAGCGAGCAATGGGAAGGGCATACCTGGTCTCGGATGGCAACTATATCCTGCGCAAAGTGATAGCCAACCACTTGGTCGTATACTGACGAGATGAGGTTTTCTTGCGCTTCTCGGATACTGGGCGTAATGCCCGGGACGATCAAGTCTATCGACTTGGTGAGGGTTGACAGCATGCCAGAAACGACGGTCTCGGTGACTGCCGCGGTCCAGTCTATCGCCGATGGCCATGTATTTTGTCCAATTTGGTAGTATTCATTCTGTAGCACGGCGAGCGCGGAGAAGGCATCTTCGAGGATTCCAGTCTTTGCCTCATCGGAGGCGAGATCTCTTGCGGGGATGTGCAGGAAAGAACCTGGTGGCGGGCGACAGTTGGTCGCCACGGCATATATGGAGCAATATTCTTGTTTGGTGTGTTTATATGAGGCGATCACCACGGGGAGGAAAGCAAGGATAAACATGACGGTATGTATACATGTAATGAATAAGGTTGGTTATGGACAAGAAGGGGCAAATGAGCGTATGTAGCTGAAGAGTAGCATCTATCAGTGCAGATGCTATTCAGATGAAGAATAAAAATGTTTGTCTTATGAATGTGAGGCGAGTTGATGAAGTTAATACAATTGAGAGCATCGGGCTGATGTTTTGGGTATGTCAAATGACTGCCTTACAAGTTAGAGTGTGTCTCAGCTTAGCTCCCATTGTTCTTGGACTACCTATGCGGTACCAGGCAGAATCCTTTGCTAGCATGAAGATGTGCGTATAAACAAAGGTATTACGCAAGTACTTTAAAGTGCCGAACCAATAAATCGGATGTCATGGGGCTCGTTTCCATACCAGCGCTGATCTACCCCTCAGCCGCAAGTCCTCTACTAGAACCTCATTCAATTCAAGACGTCTCATGGATTATGCCAATCCCAACTAGTACTTTAGCTTAATTGACGTTTTTACCATTCATTTACTCGCATTTTCTCTGAATCTCATATGTGATTATCTTGTTTTCGTGGCCATGAGTTCGACCACATGCCTTTCTGATGGAGCTACAGGGTATGTTCATTGGTGACCACTTCAACTGCTCCAGCAAGTTAATCATCTAAGGTAACGCAAACTCTATCTCAATAATCTAGATTCGTACAATTAACCCAGTATGAACTGTTATTCTCTATTAAGTGTCATACATTGGCCGAGACTTTTAATGGCCGCCCCAATTTCTCGGAGCTTCGATCCGATGGGCGAGCCGCAAGCCTCTGCTGGAGAAGCCGCAAAGCTTATAAGTTGGAGGTATTCATGGACGGATGGCCGATTAAATAAAGTTTCCAACAAACGAAAAATCACCTGTGTTGAGGTAGATCTATAGGGGCAAACCCATCGAGTGACATATATGTATTCAATTTTGGGGTGGCTTCCCCTCAGAGTGAGCATCAAGACTTCGAAGGATTCGGCCGCAATCCGAGGTTTCCACTAGTATAGTTCATATGTGCAACTTCATACTCCCAACGGCAGAGCAAGCTCGACGTTGTCTTCCATCTTCTCAGATCCCGAGGGCGAATCCAACACGCAGGCTGCAAGAGGACAACTCGCGTTGCTGCTCCAGTTCTACAAGACAACCATCATCATTGAACATAAAATATTCCAATCTCCAACATCCGACCAGGGCAGACATGGTTCGTGTTACCAAGGCTCTAAAACGGCCGTTTATCACAGTTTAACAAGTGTGGGAAGACTACCAAGTTGGGCGAGCTATCTGTTGAATGCCAATAATAGTCGCGTCGGACAAGAAAGAGGAGTCCAAGGAGAAGGGTAATGAAGAATGCAAAAAAGAGTATAGTAGAGAGTGCAAGGATGAAACGTCGAATCAGTGCAAGGAGGAGTGTGAGGAAAAGAAAAGCAGTTCTAACAAAGACCAAGGCAAGGGCAAGGCACGCTCACAGCCCGTCAGAGATAAAGAGCATGCTGCCCGAAGGGCTGCACAACTAAGGAGACAATGGGCATTTTGCAAAGGCGATCAATTTCCCTGGATCTTTTGGCAGCTGGTTTGTGCGGAGAGTAACTGGAAAGGATGGTGGGTATTGCAGGTTAAAGATATGAAAGCCTTGAATTGGGAGGTAGATGTAATACCTGCGGAACTCGAGGAGGGGGAATGGTTTGTAAGTAGACCAACTCGTCAGTCACCGTTCCCTTTTGGAGAGGAAAGCAGTGTATTACCGTCTGAAGGAAGGCAGGATGATTTGATGATCTGGTTGGGAAAAGCTAGGTGAGTACTAACAACGTGATGCGGAAGATGGTTCCTGTCTTTACCTCCCCACCTTGCATCTTAGGTAACAGTGCTAATTTGCAGGGTGTTAAAGATCTTTGTGAAGTGCAGATTCGTGTTCTCACCTATGACACCACTGAGGACGCGCAGAATGGCCCAGGGAGAACGCGCTGGTGATTGGGGATGCAGCGCGCGTCGAAGACGAGGCGATCTGCCTATCAGAAATTGTTTCACGTCCGCCCTCCAGAGACATCTTCCCTTGTGGTCTAACCTATTCTGCTTCTTGCAGCTTTACCACAAAATCGACCTTTAGCGCGTTTTTATTGGATACTATCTTGAATGTGATTAGTTGTTTGGGTTCACGGGTTTGGTTTCTATACAGGTTTGTTTGGTATCTTGAAGTCGCTATTTGACACAAGACTTTGAGAGTAGGATTGGGTTGCGCTTATGCATACATCTCTAAATGGGTGAAAAGAATAGATATTCTCAATTATTAAGAAGACACGGGTTCGAGGGAGTTTAGTCAAAGGGAGCAACCATTCGTTGGCTGGCCGAGATTAATTCTAGGGTGATTTATATTATGGTCTTGCAAAATACGGGCAAGATGGCCCGCTTGCGTTACAAACAAACAATATCAGACGGATGCACTGTACTATCTTCGTACGTCAATGATTACTCTTTACATATCAGCCAGGAATGAGGATTTCTCAATGCTCTCGATTGGATCCTTTCTTTTTTCTCTCTCCCGTTATCATTGGATAGACATCAATTATGTGGAAAATCGCATCTTGTCGCTGTAAGTGCTTCAGTTAGGTACCTACCTTGCTTCTAATGCAGAAAAGGTACATACTTGCGTCACGGCGGGTTGGCAGGGAAGTGGGCGTCTAAAAGACGGGGACTAAGCCAGCCCCCCAACTTTTGGCAAGGTACTGCTCAAGTATTATTATCCGGGCGGTAATCAAGTGGTTGGGAGCTGGATTTCACAGTTTTCAAACACTTTGAATAGGTAGAGAAATATGAGCGAATTATAAATCTGCGATAGTACAAGATAGTAGCGATAGGTAGAAGAAAGTAACTGGTAGTAGAAGATTATAGCGATAGTAGAAGAAAGTAGCTGGTAGTAGAATATAGTAGCAATAGTACCAGGTAGTACGAGCAATGATACAGTAGCAAGGGTTACCCGCCAACTGCCAAAATACGGCGCGGCATGTTCGCAAGTACTTGCATACCCCGCTGTCCCAATCCGGCTTAGTGTTGTTTACTTTCTACACCTCGAAACAAGCAACAGGAAGGTACAACTCCCGCTGCCCCCAAAACAATCCCTGAACGTCAATTTCGGTATTCTTAGCCCTGCTCTTTGCTTTTCTCCTCCCGCAAAATCTTGAATTCGCAACCGCAACAACTCCGTCACGCCTGACATCTGCAGCTTCATCGAGATACCCGATTAGTGAGATTTACAGCTAGCCCACGGACCCTTCCCTTCTCGCTTCCGACCGCTCGGCGCATCCGCCCTTGACAACGCAAGACGCGACGCGATATAAGAAAAAAAAAAAAAGGCCGCCGCTTACCGCCATTCATCAACCCCCAAACAGCCATCCTCGACTCTTGCTGCTCTAGCAGCGCGCGGAAGAGAAGAGAGAGCGATGGAGTCCGACGCAAATACCAGATATCGTTCGCGAATTATTAGGGAAATCAAGGCTAGCAGCGATAACCCCTTCAACTCCCCTCCGTCATCCACCGGCAGAGCCAGCCCCACGCTGTCATCCGTCTTCTCAGATCCCGAGGGCGAATCCACACGCAGGCTGCAAGAGGACATTGCCCGCGTTGCAGCCCCCAGAAAACTGCCCATCAACTGGGAGGCTGCCCGCCGCAAGTGGCCCGAGTTCTATTCCCAGCCCAAGACGCGGCCCATCTTCGACGACCAGACAGACACAACGGCGCCCCTGGCAGACCCGCCCCTCAACAAGAAGGAAACATTACCAAAGGCTGTTCCTCTTCCCGCGTACATTGATGATACCACCGAGGACGCGTGGAACGGCTCCAAGAGAACACGCTCGGAGATGCAACCGCGCGTCGACGAGGCCGACCTGTCACAAGTTATTTCACGCCCACCGACCAAAGGCCTATCTACTTATGGCCTAAGCTACTCTGCTCCTCGCAACCCCAGTCCTCTATCGAAAATACACAACCAGTCCCCGCCTCCGCTTAGAGATCAGGCAAAGGAACGACAGGTCACTATCGAAGAAGCATTGGAAACGCTTCGCAGGGCATCATCTAACCCCAGGGAACGTGAAGAGGACCGGCGAGTCCCATCCCTCGACAGCAATATGTCATCTGCAAAGTCCAGCTTGACAGCTGTACCTCCCTCACCGCCACACCCGTCCCTTATGACGGACTCAGACCTCGCCCGTCGCGATAACTTTCTTACTAGCACATTCAGATTCGGTGGATCGATTATTAAAGATGGTGCTCCGATCATTGTTAGACACGGCCGAGCACACGACCAGAACGTCAGGCCCTTTGGCGTGCCATACGCAGAGGTCGACGGCATTAAGGTTGCTGAAGACGAGGCTGCCATCTTTGCATCGGCGGATATGATCCGTGCTGCTCAGGACCAGTATGACAAGGTGTCAGACTACGCCAGAAGTCTCCAGCAAAAGGTTGAGATGCTCGAAGCACAACTTGCATCTCGCAAAGGATCGGACGGAGCACTCAGCGGTTTCAATGTTAATACGAATGCAAATGCACAGACCTTGTCAGAGAAGAAGGGTAATTGGATATGTCCCCTTTAACTTCTGTACCTGTTGACTAACAATCGTATAGCGCTCCAGGCGGAAGTGGCGTCTCTCCAGAAGCGATTAGACCAAGCGACAAATCAGATTAGCACATTTCACATGGAGAATGACACTCTGACCCAAGAACGTGATCGTGGCATTGGTCGTCTACAGAAAGCTTGTGAAAATATCAGCAAGCTGGCTCAGCAGCTTAAGGAGAAGGAGAAGGAGCTGGAAAATACCCACAAGCAGCTGGGGTCATCCGAACAGGTTCGACAGGATAACGACACACTGCGTCGGGATGTTGCGGCACTGAAACAAGACAACGCATCACTGGGAGCGGAAATCGATGCCTTACGACGTGAACAACGGCATCTCCGCCAAGAGGCCGAATCTAGCAATGGTCTCGCAGAGTACAGGACATTACGAGCCAACAACAAGAGTCTGATGGACGAGAATGAGGATCTTCGAGAGAGCTTGGATGGTACCCAACACGAGCTTGACGCTGCTCGCGAGGAGATTGAGGCACTGCAACGGGAAGTTCAATCGTTAAAGAGAGAAAGGGCAACCCTTCGCGAAGACAATGCTGGCCTCGTTCGACATAATGAGAAATACTTTAGCGAGAACAAGATTCTGCGCCGTGAGAACGCTGGCTTTGAGCATAGCATCCATGATCTGCATGATCGAAACCTCAAGCTGAAGGAAGAGATTGAGGTGCTGAAACGGCAGTTGGACCGCTATCGAGGCTCTAGCAACAGCAAAAGCGACTTTACGAGCCGCCAGGATGGAGGAGAAACAGAGGAAAACATGACGTCAGCTTTCTTTGTCCCTGATATAACCCTCAAGTCAAATGACAACACCGAAACAAAAGACATGCCTGCTGGGTCCAAGAGCAGCGTCAGATCATCGCCCTCCAAGAACGCCGGCACCGCCAAGGTTGCTTTTGCTCTTCCCGACAAGGCAGCATCCAAGTCTACGGTGGCCAACCAGGGCAGCAAGCGTCGGAGCGCGAGCCGCCTATCGGTTCCAGGAATGGATCCCTTTGGTGACGAAGACACTACTGGCTTGCTGTCGGTGGACAATATCTCTCAGGACCTCGCTATTTCCCTCAACTTGAACGCGGATCTTAAGGGCGGTACCATGGGCAAGGAGATGAAACAATCGCGGAGCCATGATATTGGGAAGCCAGCGCCGAAAATCGTGCACATTGATTCAAAGTCGAAGAGAACGACGTCAGACTCGATTGATCGGGATGGATGCCCTGCGTTGTCGAATAATGCTCGACAAATCCTTGACAGTCTTTCCCACCACAACTGCCAGGACTGCACCGTGTGCAGCCGCATCACATCTCACTCTGGTGTCATCTCCTCTGTCGACCTGGCGGCGGGCAAGAAACGTGTATCAATACCGCGGCCCATTCCCGTCAGTGACCGTGTCTCGGGAGGTGACCACACGCTTCGACCAGCCAACTCCCCCGGTGAAGCCTTGGCTCTTGTTATCAAAGGCCTGAAGGACGAGTCGCAGCATATTCAGCTGGAGCTGTCAAAGCTCCAAGCGCGGTACAATAAGTCTGACAAGTCGATGGACCGCCACAAGAGAGAAACTATGGCCGGGGCGATCCGAAAGCTGCTGGATCGTGTCGAGGCGAAGAATAATCAGATTTACAGTCTATATGATGTTCTTGAAGGGCAGAAGGCTGCCGGCCAAGAAATGACGCAGGAGCAGGTGGAAATGACAGTCTTGAACATTACGGGCATGCATGTTCGAGAGGTGACGAATATGAGTGACCAAATGACGGACGGCATGGGTATCGTGGCCTAAGGCCCAAGGCATAATGCATTGTTTTTTTTTTTTCTTTTTTCCTTTTCTTTTCTTTTTCCCCTTTTAAAGAAGCATTGGCGTTGGGGATTAGTGTATAATAGGCCTATCGTGTTATAGCCTTGATGAATTCTTACTGTATAATTAGTGTGATCAAATGGATCTTGATTTCTTGCCCAGCTTATGACCTAAACTGAGTGACTATCTCTACTAGATTTATCTATATCTATTAAATCTATCGATATCTACTGGGTCTATCTGTATCTACTAGATCTATCTACATCTACTAGATCCATCTATATCTACTAGATCTATGTACCTCTACTGGATCTATTTAACTCTACTTGATCTATCTATATCTGCTATATCGATATATATCTACTTGCCTCTAGTATCTCTATTACCATGCCCTTTCCGAAAACCTGCTACTGTCTTGTGGGTGCTTCGTGTGATACGTGCCGCGTCCCAGAGAAGCTTACTAACAACGGTCATCCACTTGTTTCTCATCTATTATTTCTGAACAATCCTCGATCATAACCTCATTAGCCGACTTAATCTGATTGTCTAGTCCGAGTCAAAGGGCTGGTGGTTTGTGTTATGTGTTTTCAATACATAATACTAAATAGATGGCTAATTCTGTGCGCAAGCTATCACACATTTCTCACTGAATAACCTGACATGGAATGATGGGATGTTTGGTTAAGCAGAATTACATGAATCAACGACCAACTCGTTTCGTTCTTTATTTTAAAACTCTAAAACCGAAAACTCCGTATTATCTGACATGAATCAGGCTATATACAACATCTACTCTTCATCGTCATCATCCTCTTCTTCTTCCACTTCTTCGTCGTCGTCATCATTGTCTTCCCCTAGCTCACCGTCCATATCAACCTCCTCGTCACTGTCCTCTTCGTCCTCGTTTGACAAATCTGCCTTTTCATCCTCTTTCCTCTTCCGCTCGTCCTCCTTTCTCGCCTCAGCCAGGACCTTTGCACGCTCGGCGCGGGCGGCTGCCTGGCCGACGACGTACGCACCAAGAGGCGTCTTGGCAGCGTCAAAGTCCTTGAGGAAGGCGTCGACTTGGCTGCGGTGCTTAGGCGCGAAATCGACCCTCGCGCGCTTCTCCTCGATGAACTTTGAGTTGGCCTCGAGCTTCTGCACAAGAACCGAAAACTGCGAGACGAGCTTGTTGTTCTTGTTGCCGCTGGACTTGGAGCTAACCTGCTTGAGCCATCGCTTGAGCTGGATGATGACAGGGAGGGCGAGTTCGGGGAAGGAAATGGATGTGGACCAAGTGTACATGAAGCTGCTCATCAGCTCGACCACCTCATCTCCGATGCCATCCTGGAAGACTCGCGTGCGAAGATATGACTTGGGGGCTCTGTAAGAGACGGCAAAGTCCATGGGCTTGAGTGTCGATGCCTTGGGAGCCTTCTTCATCTCGGCCGAGTTGAGCACCTCCAGCAGCGGTGAGGCGAGTGGGATGTAGACGTCGGCGGCCTGCGACAGGACCAGCAGTGAGCGGATGAGGTGGAAGCGGAGGGGGAAGTATAGTGATGTAGGAATGAGGCGCATGGCACCAAGTGTGACTTGGACAAGGGGGTAGATGAGCGGTCTCAGCTGGCTCTCCTTGCCGGCCTCGGCTTCCTTCAGGGGCGTGCAGTGCTCAGCGAGGACGCGGGCCCAGAAGTCGAGAGAGTGGGTGAACTGCCAGTTGTAGACCATGCGGAACGAGTTGTTCTTGTTGTTGACGATGCTGTTGCGGAGGTGGATGGCGAGCTGGCGGATGAATGTAAAGGCCGTGGTGTAGCCAATGGCAGGGTCGATGCCCCAGAGCCCGGCGGCGGAAAACTTCATCATGTCGATACCGGCGAGCGTGTTGTGGTTGGTGACTCGGCATCCCTGGACAAGGCCCTGGTAGACGGCCTTGAGGACGGTTTCCCGGATGCCCTTGTCTCCGATGATGACAAGTCGTCGAATGACTCGGAAAGCGGTGACTCGTGACGAGTGGGAGCCGGCAGCTTGAGACCACAGGTTGACCATGGCCTTAGCAAGAGCCTTGATGAGCTTCTTGAAGGACAGCAGGTATGGGAGAATCTCCACGATAGCCAACAGAGTGACTGTGATTGTGCCATCGTCCGAGAGTGTGCTGAGGAGGTGCATGATGGAGGAGACGTAAGACTTCAAAAGTACGGACAAAGCCTTGAACTTCTTTCCCTCCGTCTGTACATAGACCTTGCCGGCCGCCGACTCTTTGGCAGGGAGGTGGTGGTTCATAACCACTGGCACCTCTTTCAAGGCAAGCAGCAGGATATCGTTGAATACTTCAGGGCTGTTGATGGACCATCGCTGATCCGCTTGGCCCTCCTCATCGGCCTCGTTAAGATGGGCAGCGCATCGGAATGCGAGCACCACTTGTCTAGTTGCTCGCAGAGAGTTGGTTTCGGCCATTGCTTTCCTCCAGCCTGCAATGGTGCTGCGAGTCAGCTCATTATTCTGTGCCGGCTCCTCTTCCGCCTTGTTGCCCTTCTTTCTCTTCTTCTTGGGGAGCTCTTCGTCAGCTTCTTCCTCGCCAGCGCTAAGCTCGTCCACTTCTGCGAGATCTGCATTCTCGTCGAAATCCAACAATTCTGAATCATTCTCCTTGAGAAACTTGTAAAACTCGGGGTCCTTCTCGGCAAGTCCCTTCATGGCTTCTTTGCTCATGCCAAGCCCAGTAGCCTCGTCGTCGTCGTCGCTGCCGTCGTCGCTGTCGCTGGCAACGGGCTCGCCACCAATTGAGACCTCCGAATCGCTTCCTTCGCTTGCATCTTCCATATCTTCCTTGGTTTCGTCTCGCTTTCGCTTGCCAAGCTTGCCAGCCTTGCCGTTCTTGTCGATGATGTCCTCGAAACCGCCCGAGAAGAAATCGTCGACGCTCATCTCAGTGACCTTCTTCGCCTTGCCCCCGGCAGGTTTCTTGGCAGGAGTAGCGGTAGCATCTTGGCCATCTTTTGAGCCCTTTATGAACTCGGAATCTTGGGCTTTCCTCGACTTCTGCTTCTCTCTAATCTGCAGCTTCTGCTTGAGCTTTGCGCCGGCCTTTCTCTTGTCCAGAACACCCTTCAAGTGATTCTTTTCGAATTTTTTGGTCGCTTTCAGATTTTTCTTGGAGACACCCATTCTGGATAATCTGCTACAGCCACTGATGGGGGCCGTAATCCAGGATGCCGAAGGGTAAAATGAAGAAAAAGATAAAAAAAAAAAAAAAGATGCCGATTTGGAGAGCAGAAGCGTCGCGCCTCGACGTACCAATTGCGCTTTCCAAAAATTTTCGGCCGCCGACTTATCGATAAAACAGTTCCACTGAAAGAATATAGGCGGTCAGGGAATTCTGCCGCACTATGGAGCACAGGTACCGATCTGGTAGTGGGGCACTGATGTTGGTGTAAGTGGAAGCTTTTTGACTGACCATTGCCATAAGAGCCTCCAGCTTCCATCTCTTGATCTTCAGTCGCGAATGACGCTGGTGGGAGTGCCAACGGTCTTTCTCTGCGTAACATTCGCATATTCCACGGAAGTGTGTCTGGCTGGCCATTTTTCATGCTCGCCTGTCTGGCTTAGGTGGCTCACTCAAGTTAAAGTTGGCCCATGGATCAAGTGGCTTCTTCTACTCCAACCCAAGGTTTTACCGCGTGGGTAGATAAGCCAAGATGTAATTGTAGCCTGGCCGTAGGCAGAAGCCGCAAAGCAGAACAATTTCGCCGAATATTAATATTCATAAAATTTAAAAGTCTTATGATGAACGCAAATACAGCCCAGCAATATCCAATGCCAATCTGCAGGCTTGGTGAGGATCTGGTTGGCTAAAGTAGTTGTTGGATATTCCTTGGTGGTGGCTTTTTGAGTGAAACTATCACAGTCAAAGCCACATAGAATAGATTTGGCAGATCCCACCCTCTTATGTATATATATATGGCCTTCTCCCCTTCTTCCCACACACAATTCCATATTCATCAATAGTTCTACTCGTCCGACAACACAGCAGAACACGAACCCTATTTATATATCGGCGACGACCATTCAACACCTCAAGTTCACACACACATATATACTAAAAAAAAGCACAACTATGGATCGGACTATTAAAGCTCTGAAACGGCCGATTACTACAGTTCGGCAGGTGTGGAAGGACTACCAAGTTGGGCGGGCTATACGCCACAGTATATTCGAAAGCGACCCTAAAGAGGAGGAATGTGAAGAGAGGTGCGATGAAGAATGCCAGGTAGCCTGCAGGGAGGAGAACAATGAGACGTGCAAGGAAGAGCACGATGAAAATCGCAATGAAGAGCGCAATGAAGTGGGCGAGGAAGAGTGCAGCGATCCAAACGAGGACCAATGCAAGGACAACGAGGTGTCTTCATCTTCACAGCCCGCCACATGTAGGACTGCTGAAGGAGAAGAAGAAGAACGAGCTGCCCAGGTTGCCGCACAACTCAAACTGAAGAGAAAATGGAGAGCGAATACAAATGGAGAATTTCTCTGGCGCTATGAGCAGGTGGTGGATGAGGAAAGCAACTGGAGAGGGACTTGGGTGTTAGAGGTGAATGACCTAAACGCCATGAAATGGGGGATAGAGGAAGTGCCCACAATGATTGGGAATAGGAAGGGGAAAAAGTACGTGCGAAAGCCAACTCGTCAACTACCATTCCCTGTTGGACAGGAAAGAGAATTATTGCCGTCTGAAGGAGGACAGGATGACAGCAAAATCAGATATTGTTGATCTTGTTGAGGAAAAAGCTAAGCTGGTAACGGGCTGCCACTTGAGCTACCTTGGGGTGGGAGAGGAGGTTATGGATTCGAATTATCTCTAGCATAGTGTTCATAGATAGCAATTATATCAATGTTGTTTGTTCACAGCTGACCTAGATTGGTTCAAGAGATCCTGTTAGTGTTTGATGCCTCTTATTTCTTCCAAGCAACGTAGCAGCCGGACCAGCGAAATCATGAAATCTTAATGTAACTTGATTCCATTTTTTCTTGGTTTTATATTTTACTTGTATAGAATTCTTTTTTACTTTACCCAGCGGCCACCAGTATTGTATCAATAGCAGCCACCTGAAGAACACGGGCGGTGAAGAAATTCTGCCGAACAGCACCACCAGTTTGCAGCTAGTGCTTCTACAGTGGCTCAAAGTGGGCTGTAAATAAGCTGTCGCAACACCACTATAAGTTTCGTCCAGTGTCGTCACCACCAGCTTCACCAGCTTCATACTACCAAACTCGGCCCATTTCGCTCCCTCCTCGATGCCTCGCCTCAATCCACCATCATGAACACGCGTCAGAGCTACGCGCCCACTCCTCACAGCTACGTCCCCAACACGAGCCTGTCCGCCACCATCAACCTCGATGAAGTAAATCTCCAAACCCCGCTTCCTCGGTATAAATCTTGCGTGACAAGAACAAGACACAGCTAACCCTCTGCTGCACACAGGAGGTGAAACTCAGCAACACCCGCGCCGAGCGCGACCTCCAAGACTCTCTCGGCGAGCTGTTTAGCATCATAGTCACCCTGGATGAGCTGGAAAAGGCGTTCCTCAAGGATGCCGTCCCCGAGGCCGAGTACACGGACATTTGCGAGCGCTCGCTAAGGCAGTACAAGGCGCTGCTGGCGGATGAGACAATCGCAGCCGAGTTTGGGGACTTGGAAGACTTTAAGACCAAGTGGGAGGTAAATGCGCTCCCCCAGCTATTGTTTCAAACATTGAAAGATGTATATTATGTTACCTCAGCTAACACTTGGCTATCCCCAAAAAAAGCTCGACGTCCCCCGAGCGACAGAGCGTCTCCGAGTAGGCATGCCCTCCACAACCATCAACGCATCTTCTTCCGCCCCCGCGGCCGCACCCCCAACCGCAGCCGCAAACAACACCAGCGGCGTGCTGATCCTCGAGGCGACGCAAGAGTTCATCACGTTCCTCGACGCCGTCAAGCTCGGCCTGCTGTCAAAGGACCAGCTGCACCCGCTGCTCTCGGACGTGATCCAGTCGGTGAACCGCGTGACGGACAAGGACTTTGATAACAGGGGCAAGATTGTGCAGTGGCTCATCACGCTGAACCAGATGAAGGCCTCGGACGAGCTGGGCGAGCAGCAGGCGAGGGAGCTTGAGCTGGATATTCAGCAGGCGTACCAGGGTTTTAGACGAACTTTGACATGAGAATTTTTCTTTTTTGTATGATGTAGTAGCATGCTTTCCGTGTCTATATAGAAATACAATACCAAAATAATGACCCATGAAAATGCGAGTAACAGGAGATGCTTATTGTTCCATGTCTCCTTCAGTTCATCCAGCCCAGAGTATCATTCTCCCCCATCACACCAAGAACGTCCAGAAACTCGGATACACAAACTCCTCCTCGAATATCCTCCTCACCTGCTCCAGCACAAATCTCTCCACCTTGCCCACGTTCTTCAAGCTCTGCCGCCCGCTCTCCCGCTCGCCAATCTCGCTCTCAACCTTGATCTCCTGCAACAGCCCACCGAATCTACCTCCAGGCTGCTTCTTGCTAGTCGTCTGCACATCCCCCCCTCCTGTTGCTGTTGTAGTAGTAGTAGTTGTTGACGTCTCCGTCGCCCCCTCACCATCCGGTCCCACCGCAGCTAAAGCATCATCCGGGTTCAGAAAACAAAAATGCACCCTCTTCCGTATATGCGCCAAAACACCCACCCCATCAAACGTCAACCCCGTGATATTCAACTTGAGTGGAATCCCAACAAAGCTCGGCATCGGGTAATCGAGCAAAATCTCCGCCGTCAGGTTCAGCCGCACGTCACCCGAGTACCGGATCCGGAACACGGCCTGCACGTCCTCGACCCGGGGCTCGCGCCGCGGAGACGCCGTGCCTTGGTCGGGATCGGGCCTCTCGTCGTCTTCGACGGCTGAGCCGCTGATGGGCCCGTGGCTGGTTGACGGCCGAGACGGAGGGCCGAGGGTGCTCGACACGTCTGACTTGGCCATGCCGGACCCCGATCCTGAGGTCGGATCTAACGCCTGTAGGTTATCCAGGGAGCTGAGCGATGCCTCACGGCTATGATACGGCGTGGGCTCCGAACTGGGTGCCGTCGAGCCCAACCAGCTGCCGCCCAAATGAGCACCCGCAACCGCCGCCAACGGCGTCTGTGTGCCCGTCGCCAGATGCGCCTGAAAGTAGTTCCTCCCCGGCCCGCCCAAGATCCCCGGCGTCGACGTACCCAGAAACGCCCTGCCGACGTCGTGCCCACTCACATTCACACTCGGGCTGAAGCCCATCATCTCGCTCTTCAGCCCCCTCAAGCCATCCTCGCGCCTCCTGTTTCCAATCAGCGCCGCCGCGGCCGCAATCCTCTCCCGCTCCGCAGCGCTCTCATCCTCACTGCTCTCCTCGCTCGACTCCTCGTCATCCTCCAGCTCCTGCTCGTAGAAATCAGGCAGCGGGTCCGTAATATCTTTTAGTTCCAGCTCCGGCGGAATCGTACCAAAGTCGAATCCATGCACATTGACGGATCTGATGAAGCGTGGCAAAGGCACCGTCTGGAATTTGGTGTGGATAAAGGTTCTGATGCTCTCGGCCAGCGCATCGCCGTCCGGCCCCGTGGTCAGCGTCTCCCAATTGAGATCAATAGACATTGGACAAGGAAAATGCAGAAATGAATTAAATCGAGCAATTAAAAGCCGCACAGCAGCTGTTGGTCATTATAGTACAGAGTGTTGAAGGAGCTGGATTGTGTAAAGAGTGTTGAAAAGCTTAAGAAGAGCATCGCTGAATGAGTGGGGTTGTTAGTGTCATGAATACCTCACTCAACTCACTTATTCTTTCACGGCGGTATCAACCCACAATCACATCACCGCCGTAGCATTTTACAATTAGAAAAAAAGAATTATTGAAATTAAACTATTTCTAAGAAAAATTACACAGCTTGAATAAAACCATTTGCAATTTCGTCTTTCTAAGCCAACTTTAAACTCCGTCATATAACATTTAGGGTATCTCGCTGCTGCTTCAGTTAAATATCATCCCCCCAACACATGCAAGAATAAGCGCGGACAACTCTTCAACCAATTCTGTAAAAGAAAAACAATGGGGCGAGCCTAGATACCAATACGCCAACGCCATGATAAGGAGAATCCGCCAAGGGGCTGTTGCATACTCCAGCGAACTGTTCAGTGTAAACTCTGTTATTCTCTTCTTTCTTGTGTTCCAAGGCAATTCTCTCAAGCCTCTTGGTCCTCAAATCGTGCTCGACCATATAGCATGTTATACTGTGGCTTGTTGAACAGGTGCCAGCAGTTGGGAGCTTGCAAGATGTATCTGTGGTGTGATTAGCCCGCAGGAACTACCAAACAATGCAGGGTATGCTTCTCGAAAGACGTAAAATGAGACTTACCTTGCCATGGCCTCTCTGAATCGAGACTTGTATTCCTTCGGACTAGTCACAGTCGGTCTATTCCGACCACCGCCCGCGAAACCGCGATCCTTGATCCAACTTTCAAGCTTCTTGTCCCACGTATATGTTCTGATGCAATCAATGATGCCGACGACTAGTTCTTTCCTTCTCTCGTCGACTGCAATCATCAAAGAGTAGTCCATTACGTTCTGTCGCGCCAGGAACAACGTATCGTTCCACACCGACGCCCTCAGGAGCTTCTTGGAGTGTTCGCGCGCAAATAAGGGAGATTCATAAATGTACTCCACCATGTTTTCGTCCAAAAGGACTTCGTTCTGCTCGCCGGTCGCATTAATTTTGCGGTTACGCATCGAGCCCTTCAAGTCAAAGATTCTCGTTGGAGATCGATCGTAGAACAAATTCTCCGTAACAAGCAGGTCCAACTTGATGTCTGTTCCAGTCACTGGGTTTTTAATGACGACTTGGAAGAATCCCATCATCTTTGCGATTACAGATGGCAAGTCATGAAACAGTGCCTCGGCCATGATGCTAAAGTATCCCGGCGCAAATCGCAAAAACGCAGAGGTCTCGATTGTTGAGAGTGACTGTGTGCAAATATTGGTTAGCGCAACGTGAAATTTCTCGTCTCTCAAGGTCCTGCTTCTCCTTACCTTCAAGACAAGTCGGTCATCCAGAGTCTTCAAAAAGACAGATTTTGTTTTACCACCCTTTGAATCCCACTGAAGGCACCGTGACAACGACTCCACAATACGCTCGGAAACACCACACTTTCGTCGAAGAGCATCGAATTGCTCTGCATAAAAAATCTTGCAAGTCATAACAGCGGCACCTTCTTTGAACTGATACTTGAGATGCGTGCCGGTGGATCGGAGCAGACTCTTCTCCAGCTCTGTTTCGTCAGCGGCCCAATCTGCGCTGTCTGATACTGGGGCCGATTTGGGACCAATGTTAAAGTCACCTTCGACATCACCATCGAAACTTCCATCTACATTGCTATCCACATTGCCATCTGGGATTTCATCCGGAATATCTGTGTCTCGGAGCATAGTCTGGTGCGCATCTCGCCGGATGTTGGCCAACTTCTCTTTGTAATCGTCGCTGTTGAGGGCCAGCGCAATAACCGAGCTCGGCTCGTCTTCTCGTACAATAATATCCGAATCCACAAAGATGTGGTCAGTGGCGTTGACAGGGTATTCCAACGCAGGCCACCCGCTTGCTGATCGCTCGGCCCAAAAGTTGGTCAGGTATTTCATCAAGCTCATTTTTTCGTGCTTTGGAAGTTCAAGTGGAATTTCCGCGTTAGAGTCAGCCATCTCTTTGATGTCGGGCATAAATTCGTCAGATACTGAGGGCTCAGCGTCACTAGTACCGCCCTCGTCGTCTGAAAGACCCTGGCTTGTGTTCACGTTGGCGGTATCATCATCCCATCGAACTTGGCCATCTGATGGCAGGGGCGGTTCGCTAGGAGTTGGTGGTTCCGTCTGCGACCCTGGCTTGGGTAATTCTTCTCGCTTGCCTCCTAGAGGAACTGAGGACGTATCCTGCGACTGGGACTGCGATTCCATGTCCTGCTCTGTGCTTTGTTCGCTTGTGACAGCTGGCTCGTCAAATGCTTCATTGACGTTGTCGTATACTTGTACAATTGCCTGCGTTGATGTCTTGGGGAGCATAGGACGAGGGTTCCGCATGCTGGCCGCACGCTTCTTACGGTCTCGGATGCGCTCCTTCTCAAACTCCCTGCTGAACTCTCTGCTGAGCTGTTCAAAATGCTTAGCCAGAGTGGTAACCTTTGATTCCTTCTTCTTAGGAACAAGACGTGGAATACTCGATCCAGCCATTTTCCCTCGATTTTTCAGCACGTTTAGGCCGAGTCGCTCAGATAGTTTTTTCTCCGATTTGGTGGAGTGTTCTGACTGCTGATCGGAATTCTCTGGCACCTTTGCCACTGACTCGGAAGAGCCAGACGATTTGCCCAGAGACTGTAACCTAGCCAATGTCCGGGATGGCTGCGATGCAGCTCTAGTCACTGGTGGCGATGTGCTGGTGGTAGACTTTCGTCGAACGCCTTGTTCCGAGACCTGCCTTGGTGTTTCCATATCGGCGGGTCTCTCGTTGGAATCCTGCGATTGTCTTGGCTGGGCAGACTTTTTCAGGGCACTTGCGTCTATCCTTTCGCTGAGGGACCGCCCAGAGATTGAAGAGTTTGTGGGACTTCGAGCCACTCTGACGGGCGGTGATGCTGGCACCGCATCTGGCGGAGTTGTTGCAGCAGGAGCAGCTTTAGCATCCTCATTGCCGGTAACGGTTTGGGAATCCTGAATCACAACAGGCGCTGTGCTGGCCAAATCTAACGGGCGAACCTGTTCCATGGCGTCTTGCGTTATTGTCTGCAATGGGCCGTCGCTTTCAACATCAATCTTTTCTCCGTCAAGCTTTGAAGAAGTGGCACTTGCCTCCATGCTGTTGTCAGTGAAATCTGTCGGTTGTGTAGACTTTTCCTCTGCCTCGGAAAAGGTCTGGGATGGGCGCTCTTCACTGTCCCCGGCAGATCCTGTTCCTTCATTGGACCCAAGGGATTCCTTGGACTCGTTGTCGGTGAAAATCTTCTTCAGCTGCAACATTGTGAGTTGTCGCATGTCTTTATCTCCCAAGAAATCTGCTTCGAACGTAGCAAAAACTTGATCCCATTCGCTAGCCGTCTCCAACATTTCTCGAACAATGATGTTGAACGGGACAACCTCATAGTACTTGGAATTGACATAAATCTCTTGCAAACGTTGGATCATGAGGGCTTCCTCTTCCTTAGCCTTTTGCTTCAGTCGGTCCAGCTCTGCTTTGCAAGACTCAGCCTTTTCGGGGAGGACACTATCGATCCTAATGCTTTCGAGCCGGGCAATCACGGAGGTCATGAATTTTGCCCAGCGCTCATCCATCTTTCCAAAAATGTCATTCTTGAGCCTAAGATCATTGCTCACTTTCCACGTCAGTCGCGCCCGCGGTACGACAATTTCCAGGAGATCGATTGGGTCCCAGTGAATCCGAACACGAGAATCGTTTAGACTGAAGTAACGGACGTGGTCTTTTTGATGGTCGTGGGGGCATTCCATGGCATCCTTCATGCGCAGGCCGCGTCCCCAGTACAACAGCTCCAGGTACTTTCCAAAGGAGTACTTGAAAGTAGTCTCAGACATTGCTATCTCCTCCGAATCTTTCTGGCAGATCTTGCAATAACTCCACATGGAAATCCCATCGCCCAGTTCTAGTGACCTAGGAGGGGCGTTCGGGAGATGCTCCACAAACACCGTGATCCGGAACTGGTCATGGACAAAAGTACGATGATGCTGTGCCATTTTGCGGTCGCATCCATTGGAGTCGCATATTTCATCTTTGCTGTTTACTAGGTATTCGATATACTGGCCGAGGGTACAGTCTGGATCCATGCTGCTATCTTCGCGCTGCTCATCGTAAAAGTTGATGCCTACTAAACTGGGCTCCGTACAAGGAATTTTCGTTTCGGTGCAGATGACGGAATACAGTATGATGATATTTTGGTGAGAGTATGGGTCGAACAAGTCCAAGTTGCCCTGGATATACGTCTCCCACTGACGAGTTTGAGTCTGGTAATTGTAAAGAGCTTTGTCGTATTCGGCGTCATGCACTGCGTGGAGAATTTCCATAATTTGACGAGGCGCCTTCTGGCCAAGCTCTTCGACCATCTCAGGTTTGATAAGCTGAAACTTTGGAGGGCCACTCTTTTCCAAATCTTCCTCAATCATGTCCTGGTCCCTCAAGCGTTTGAGATAGAACAGGCGCCTTTCTTGCTCCCGAGCTTTCATGAGAAGATACGGCTGAGTGAATCGTACATATGGCGACACCGAGAGGATCTTGGTCTCATATTTGGCCACCATGTCGCTATAGAATGTTGGCATGGGCACGTCGTCTGGGACCTGACTGAATGTGGAGTCATGGGTATGAGATTCATGTAGCGATAGCAGCCTAGGTGGTTCAGAAAGCATCTGGTCCAATGGAGGCTGTGACAAAGCTTCGTCTGTGCCTCCGAGGCTTGAGCTATCCATCGTCAACTGTGAGGGCGGCTCGCTCTCGCTCGATGGCTGGTTGACCACAACAATGGGGCCGGTTCTGCCGCCGCTGTTGGTTGTATGACCAACCGAGTTCAGTGACCGGATGCTTTCATTCAATGCTTGGAAGGAATTAGACATCGACGTCGAGTCGTTGGCCTCAGGAGGCTCAACGGACTCATCCCGCAAAAGGCTGGATTCAAGTTTGAGATTGTAAACAACATAGACCATGAAGTCGGTGATGTATTTCATTTTAGCAAGGAGAGCGTCGCTAGCTCCTCGAAGTGTAATGGTACAGCCGAGCTCGGGTCGGCATCCGGAAAGAAAGATGTAAGACTTCTTTCGGCCTGGATAGTCATTGTTCACAAAGGTCCTGACTTCAAAGGCACTGCACCTCCCGACTTGAGCTTCCAACATATCAAGAGACTCAATGATCTTAGTCTCAGTACATCGGGCGACGGCTGCAATGACTGATCGCTTGACGTTGAAGGCTACCGAAATATTGGCTTCGGAGAGATACTGCAAAGCCAAGCCAGAAATAGTCTTCTCGGCAAGCAGAACTTGAGGTTTAAGTTGCGCGATCCTGTTAACAACGATTCTCAGAAATTCTTTCTCTTGAGCAATGACCGGCTCCAAGCTCATAAATTGCTGCTGGTGTCTCTGATATTCAATCGGAAACCCGACAAGTAGAATTTTAGGGTTTGTGATTTTGCGTGGCATACTTTTCAGTGCAAGATTCTTGGTGAAGACTATACCGGAGATGTAGGATGTGTCGCCAGGTTTTCCTCCCGGGATTCTCTTGAGCTTCACATAAGTCCGAATGTCCATGGATTCGCCATTTGCAACGTCAGGGGATACATCATCGGTGGCTTGTAGGAGGATAGGGACTAGCGCTTTTTGCCATGCTCCGGCATTAGGTATATCGGCATCACGCAAGAGTTGATAGAGGAGCTTGTCGACATGCTTCAAGCTGGACTCATTTAACTTGGTTTTGGCCGCCTTGCGCTTCTGTAGGGAGTTGCTTCTGGTCAGCTGGGTCCCGCTGTGGTTTGGGTGAATGGAGTTATCCACGGGAAACAACAGCTCCGACGATGCTGATGGCCCCTTGTAAACGGACTTAGGGCGTGGGGATCCGAAATGATGAACGCTCCCGCTGACATTGCTGAGGTTGCGGCGTCTGTTTGTCCTACGATGGCTAGGAAAGCCAGGTGCCAATTCATCGAGCCCAAATCCACTTCGGCTAAAGTGACTCATTCCGCTGACGCTCTTTTCGCCGCCTCTATGGCGGTGGTGTTGCTGCTTCTTGGATGTATTCATGAGTGCCGAAAGATTTGACTTGTCAGGGTCAAAGCTCGTGGAAGGTATCTCAGCCGACGCGAGGGTCGCAAAAATACTGCCGACCTGCTCGTCTCCGCTAGAGTCATCTGACATGAAATCTGCCAATTCCGGATCGATGATGTTGTCATCATGGAAAGCTGGGAACTTTGTTCGTCTGGCATTCTCTTCCTGAATACCCTTTCGAAACGGAGCCTGATCCGGCTTGATTCTCCCCAACAGTCCATGCTTTGAATGATGCCTCTTATGGCCGGCAGATGATTGCGGTCGACCAGAGGAAAGAGACTTGAGGGAACGAGACGAGCTTGGCCGGCTCAGCTGTGGAGCACCAATCTCCAGAACAGATGAATTGGGGTTGGACTCTTTGACTCGACGCGCAGCCTGTATCGTCATCATTGGCGTAGTTACTGGTCTTGAAGTCTCCGAGCCCTCGATTACTTCTGGTTCCTTGTGGTGCTGTGCAAAGGCTACCGTTGATTTCCTAGGATCCTCCGTGCCAAATATTCTTGGTAGAAAGGACTGCTCATCTCCAGAATCCTCAGAGGCACTTGCATCAAATCGTCGAGTGATGACATCAAGACAGCGTTTGCAAACCCTAAGAGAGCCGGGAAGCCCGAACTTGTCACCTGAAATGACAATGGTACACTTGGAATCGAAGATGAAGCCGCACGTTCGGCAGTGATGCTTCCTGCGGAACGCTGTGAATTGAGATTGACAAAGAAAACACTCTTTTACTGTTTCGTCCTTCATCCAAAACTCCTTGCTTAATATCTGCCTGCGCATTCTGTCTAGCTGAGCATTCATCTGGTCTGAGGCCCCTTGATGGCTCGCTGTGGTGCCGGGGATGCGGACATCACCGGATCTCGAGCGCTGGGGGTTGGATTCTTGAGAGAAAGAATTATGATGGACTGAATTGTGAGCATTTGTGCTAATAGGGCTAGCTTCAGCCGTCCCACGGTCAATAGACGAGTCTCGTGAAGCGTATCTAACGTGATTTGAATGGCTAATACGATCAATGACGGCGGGCTTTCGTCGGATATCATCGGGGGACAGCAGAGACGATGCAGCAGAGGGACTTCGCGAGTGAAGTGTTTGCAGTGGCGATATCAGGGGAGCTTTTCCTTTGACTGGACTTAACGGGGCGTCGCCGCTTGCGCCTCCAACACTGGACACACTCTCGTCTCCTTGCGACCCCGAAGGAATACTGCCTTCTGGTGAATCGACGGGCGAGAGGCGGGTCTGAAAGCCTGGTCTGCCGGTGCTTCCACGCCGCGAACTCTGGGCCGCGCTGTCTTCAGTGTGAGCAGAACTGCGGCTTGGCTCTCGTTTTCTCGCGGAGGTGATGGTGGGCTCGGCGGCGGTCACATCGCTTGTAGCGTTTGTCGGAAGGCTCTGCCTACCAGATGGATGAGACTTGGAGTTGCCAATCAAGCTGATGCTTCCAGACTTGGATGTAGCGGGCATCTGAGGCCGGCCATCCGTAGGACCGATAGAGGTTGTAGGAGAAGAAACATCAGGTGGTGCCGGCTGAGACGATGTGCTGGATATAGTCGCCCCTGTTTCGGCGCGGTTCAAGGAAGATATAGAGGGCTTCGACCGATGTCCCTCACCCGTGGATGCCTTTCTCGATAGGTTTTCCAGCTTCTCTGCGTCGTCCTCTCGCTGCGCCGCCTTGGACGAGCTGGCCGCACCAACCGCCACTCGGAGTCGGCTATAGAGACCGCTTAGACCTTGCTGTACTGTTCCGCGGCTCTCTGTATCTGGGACGATTACCGGGGGAGGGGCAAAAGATTCGTTGAAAAGAGTGAGTGAGTCGGTTCGGCTGGCTGCGGTATGTATCTGGTCGAGGGCCTGCGCCATCTGTTCCTTTTCGAAGGTGGAACTCACAGAGACAGAGTTGATAGAGTCACGGCGGTCTCGCGAGTTTGTAGGGGAGATGAGGGAACCGGAGAAGGAGGAGCCGTCGAGGGGCTTCGAGATGGATATATTGGTTGCCATGGTGGGATATGGCCGACAAGACGAGAGCTGTGCAAGTCACAAGTCGCCTACGCCAGATGCGATCTGGATGCCTTGCTCTATGCTATGTAGGTGTGGTGCAACGACACGGGCATGGAAGGGAGAGGGCACGAAAGGTATGTAAACACCAGGCCGTCGCTCAGGCGTCTATTTCCAAGCGAAGGCGCATCCGAAACGTTGCTGGCATGATGCGTAGGAGAATGTAGGAGAAACAACGAAGAGAAGCTGTCGAGGTCTCGAGGGCAGCGCTTCGGAAGGTTTGGGGCAACAACTTGAGCTTGCTTTGTCACAACCTGAGCGTTTGTGATGCAGGCCGCGGGGAGCTGCTGATGCCGCCGCCGTACCTACGTCAGTGTGGAATGTGCAAGTACTCTGCGAGCTATCGGCCGCCTGGGAGGTACAAGCACAAGCACAGGCACAAGCAGGATGGATGCTGTATGTAGGCGGGCTGCAGGTGAGAATATGCGAGACAGAAAGCAGAGGCTCAAGATGCGGTGCGTGCAGATGAAATGCAGGCAGAAGCAGTTGGCGAGGGGCTCCAAATGCCGTCAGTGGTTGGGAGGCAACGAGGCACCGCCCGATTTGGCAGATGCCCGACGATGTTGCTAGTACCGCCTATTCGAGATTAGAGAGCAGAGCTGCGCAACGATCCAATATTTTGCCCGTCGAGTGCTTAGTACTGCGGATTTGATAATGTCACTGCTAAGGCCTAAGCACCTCTTGGAAGCTCGTTATCATCCTCGTGGCTCCCGTCGACAAGGTACCTGCTGCTACCTGATACCGGTCCTCGGCCAGGTACCCGGGTACTTCCACCAGCAGCAGCAGCATGAGCAGCAGAGGCGGTGGCGGCGGTATCGCGGTCTGGACCGCTTGTACCAGAATACTTGTCATGCAACAGCCATGCGCTAAGGCCGCCCGTACATCCCCCGTATATTTAGTACAAGTGCCTGTTCCCGTGCTCTGTATCTTCCAATCCAGCACCCTGCGAACCCCCACTCCCAAGACGCGATCTGAATCCTCAACTCCAGAAAAAATTCCTGGACCGCGTTTTGCGACGTCCCGCTCGCTTGCATGGTGTTTGACATTCGAGTCATGGGATCGGAAGCCCTGTCAGCGCCCAACGAATTGCCTCGGATTGCCCGACGAATCTGCCGTTGTTGAGCTTCGTTTGGCGGGACTCGGCACTGCTCAACGGTCAACCAGCTCAGCTCTCTTCTGTTGCTGATGAGGTGCAAATGCACCGCCGGCGCATGAGATGAATCCCGACCAGCCGCCGGATTCATCGTCAATGTCTGTCACGACCTCGCCAGCCCAAGATGTCTCCAAGCTGATGGGCCGCCGGAGCCTGAGCAACATCCCCAAGGACCAGAGGACGCTGCTGGAGCTAGAAAACCCGTGGGCTGTTGACCAAAGAGACGAGCCGCACGGATTGGCAACTGTCCCGAGCCACGTTTTAAAAACGCTGAAAGAAGCCTTTATTCGCCTCAAGGACGACAATGAGAAGGGGAACCCTAAAGACAAGGAAAACCCTGACCCTACTCCCACCACCAATGACCATGACGGACAGAATGGATATTCTCCCGGCTCAACACCAGCGAGATCAGACAGTGCACCTCCGTCTTCGCCGGGAGTTCCGATACCATGGTCGCAGTCTCCAGCGAAATCTAGAGCCCAGCAGGACGATGAGATGTCCGATGCCGGTTCGCCCATTGACGAGACACCCTCAAGTCCGGTGCCTGCACCACTCACCCAGCCGCCGCTCTTCCATGGTACACCGAGTCCTAGCCCTTCTTCAAGTGACAGCGAGCCCGAGGATCTCGAGATGGAGCTCCCACAAGCTCAGGAGGAAAGCCGCGAGGCCCCAATAAATCGCGAGGCACCAATTAACCCCGTAGCTACGCGGATGCATCTGACAGTGGCATCTCAGGAGCCCGCAAGCTTGGTTACAAGTATGGTCACCACTACAAATACGCCTACATGCGCGCAGCCACGGGTTGCTTCTACTGCTTGTACTTCGTCTGAAGATCCAAAGTCGTCGGTGTTGCCAGTTGATCCAGCCCACGGTCGATCACGACGAATGAAGCCGATTGAGTTTAGTGAGGATAGCCCAAAAGTCACTGTGCGTTCGACGAACCCGGGTCCTCTCAAGCGCATGCCTTCCACGCGAGCACTTCCCGAGGAAAATGTCCCCAATTCGGCTTCTCTGAGCTCGAGTAACTCAGCCCCTTACCATGGCGATAGACCCCAGAGCTCGCCATCTCCGCCGCCCCCTACTCCTCCACCGCACAACTTCGCTGCTAAGCAAACTATCCCTCAGAATAGGACGGCTGGGCAACGGGGTGGCGTCAGTAATCGAGATATCTCCCCTCCCCGCCAGACTCCCATGCAGCAGCTACATCGGATACAGGCAGCAGGAATGAATGCATTTATAAGTTACCACGCGGAACCCTATAGCGCTTTCACCGCTACGTACCCCGACTACATCACAGTTCATTCGGGCAACTTATTGTCCTTTATTCAGGCCTGCGTCTATCTAGAAATGCTTCAAGAAGACAGGGCAATACGCGAGTATTTGTATGATGACTTCATCCGGGCCTGGTCAAGTGGCTTTTTGACATATGTCCAGAACGCGGGCCCTGGCCAGGAACCACTCCCCGCTGTCCAATGGTTCAATATGCTAAAAGGCCCTATCCTTTTCAACCGCATGTGTATAAACTCAGGCAACATCGGCGCTGTTCTGAACGCATATCCCGAGGATGCTGCAAGGGTTAGGGCCATACTTCATGCCTCTAAAGAGGCAAGTGAGAGCCCAATATCAGAACCACAGCCAGAACAAGGGGTAGAGATGGAGCTGGAAGAAGAACCTGAGCCGGAGCCGGAGCCGGAGCCTGAACGTGTGCCTGTGGCTGAACCTGAGCCTGAGCCTGAGCGTCGGCGTCAACGTAAGAGGCGTGTCGTGGATTTGGACAGCGACAATGCAATGGATATCACCGTGACAGAAGAGAGCCGAACCGAACCACAGCTCCCTCCGCCCACGAGAAAACCACCATCGTTGCCAGCACCGTCACGACCAGCCCCGCCACCGCCTCCTCGGCCTTTATCCCCTGAGCTGGGGAGCGACGACTTTGACTTTCCTGCCCTTCCACTTGTACTACAATCGACATCAGGACAACAGTCGCGATCTCGGTCACGACCACACACACATGAGCCTCAACCTCAATCAAGGCGTCGGCCAGAGCCACAGCCAGAAACACGACCAGAACCACAGTCACAACCGCAATTACAGCCGCACAGAGAGCTAACATTGCCTCAACGACATTCCCCCAGACGCCACCAACCCGCCCCCGTCCCCATCCCCCCCATCCCCGTCCCTCCCTCCACAGCTCCCGCTTCATCAACAACCAAGCGGACCAAGTCTACCAACCCCAGATCCTTCCCCCGCTCAACCGACCACGCCGGAAAGCTAGTCCCTAGAGGCCGCTCCGTGCCTAGCTCCAGCAGCCGGGCGATCCCGAAGTTGCGTAAGCGATCGACCGAGGAGCGGGCGCGGCTGAAGGAACATTTCCGGAAGAAGGCTTCTTCGTCGTCAACGAGCTTTCTCGGTGGTGGCGTCGAGAACTAGTTATTGAATTGGGAAGAAAAGATGGAATTACGGGCATGAGGAGGAGTGAATTGGTTAATGATGTAAACGTATATTATGCAAGCATTGGGTCAAGAAATAATGACAAAGGCAAGGTTGGATAACCAGAGCGATATATTGGGCGTTTATAAATATCTGAAATGAACTCGGGAATATGCCCCTAATGATGAATGATACCCTGATATTATCACTGAGAATGGGATACGGGAGAGAAGCAATTATGTCTATCTTTGTTTCCTTGTATTGATTTTCATAAAGGAATCTGGTTCTGGTCTATTTTGGTCTGGGACAGCGTTATGCATGGGTAACATGTTCAGAAACTGATGAAGGAAAAAATAAAATAAAACATCGGGCCATATCGCGTATCTGTCACCCCGATAAAAACCCGTCTACTCAAAAGAAGGCCGTGATGAAGAAAAGTAGAAGAAAAGAAGAAGTAAAAAAAAAAAAAGGTAATAGAGTGAGAGAAACAAAACAACCGACTCCCTGAGGAGTACTAGCGAACCATCTAATCCGTCTCGTTCCAGAAAGGTAAATAAATAAATATTTCAAAACCACAGCGAATATTTTAACGCCAGTAATTCAAGTTTTTTTTTTCTGTAGTCGTTTTTTCTTGTTGTCTCTGAAATGCCGAATGCAAAATGTGTATGGTAAAAGCAAATGACATGGCCATCAATAGCCCTGTGAGAGGTTTTCATCTTTTTTCTTAATTCCGTTTGTTGACTGATGCCTGGCGTCTGAAAATCGAAATGGTGGATAGTGGAGGAAGCAAAGAAAATGGTTTAGAGAAGTATTTCATGTCGCGTCGTGCAAGCATTAAAATCGTTGCGTTGATACAACGCGGTAGGGATGGCTGTGTCCACCTGGGACCATTGCGATATCGGGCCTTGGCGGGGACAGTCGTAGAATCGTCGATGCGAGCGAATCAAGTACCTCACGTAAGAAGTTTGATTCGAAATTCACAACTCCCAGCGCTGCATCTAAGCTTCTGTCGGCTCCGTCTTGGACTCGGCCTTTTCGGTCTCCTTGGCGGCTTCTTTGGCTGCTGCCTCGGCGGCCTTCTTCTTTTGCTGACGCTTCTCCTCGTCGGGGGTCAGGGTCCTCAGCTGGAGAGCGTGGATGCCTCCCTCCTGGGCCATTTCATCCCGCAGCAGAGCGTAGATCATTCGATGCCTTGCAGGCTGCATCTTGGCAGCGAACGAGTCAGAGATGATGACAAGACTGGAATTTGGCGTTAGTAAGGCCAGAAACAACGGAATGCGATTTGGTGCTAGTGCATAGACACATACCGAAAGTGCGTTTCCTTGGAAGTGACGCCCTGCATGGCCTTGTGGTGAGAGTGGAGGTGCGAGTCATTGTAGATCTCCAGCGTGATCGGGCTGAGAGCCGCGGTCAGCTATAGCAAAAGTGTTAGCATGCGAAATTAATTCAGTACTTAAATAAAATAAAATAAAGCCCACGAACCTTGGCGCGGATTGCGTCTTCCAGAGGAGTTGCCGATGTTGAGCTCATGGTGGAAAGTTGACGGCTCACGTTGGAGAAGCCGAGAGCGTATCGCCGATACATGATTCTGGAAGGAAGAGAAGAAAAAAAGATTGTCGTTGTTAGTGGAGCTGGTTGCGGCTCTGCTGGCGGTCCCTGTGCGCCAGACGGAAATCACGAGACTTGGTGTGAAGTTGGCTGGTAAGAGGCGGTCGCGGGTTATGAGCCGGCAGAATCGAGATTTTTTTGACAGTGGGCAAAATCAAGCAACAGCCGGATGACGGAGGCAAAAGGCAGCAGAGAATTGGCCTGTAAAAAAGAGGCAAGGAGGCGTGAGATGGAGAGTGAGAGTGAGAAGAGAGATGGGAGAGAAGAAAATAAGGCGTCTTGAGCCGGGCTGGCAGACGGAAAAGAGCAGCGGCCGGCTACTATTAAATCATGGCAAACAAAGTGAAATTCGGTGAAGTCGGTGAGAACCAGTGCGCCATGCATGACTCCTCCAGAGTGGCGGCGATCCAATCACGGCGTCGACAGGCCCCGGGAACCATGGAGCGGTGACGAGGGAAAAAAGCGGCGGGTTCCTGGACGCTGGGCGTGGTTCCAGCTTTGCATATTCCAAGTTGCAAGTGGTTGCACCAGCCAGGGGGGCCGAGAAAGGGGCATCGCAGGAAGGATTCCCACACGCCCCCAGCACGGCCGAATGGCTGCATGGGATGGGGGGAGCCTTTGTTGTCTCTTTTTTCTTTTTTTTTCTTCTTTCTCTGGTTGCCTTTTTTTCTTATTCTCCCGTTGTCTTGCTGTACGACGTGTTATTGGTGATATGATATCCATACTTGACTGGACTGGTTCTAAAATTGGACCGTCGACGAGATGGTGCGAAGCTAGTTGCGCCACTGCTTGACCTCTCTTTGATGCTCGTTGTGGAGGACCAAATGCTGCTGCTTGCATTTTGCAGTCTTGGTCCCAAGTGGTCGACCAAACGACAGTGCTTGGAGGCCACGGCTAGAAGCAGAGAGCTGTACGAGGTACGGAGTCGTGACAGATGTATGTAGCAGCAGGCGGGAGTCAGGAGTCGGCACAAGCACCAATGCCTAATCCCGCCATCATCACATCACCAGTCGGTCTCTCTCGACAGACAGACAGGGAGACAGCGTTGATCCAAACATCCATGATGCTCTACCCTTCTTTGATACTGCTTGTAATACTCGGTAAAATGAAACAAAGGACGCCAAAAGCCACCAAGGTAGGTACTAGTTTGCCGTAAACGCCCGACTACCAAGAACCCAATGCTTTCGTCACTCGTCTCGTCTTCTCCTTTTTGCCTGCCTGCCTCTTCACCTCCTCTTCCTCGTGTTCTCTAGTCCGGGCACCTGTAAGACTTCCTTCAGCCGTCCATGGCCAGTATCGGCAAGGGGGGTCTCTGCCTGCAGGGCTGCTTGCTTTGCTTGCTGCGTGTCCTCGCCCGGCAATTGGGCCAGTCCGGGTGCCACGCACCACCCACCTGGTCGGGATGGGAGACCGCCCTTTTTAGCTCATGTCCACCGTCTCGATCGAGCCGTGATGTGATGAGGTAGCATCTGGTCAACAGGCAGTATAAAGTAGTACGCAGTAGTGCCTGTGCTTGTATGCGAGCCCGTCAAGGGGGCCCTTCTGGCGGTGCAACCACGCGAGCGCGGTGGAGAGGCGGCATGGAGAGATGTTGGGGAGAAGATCAAAATTGCCATGCTGATGCTCAGGAGGTATCTGCAAGTACCTTACCAGTTGCTGCAGCAGCCTCACTTTGGGAGCACCTACATGTAATACTCGTACATGTACCCGTGCCGACCTGCAAGGCAGGCGGTGTTACAGGTCATCTTGTGTTTTGTTCTGCCAGCCATGGCATGGGATGGAATTGGGAATTGCAGGTACCTGGCAGTACAGTACTGGTACCTTGTAGGGAGTAAGTAATACGCCGTCCGCCTGCAGCTAAATGGATCGGATATCATGTCTGTGCATGTGAGGAAGCAATTTTTTTTTTCTCTGTGCGCTCTTCACACTCTCTCCCTTACATGCCAACGGGACAAGTTTTAGGCGTCTCGGAGAGAGTAAGATGAATCAAATAGTACCGTCTCCCACTGTCTGTGTCTTGTCTGTGTCCTAGGCCATCTCATCTCATCTCCATGTAACCCAACCCGTGTCACTTTGCACACACCGTGATCAAGATCAACTCCCTCATCCCATCCCGCTCGCCGCCAGTCTCCAGCCGGCCGGGTCGCTAAACTACCTAAACCCATCGCCGAACCTAACGTGACTGACAGCAGATCTTCTGGCAAAAGTCGGGATGCTGGTTGGCCCATGCTTCTCACGCCTCCTCTTTTTCAGTGACCGCCCTATTGCCTTGCAACACCCCTGCTCTCAACCAGAAAGTGGCGGTCCCCGCTCACTCTGCACCTTGACCTTTTTTTTTTCTCAGTCTTTTCTCTGGCTCGGGTATGGACCGTATGGGGGACGGGGCCAAGGAGCAAAAGGCCTCTGCTTATTTCCTCTCCGCCTTTTTGTGATATTTCTCCCGCCTATTTGCTTTTTCGTCTCGACTGGCCTCGGTCCCTGCTAGCCTGCCACTAACACCAACAGAGTTGAGGTCAGGAAGCGTGCGGCCATTTGACCAAATCGCAATCGTTTGATCCCGTGGCTTTGTGCAACACACACAAAGTCCAGACTGCTGCTGTGCGTGGTGTTGTGCAACCCCTACTTGAAGATATGGCTTGACCGCAAGGTGCATGTAGACATGAGCACATGTAAATGGATTGATCAAATGCTATTGGATCTGAACATGGCCAGTCGGAACGTGACGTCTAGTAACATGAATCCAGCCCGTCTTTGCTGTTAGCGGACTCGGCCGCTGAAACAGCGCTAAACGCACAGCGCTGGGAAAGCCGCACAGCAGCCAGCAACTCGCCACAACAACCCCCCGGCCACGGCGCCCAGGGCCCGATCTTCCGGCGGCTCGTCCAGCATGCGGCCCAGAAACTGTGCCGACCCGGATGCGAGCCCCGGCCACTACATCTGGCTCCCTAGTCAGCGCTGGCTAATCGCGAGTCGAGCCGTCAAAATCGATTCCACGTTCCATCCTTCTGCCTCGTGCAAACCCTTGGAACCCTTGGAACCCTTGGAAGCAGCGCCATTGATCCTTTCACCAACAACCACCAGCATCGCATCAGCACTGGCCCGATCGCTGGTTCGTTCCGGACGCTGCTTGACTCGCACGCGCAGCACGACAAGGCCGGAAACGAGGCCGCAGAACGCATGGCCACCCCCCTGTCTCGAGACTCGACGCTCTACCCCTCTTGCTGGCTGCATCTCTCTGCTTGCTTGTTCTTTGCCGGCCTCTCTCAGTCTCAGTCTTAGACTCAGTTTCTAGTCTCGCCAGTCCTAGTCACAGTCACTGCAATCAGTGTTGGATCCATTGATTCCATACCACACTGTCAACTAACCGGCAGATACACCAAAGCATTCATCACCAAGTCCCTGCTTATCCACCTGCCTTGCCTGGTCCGGCTATCCTCTTCCCCCATCCCCTCCCCTCCCCCCTCATCCCATCCCAATCACATCAATGATCGTCTTCTCGGCCTCACCAGCCCTGCGGCGTCTCGCCTTGGCCTCCCGGCTTCGCTCGCATGGCCCCTCTTCTCTGCTTCCATGCCGTCGCTGCGGGGCCACGCCTGCATCCTCTTCCCACTCCCTCCTGTCTGCCTCGCTCTTCTCTCTCTCCTCCTCAGCTGCAGCAGCCACTAGCATCAGCATGAGGATGGCGTCCACGTCTGCCGCCTTGCCTCGTCTGGCCATCTTCGAAGCCGTGGCTCGGCACGATCCCGATGCCCTCGCCGTGGTCCACTCGCTGTCTGGCCGCCGTTTCACCTACGGCCAGCTGCTTGGCGACGTGCGCCGAGCGAGGGCCCGGCTGCTCGAGGCTCGCGGCAAAAGCACTGGCGATGACCTGGACGGCGAGAGGGTGGCCCTTCTGGTAGAGAATAGCTACGACTACGTAGGTGAGCGAGCCCTTTAAAATACAACACACATCAACAAATCAAGAATCAAAATGCTTGTTCTTGATGTGTGTCGTTCATGTACCTGGTATACGAGGACGCAACTCGCTGATACCATGTCCCCCGCGTCCTCTTCCGCGGGAGACATTAAACAGTCACTCTCCTAGCCATTCTGGCCGCACGCTCAATAGCCGTACCACTGTCTCCCGCCTTTCCCATTCCCGAACTAGAGTATGTCCTGAACCACAGCGAGGCCTCGTTGCTCGTGTCCTCGCCCAAGTTTGCCTCCAAGGCCCAGCAGGTCTTGGCTGCAGACTTAACGTCCAAGCCATCCCACGTGGAGCTACCCAAGCATGCCGAAAGTGCGGCTGCAACGGGCGAGAATGTTCCCTTGGAAGACGATGCCAACCCGGGGCAAGCTGGTCTCATGCTCTACACGTCGGGGACGACTAACAAGCCGGTAAGAACCGCCTAAACACCCGCTCTGTTCTATCCCTTGTTCTAAGAATCATTCTCCAGAAAGGCGTCTTGCTCCCCCAGTCTGTCTTAACCGCCCAGGCCCGCTCTCTCCATGAAGCTTGGGAATACTCTCCTGCGGATCACCTCCTCCATCTTCTCCCCCTCCACCACATCCATGGCGTCGTCAACGCCATCCTGACGCCTCTACTCGCCGGGTCATCCATCGAGTTCATGTTCCCCTTCAACGCCGATGCCGTCTGGAATCGCCTTGCCGCCCCGTACCTCCCCTCATCCGAGACTACCAACGGCAATGGCATCACTACCAACGGTGACGCTGCCTCCAAGTCTTCTTCCAAGCCCAAAGTCACCTTCTTCACCGCGGTCCCAACCATCTATAGCCGTCTCCTCAATAGCCACAAGTCCCTGCCCCCTTCCATCCAGGATGCCGCTCGCCAGGCCGTCTCCCCCTCCAACATGCGCATCAACATCTCTGGATCGGCCGCCCTTCCCACTCCGATCAAAACGGCCTGGGCATCCCTCAGCAACGGCAACGTCCTCCTGGAGCGCTATGGTATGACCGAAGTCGGTATGGCGCTCTCCTGCGGCCTATCCTTCGCTGACCGCGTCGACGCCTCCGTCGGCTGGCCCCTGCCCTCCGTCCAGGCCCGCCTCGTGGACGTCGATACCGCAGAAGTAATCCTTCCCGGCCAGGAACTCGACGCCCAAGGCCGCGAGCGCTCCGGCGAGATCCAGCTCCGCGGTCCCACCATCTTCAAGGAATACTGGCGCAACCCAGCGGCCACCGAAAAGGAGTTTACAGCTCCCGACCCGGACGGCAACGGCGCCTGGTTCAAGACGGGCGACGTCGCCGTCCGCCGCCCCGTCTCGACCGCGGGCCTCAACTCCGCCGCCCAGCCCTGGGCCCAGGGCCCCCTGTACTTCATCCAGGGCCGCAAGTCCGCCGACATCATCAAGACGGGCGGCGAAAAGGTCAGCGCCCTCGAGGTCGAGCGCGAGCTCCTCTCCCTGCCGCAGGTCGCCGAGGCCGCCGTCGTCGCCGTGCCCAGCGGCTCGTGGGGCCACAAGGTCGGCGCCGTCATCGTCTTGGACCGCTCCGTCGCAGAGAAGTGGTCGGCCCTGGAGATGCGCCGCGCCCTCAAGAGCCGTCTCGCAAACTACAAGATCCCGCAAGTCATGAAGGTGGTCGAGAGCATCCCGCGCAACGCCATGGGCAAGATCAACAAAAAGCAGCTTGTCAAGGCCATTTTTGCCGATGAGCACAGTGGCGATGAAGCATGAGCCTTCTTTTTATTTCTCACGGAAACGATGTTTTTTGCCGTTTTTGATTACCCTTGTGAATTACCTAGCTATGGTGTTGGTGTGTGGGATAGAAGGGGGTCAGATACATGTAGATAGCTGTAAGCAAACATCTAATTAACCAGATGTTGGAGAGACTTGGGGGGGGTTCAAGGGCTACCTAGCAGGAAGTCACAAGGTTGTGCTGTTAGCCGCAGCACATTAGATGGTTAAAAAAATTATCTTGAATAAAAAAAATGCATATAAAAATAGCACATCATTCTTGGCCTAAACATCAAACATCTATTTTTAGGTAAAAGTTCCTTGTTTGCTTCCTCGCCGACCGCATCTGCCCTCTCGTGCGGTCTTCTCGACGAGTTTCAACATGGAAAACAAAATAAAAACGAAAGCTCCTGAGCTAACGCCGTCATGAGATGTGAGAAATATGCCATCGTCTCAGAGTCATTAGTTGCCCGAGAAGCCAAGCCCAAGCCTTGCCGTGCGCAAACCCCGACCCGAATCCGACAAAAGAAAAAAGTTAATCATGCCTCCAACCACACCTGCCCCTTCCGGACCGGCCTTTTCAACCCATGGTGGAAAGACCTCAAGAGAGATGCCGTATACCGGGGCTGTGCTAGATATCTCGTTGCGGTAGGTGTAATAAATGTGACCCTTTTCTACTTCTATTGTAGAAAAAATTATCGTCTCAAGCGTTTACACGACGTACTTGGCCTTGGCTCTGGTGCTACCGGCGTGGGCGCTGTCGGTGTGGCCAGAGAACTCGACCTGCTCGTTGGCGGGGAGTTCGAGGGTATCCTTGAATCTCCGACCAATAGACAGGAGAATGTCCTTACCCTTCTCTCCGCTTCGGCCCTTTCCGCCAGCAACGTCTCCGTCGCCTCGTCCGGGAATGCTCTTTCCGATGGTGCGAGTCCAGACACCGATACGGTAGAAGCCCTTGCGGACGTTCACAACAACGCCCATGACCTCACCATCCTCCTCCTCTTCGAGGGTCTCACCGATGGCGCCCATCATGACCTGGAGCCAGAGGCGATCGACGTCGACATTGCGCTTGTCCTTGTACTGGTAGGACCACTTGCCACCGTGCTTGTTCTGGGGGTCTTCCCACTCAGGGCGAACGCCAGCCTTGAACAGGTGATAGTCGGACTTGAGAGCAAGTTCTGAAACAGGAGCAACGTTGTTCTGCACAATGCAAGAGTCAGCAGTGGGAAACACAGCATAATGGTAAGGACCGTGGGCAAAGGATGGACTTACGTATACGCCCCAGAACTCCTCAACCGAGTCAAAGGTGATGACCTCCTTCAGCAGGTCATTCCAGTTGTCGCCCTACAGCAAAAAGCAACAAAATGTTAGCTCCGTCTCCTCATCAAGGCAAAAACGTAAACCGAAATTCGGCCAGCTCAATGCCTGCTCCATTTTGACAGTCCGTACCTTTCCGCTGGGTGGCTTGGTGAACCACAGAGTCCACTTGCTCTGGAGAGGGTGCTTGACGGTGAAGTTGTCCTTGTCGTGGAACACAGTCACAGGCTTTCCGTCATCCTTGGCCTCGGTGCTCCCGTGCTCGCCGTCGCTGGGGGAGATGGGGATGGTGGAAAGGTCGACCTGCTGGTCCATGTTCGGTGTGTCAATCGCAGCGGCAGCCATTGTGCTTGTCGGGGCTGTGATTCTGTTTCGTGTGGTTGGTTGGATTGCGAAAGAGTTGAAGAAGGAAGAAGAGAAAAAGAGAAAGCTGAAAATTTGGAGCTTTCAGAGGCGGGAGTCAAAATCGCGGGGCAGCGGCGGTGGGATGTGAAGAGGCAAGCAGAAAAACTTGCGGTGGCGGCGTGGGAAAGAGAGTCGCTCGATTGCTTCTCCTTTTGTCTGCGTTCGGGGATGTGGTAGGAAAGATCCGGTTCGAAAATGCTGTTCCTTCTTTCACTGTCTGAATTTGCGCCAGGCAAACTCTCGGCGGTTGTCAAGTGCGAGGGGCTCGAGCAATACTTGCAATCAATTCTCTGGGTGTTGAAAAAAAATGTCATGTTCGACAACGCTAAAAGCCGTGCTTGCACTGTGCAATTTGTGGCCTAAAATACAAGGCACAAACTGCCTCTTACTAATTTCCTCTAAAGTCCTCATCACTTTGCATGTACTCCGTACTCCGTACTCAAACTCCAGGTCCGTATACCGATCTAATGCTGAAGAGTGCCCAGTAATAGCCTACCAAAGGTGTACCTTGGCATGCCTCCCAATTTACACGCAATCTCCTCACGCCTTGACTTGGCCGAAATCATATAACATTTCCAATAAAATCGGTGCGTATATATCGTATTTGTAGTTATATATTGACGTATTAAAACATTCCGATTTTCAGGCATAGATACAGGCCCTTAAAGTCCAGCAAATCGTCGAATCCTTTTCATCCAGCATATATATGCGCTCATCCCAGCTCCATATCCCTTTTACCTCAAAGTCCCATAAATTTCAAAGTCCTTTCCTTTTCCCATTCTATCATGGACAACAAAAGCAAGATTTCGCTCCGCATGTAAGTACAGCCCCTAAAAGAAAGAAAGAAAACACAAGAGAAAACATAGAGAATCCATCTACAAACCATTTACCCCTTATCCTTGACCAGAAAGCCCGTGAGCTTGTAATATTCCACTGTCGTTGGATGATCATAATGGCACCAGCCTATTCCTTTGTGCGCGCATGCTATACTTATCCTTTTTCAACCCAAAAAAAAATTCCAGCCTGTCCTCCTAGTGAACGCCTCCTTTAGAGCAAGGAATATCGTAGTAAAAAAAAAATGAACGAAGAAAAAAAGACACCCAAAAAGTCGTAATCGTGAGATTTCAGCATCTTATAAGGATGCGAGTTGCATAAATTGCCCGGGGGCAGATGCTTCTTTCAATCAAAAGAAGCCAAAACTTTTGTTCAAAGCAACATGAAAAACAAAATATTGCCGTGGAGTTTGCGTTTATAAAGGAGAGGGAGATTAAACCCCCGTCCCGGTCCCGGTCCCGGTCCCGTTCTCCAGCTTATTGACATTCTCTTCAGTCAAAGCCTCTCCTGCACCCGGTTCGGGAAGAGAGTTGTTTCGGAGGTCGGCCGGTACACCTCCAGCCGCATCAATGAGCTTCGTCTCATGGAGCATATTCGACCATTCCTTTTCATCTTCAAGTCGACGAACTGGGGGTGACAGCTCAACGGCAATAGCCGAATCAAATGGCGAAGGCTCAGGCCCTCCGTTGGTCGTAAGTGGCCGAGGCGTGATTGGGCTAGTATGAAATTCTTCAGATGCTGAAAGCGGAGATGGATCGTTCTCTTCGATGCCCAGATGCGGGATATCCGCATTATCACAATGCTCACCCATTTCAGAGCAATCAGAGGCCGGCGGCCCCGCTTGGGGGCGACGCCGTGTGATGGACCACCTAATCAGCATCTTCTCCAACACCTTCATCGTAACCGGTTTCGCTAGGTAGTCGTCCATGCCGGCTTTAGTGCACTTCTCGCGATCCCCGTGGATTGCAGACGCAGTCATGGCCACGATGGGCACGTTTTGAACGAGGGTTTTGTATGGAAGATGATGTCGCAGAAGATGGGTGCATTTGTAGCCATCAATGATGGGCATCTGCACATCCATCAGTATAATGTCCGGCATTTTATTTTGGCCTTTCGACGCCCCAATCATGTAATCCAGCGCCTCTTTGCCATTCCAAGTCGCCGAGACCTGGAAGCCAAGTTTTCCAATTGTACGTGTCGCGATCTTCTGATTTACCGGGCTAAAATGAGCGGGAGTATATTAGCATCTGACTGCAATAAAGACATACTGGAGAGGCGATCCCAAGGTAAAACACTTACTTATCCTCTACCACCAAGATATGCAATCGTGATCGTTCAGACAGAGGCAGCTCTTGCTCTGCGGGAGGGGGTGTCCGAAGGGATGCGCGCCGACGAGATTTGCCGCCAGAGTTACTCGTAATGCCCTCTGAGCCTTGGGAGGCGCCCGTCATCTGTTCATATTCTGAGCTGTTGCATGAGAGGCTCAACTCAGATTGCAGGCGATCGGGGATGGCTCCAGGTTCTACCAGCGTGGGAGCTGGCGCTCCCGTTGGCTTCATAAAGGGGATCCAAAACGTTGCTTTCGTGCCCGATCCCACGTTTGATTCCAATTTGATGCGGCCATTCATCAGGTCCAGCAGATTCTTGCAGATTGTCAATCCCAGTCCAGTACCGCCAAATTTTCGCGCCGTAGACGGGTCTCCTTGGCTGAACGGCTTAAAGAGCTTCTTGCGGACTTCCTCCTCGATGCCAATTCCCGAGTCTTCAATGACAAAGCGAACCTCGATTGTCTCGGCTGTTTCACGCTCCTTTACCACCGAAAACTTGACATATCCTTGATTGGTGAACTTGATGCTATTCGTGAGGAGATTGGTAATGATTTGCCGCAACCTGCCGGGGTCACCAAGGACGACACGTTCATTGGCAATATCTTTGCCCACGTCAGATCGAAAGTCTAGATTTTTCCGCTCAACAGCAAACTTGAGCATCTTCCGCACATCTTGCACAATGTGAGAGAGAGAAAATTGGACTTCTTCAATGTCCAAGCGACCCGATTCCACCTTTGAAAAATCCAGAATATCGTTGATTACCGTGAGCAGCGATGTCGCAGAGCTTTGAATGTTGTCAACATATTCACGCTGCTCTTGAGTCAGTTCCATATCGCTCAACAATTCTGCCATGCCAAGAACTCCTGTAATGGGCGTCCTGATTTCGTGAGACATGTTGGCCAGAAATTGACTCTTTAGCCTTGTAGCTTCTTTGGCGGCAGCCTCGTTTGCCATTGCGCGACGCTTCTCCTTAGATTGCTCTCGCAAGGCTTCGCCTCTGACCTTGAGTTCGGTGACATCCATTATTACGCCAATGGCCCCATCAACACATGTCTCCTTGGTAGCCATGCCATCTTTGGTCTTTTTTCCGAGCATCGGGTGAAATCGAGTTCGATACCAGCGATCATCTGTAACCCCTCAACGGTTAGTTTGCCGCATCTTTCTATTGCCATTCTCTAAAGGATGTCTAATTTTTCTCAACTCACCAAGTCCATGCTCCTTTACATCCTCATTACTCCGGCCTTCGAGAATGTCCTCAATGGGCTGAAGCCACTTTAGGCGTTCTTCATCGAGCTCTCGTCCAGAGATTCGGTTGAAAACGGTATACATGTTCTCTCCAACAAACCACCTGCTCTTCTCATGGTTATCGTCGGAGGCGCTATTCCAGATCAAGGCGCCCTCCAGCATCGTTACTCGGCGTTCGGGGTCAACAGTAAAGATGGTGACGTGTGAGTGGGCAATCACGCTGAGCAACTGCTGGCGAGTACGCTTAGCACTCAACTTTGTCTGCATGCTCTCGTGGATGTCGGTAGAAGTTCCTGTTAAAAAGATTAGTTTCCATTGATACTCAATTTTCGTATCAAGGAGGCTCAAACGTACCGAACCATTTCTCAATCTTGCCCGTTTCCTTGTCGCGCACAGCGAGGGCACGGCCGAGAAACCACCTCCACTCTCCCTCCTTACTAAGGCAACGATACTCCATGACATAGGGATCTCCTGTTTCTAGGGAGTGACTCCACCGAGAGCGAGCCTCGGGGTTGTCGTCGGGATGAATGGCGGCTTGCCAAGCCAGGCCAATGCACTGCTCAGGATTCAGGCCGGTATACGTGTACCATTTCGTATTGAAGAAATCGTGCATTCCGTCCGGACGTGCCGTCCATACAAGCTGTGGCATGGCGTCGCAAATGATCTTGAACCGCTCCTCGTCGCGCTCTTTGATATGAGTGATTTCCTCCCTCATCATAGTCACATCACGGCCAGTTACAATACCAGCGAGGAATTCGTGTGTTGTCTCATCGTAGATGCCTTCTCCCAACACATCAAATATGATTTTCTTCCCGTTGCGTGCGTACATGCCTATACGCTTGCTGGCGAATGGCGTCTCTGTCCTAAGTAGAATGGAGATTGGATACTCGCTGACATCTAGCTGCCTCGTGAAATCTTCATTATATACTTCCCACTTCTCTAGCAGGTTAAAGCCATCGCCAGACGAGTCGAGATCGGCATCGACAGGGAAGAGCTGTCTCGCAGCCTTGTTTGGAAATGTTACGCTGCCATCCTTCCACATGGCAACGACGGGCATCTGCGTACTGTCGATGAGAGCGTCCTTCATCCTAATCATTTTTTGTAACACCGAAGGCGTGCTTGCTTGCGAATGTGACGCAACAGTCGGAGGTCCCATGGGAGGGAAGGGACTCGAAGAGATGGTGATGACGCCCGGACTGTAAAACAGGGGAGAAGTAGAGTCTCGACTGGAGGCGACAGACGATGCATTCGAGGTGGAGATGGTTTTCTTCTCGACAGCTTCAAGGATGCTGGATCGAGCAATAGCTCTTCGGCTGCTAAGCGGCATCGACGGAGCGGACTGGGCGTTGGTGAAGGTCAAAGTAAAGAAGGTTTGCTTATCCTCAATTTCCCAGACGGTAATGATCATTTTGGCAAAGGCGTGGTATTCGGATTCTTTTGCCTTGTATCGGCTGTTGAAGGTGGTTTTGGTGATGTCTTTTCTAGTGATGATGACTTCTACTGTCGCATCCTGGGTCGGTCGCTCGATGTGCTTGGCCTGGTCGGTCGCCTGCGCAAGAGCCATGGTGGCAGTTGGCGTGGCATCGCCGCTGGGTCCAAGATGAGACGGTCGTCGTTGATGGTTCGAGACTGATGGCCGTACGCCGACTTCAGTGATTAAGGTGTCGAGGAAAGCCTCCCATGTAACCCATACAGGACGGCCATCCTGAATCATATCAATGCCTACCTGTGAGAGGGTCTGACCACGCAACTTGTCCATCGTCGCCGACGCATCCTCATCGCTCAAGTCATCAGAAATGATGCCGAGCATTCTCCCCATGGCCTCATTGGCGAGTACAACGGTCTTGAGGTTGTTTAGTACGATGACGGGGACAGGCAGGTACTGCATCGCGGAAAAGGCAACTTGGCCGGGCGATATTGAAGGCATGGAGAGTCGAAATGGGCTTTGGGATTTGGAACGGACTCCATCGCCAGGGTCTCTGAGGAATCGTCCACCGCCCATGGAGCGAGGACTCTGATCGACACGGCCGTTCATGTCTGCCGTGGCAGCCTTGGACGACCCTCGATCTTTCATAGAGGCTACGAGGTCGGGATCGAGATCCGGCGGACCTCGCGGAGCATCGTGGGCAGCGGAAGAGGGAGCCGGAGCGGACTGGGATGCTCGAGTCTGAGAGCTCTCGCGAGCATCTTCCAGGGACGTCATCTCGTTGGCATTCCACGCATGAGGGAGACGTGCGCAGCGGGCCTAGACAAAGATGCTGCAAGACAGTAGCAATGAAATTCGTCGTCTAGGACTCGAAACGAGGAGATCCAGAGCCCGGGGCTCTCGTGAGCAGGTCGAGGATGGTGGCTGAGTTGACGGAGGCCGGCCCAACTTGACTCGGAAGCAAGGACGAGCTGACAAGAGTCCAGCTCGACAAGGGATGTTTTTTGATAGCAAGCTGAATAATTGGAGGCACGGAGACAAAGGAGAAGGGAAGTACGGCAACCCAGGACTCGATGCGTTAGTGCTGCTTTACTTGACGAAGCTATGCCGGTATCGCAATGGCGTGGGATATTGCAGATCTCGGGCTCCACCCATTCGATGGCTGGATGGCCGCTTTCCTGGAGTCGTGAAAAGTTAAAAGCGATAGGATGGGCAGACGGAGTCACGGACAAAAGAGGGCCAAGTGCCGAGCTGGTAGGGTCCCGATTTATAAAAATGCCCGGCCGTAGTTTGCGAGCTTGTCCGGCTACCAGACGGGGGGGAACGACGATGGAACGGCAGAAGGGCGAAAGGGCGAGAAACAAGACAAGGCAGCTTGGATGGGTAGAGGAAGAGGATCAATTGCGGACCGGAAGCGGGGGGGTTGAAACAAGAGGTTGAATGAAGCGGACCTGGTGGCTTTTGAACTATTCTTGTTCGCCGTCGAGGGCCGCGAACAGACAGCGTGGGGACTGGGGCTGGGCTAGGATTGATGGCTTGGAACTAGAATCGACGGGACCCTGAGCTGAGACAGACAGGCAAGGAATCCCAAGGAGCTCGGAAATCGTAGTACGAGGTGCCGAGTATGTAAGGTGGTGGACAAAGGCGCAGCAGCAGAGGGGGGGAGGTGAGGTGAGAGGAGGTGAGAGGATAGGTGAGTGAGAATGAGGCGATTCAAGAGCAAGGTTTTGGACTGCAGTGTGCCTTTGTTCTGGGTTTCGATGGCATTGGAAGTCCTATACCTTAGGACTACCAAGGTACATTGCTTGCAGCCTCAACTCTGGTGCGGCTCTTGGCCACAGTACGTACATCCATACATCCAATGCACCACCTCCATTCAGTACACGACTTGTACAGTACAGTGCAGTAGCTGACATGGAACTGGAAGCCCTCTGGTTGACTGACCGTGCCAGGGGCAGTGCTGTGCTGTGAAAGAGCATCAATCCATGCGAGTACATGTGCAGTACCGGGCTTTGATGCAATGTGCCATTGACCTGAGAGGTGGGACGTGGGTGAGCTGAGACGTCTGATTTCAACAAGTGCTCCCTCAGACAGACAAGCCCGTACTCGTACAGACAGACCAGATTCATGCCGGGCTGCCGCATTCCTCAACCTTGGCCCACCGTCTATCTCGCTACTCTACTCTACACACGCATCGTATCGTATGTATTGCAACGTTCACAGAAGCTACTCGTACTAGCACCATCATCACCTCTCCCTGCCTTGACTTGAGCAGGCAATCAATCCGTCTTACTTGGTGACGCCCCGGCAAAAAGGCCTTTTGATTTACCCATTGGGCGAATGAGAAACCCGCCGCTGCCCTGGGCGTTTTGGTTCGGACTGGCGGGCGACGCGGGCCAACTGACACATGAAAAAGGAATCGGTACATACATGGACGTGATGGGAGAAGAGCCAGCCAGCCGCATGCAAACACAGGGTGTGGACCGTGGAGCATCCAATGCAGCCTGCCCAATCACCAAGGTACATATACCAGTCACATATAACATCCCAGCAGCTGTACTGCACACAAGCACTCCATCATTCATACCTGTATTTGTACTCGTACATACACGTGCGTGCCTCGTCCAGACCGCACATTCGAAATTCGGTGTCCATGTGCCTCAAGGTGAGACGCCGTCTCGCCCACAGCACAGAAGGCGAGCAAGACGAGAACCCGGAAGATGGGCATCGCATCGGCCTTTGTTTCTTTTTTGCTGGGCGCTCCGTGCTTCTTACTTTAGCTTGTCTAGCCATGGTGCGGGCACACTAAACAATGTCCCTTCTCGTATGGATTTTGCCCGGTGACCCATTCGTGCTGCGAGGCATCCCATCCCGTCGCCTTTTTTCCTTCGCCCTGCTGTGAGGGCCATTAGCTTAGCTCGTCTAGTACTTTGATTCTGTCAGGGCAGCAGGTTTGTGGGAATAACAGCACAGGGGGAAAAAAAAAACAGGCCGTCGGTGGGCCTTGGAAAGTGGCACGACTCCAAAGTCCGCCTGTCAAGCTGCGGTGGCAAAATCCGAAATCAAGCTGCCAGAAAGCTTGCTGCAAGGACTTGGACAAAGATCAGCAGTGGCGCTCTGGGGCTAACTCCACGAGTCTAGCATGAACGCTTCCACGATGAGCCTAGATGGGGGTTGACTCTTTTGCTATCGGGCCTTGCGTGTTCTTTGTCCGTTCCGTGTGTGCTTGTACATACCGCATTTCCACCTCTGCGATTTTTGAGTTTCCCATGGAACCCGGCTAGGGCACGAGTTGGATGCGTGGACGGGCAAAAAGGACGGATAGGAAAAAAGGCACCAGACAGTCTGGGCCTGCAATTGCCGCCCTATCACATTCTCACATTCTGGCTGCTAATGCGGCCGCTCCCCCCATCCGATCTGACTGGCACTTGACCAGGTCCGGCTCGGTACAAGACCCAGCTCGCCTCGACCAAAGCTTGCAAGCTTGAGTTTGGGCCTGCGACATGCAAATCACTACTGCAGCTAAAATGGATTCTCTGCTGAGACGCCCAAGGTCGGGAAAGACTGCCAGCGCCAGACAAGGCAGAGAACCTGAACCTGACCCGACCCGACAGCCCAGCGAGATGCGGAGACGCTGATCTTGCAGCGTTCTTGGCCCATGCAAAGCAGAAAGCAGGAAATAAATCCAAGGACGAGGGTCAACTTTCAAGGGCCCCCAAGATCAATGTCAATCAATGTCAATCATGGCAACCGCGGCGTCGCTCCCTCAATCCTCCTCGTTCCCTTTTGTCGCTCTTGCAACGGGCGCAAGGCCGAGCACGAGTGCCGCACAATCCGCAGGGCTTAGATGAAAGCTACTAACTAGCACCAAAATAAAACAGGTGCCTTGACTTGTGCTTGTGCCTGTTGTGTCGCCAAGCCTCCCCTCTTGTCAGATCAAGCCAAAGCAAAGCAAAGACGAGCAGAATGAAAAAAAGGCAGCAAGGCTCGGCGAATGAGAGCGACCCAAGCAAGGATCACAGAGCTGGGAGGTCAGTGTGTAGGTATTCAGCCCCTGGATCCAGTCAGGCAGTGCGCATTTGCCAGAGTTGGGCGATCCATGGAATTTTTTTGCTTTTTTTTTCTCTTTCGCCCAGCACCTCTTTTTCTCTCTTTGATCTCTCTCGCAGCTGTTCTTTCTTTCGTCCCTCTCTTTGGCCTTGCAGGGTTCTGGCTTTTTTGGCTGCATGACAAGCCTCGTTCGCAACCCCTGCTAACCCTGTTTGCAGACCAGGGTCCTCCCGATGCTGAGCAAAGCTCGGATCCACCCGTTGTCTAGAACACGGCTTCGGGTTATGGAGTCGTTGGACCAAAAAGTATGGAGGCTTGCTTCTACTAGAGCTGCTGGTGCTGGTGGAGATGCGACTGGGCGTCTGGTGACACCGGATCGAGCAAGATGGCCTGAGACAAAATGTGTGAGCATCGTGTTATCGCTACTGTATCCATTTGGCACATACACATACCTGTAAATCGTAAAGCCTCAACTGATAACGAGCAGTACATCCATCACAAGCCGCTGAGATTGAATCTTACTGTAATACTAAATACTAGCAGCTGTAGTCGTGGCATGGCGTCCAGGGATCAGAAGCTGCTAGCACCGAATACGTGTACCGGTATCCGGCGCCCATCAGACCTCAGCTCTTTTGACCTGGAGTCTGTCTTACTTGTACATGCCGCGTACCCTCTTGTACATTTTTCCGAGATGCGACACTTCACAATTCATTTCTCCGACTACAGGAACATTCATAAACAGATTGGCCTAGAGGTGTACCCGTACATAATATAAGCCCGCATGAAAAATACTGCAACTTTGCTCGCTCCTTTGCTTTCCCCCCAAAATTCCAAACACCATCCATAGCTCGACTTAGACAGCAAATCGCATCAAAAGGCTCATGTCTCGAAAGCTCCACCAAGCCGATCTTAACTCCATTTTCCAATCGGCGCTTTTCCTAATACCACCCGGCTCCAGAAAAAAGACCACACCAGAGACCCTGGTTTTTGCCTTGGAGGGCGGGCTCCTGCAAGTACGAGTACAGTAGCGGGAGTACTTGGTGCTCCGTACTGCTCGTAAAGCTTTCCCATCAATCCCATGCAGCAAACAAATTTGCATCCAGCAGCTTTTTTATGGGCCCCTCCAAAGACACGGGCAACTTCACCGCATTCTCTCCAAGTCCATTTCTCTGGTTCGGCTTCGGCTTGCCTTAGCCAGAAATAGTGTCAGCGGGCATCGCGCCAGCGGGCATCGCGCCATGCTCTGCTGCCAGCCTATCGTGAATTAAACTTCATCTGTCCGCAGGTAAAGCAGGTCCACCACTGCCGTTCCATTTCTGTCGCGCAAAATTCGCAGCGCCACGTTGGTGGAGGAGCTGGAGCCGGTGCCGACACGGCGCCCGACGCCGACGTCGATGCTGGTGGCCTCTGGGCTGTTTGCAGTGTCTCACGACCCTTCGTCTTCTTCTTTGGCGGACTATCTGTTAGGTCAATCACAGCTGGCCTCGGCCCAGGCTGTCTCGGTGTCGCCGGTACGTGTAATGTTGCCTCGCCGCGCTCCACCCCGCAGGCATCGCAGCACAAGAAGTCCTGCGGATTATGCAACGTGCATACTGAGCAGATCCAGAATCGCTCCTCTCTGGGACGAGGAGGTACTGGTGGTCTCTTATTGATCGTGCTAGTATTGCTGCTGCCGCTGCTGCTCCCCACGCCCGGCCTTGGCCTTGAGCCGTCAAATGACACCGTCTTGTTCCCGTTGCTCGTCATTATTTTTTCCGCAGGCGATGAGGTCACATATGAACCACCTGCATTAGACATCTCGTCTTCCTGGGCCATCTCCCATAGGGCCTGCGCAATCGCAAGATCGTTGGCCTCGTCCTCTTCTGCCTGTGTACGAAATCCATTCTTCGACGCCGTGTCTGCAATGATCCGAATCTCGTTGTCACTCAGCTTGTCCGTTGCACAGCCCTCGAGAGCTTTTGTGCGCTTCTCGGCCGCCGCCGCTGCTGCTTGGCGTAGGTTTCTACCTGGCCTTGGCGGCCGTGATATATCCCCTCCGCCAAGCCGTTGTCCTGACCCCCGACTCAACTGCTCGTGAGCTTTTCGCTTTTCCGCGGCTGCACGGGCAAGCCGCTGCACTTCATGAGTCGGCAGCGCCTGTCTTCCGCCCAGCCGATGACCCTCGGACAAGAATCCTTCGCCTGTGTATCCCTTGAAAAGGAGTCCTTGCCATTCATCACGCAGTTGGTCCCAGAGAGCATGAAACTTGGCATCATGAGGTCCATGTACAATGTGACAAAGTTCATGTAGCATTGTGTCAACGATGCTTTCGGTCGGGAGGAACTGATTCTGGTCATGCGGATAACGTAACCGTAGGCATATCCTCATCCCGCGATTAACATTTAGCCCTATGATAGTTGGTCAGTCAGTCTGCGAACCGGTTGACCATGCTATTGACAAGTGCATGCGCACCAAGTAAATTCTGCTGGTTGGGATAGAACTCAACCAGCTCCCCAACCTTCCACCCACGGCTGCGCATGATCGGCTTTACAAGGGAGGCCACCTTCTTCAAGATGGTCAGTGCCTCACCTGCTCGGCGAAACTGCGCGAGGTGGGTGTATGATAGGACCAAGGGATCATGTTCCGGCATATTGACAGTCTTTGAAGTATGGGGTATCGAGTATAAAGATGTATCTGTGATCTAAAACCAGACGCACTGGAAGTTGATATCAAAACGACGCCTGCAGGCTAATGCGAAGAAAAGAAGAGAAAATAATCGCGTCTACATGGTTTCAAGGCGCCAGAGACTCTTCTAGACACTCGCCACGTCACAAACGGATGCCTTGAATCGCGGCACCTCGTTTCAGACTTGGGGCGTTTCTATCTCTCCGATGGCAAGAGGTGTAATATCATGATTGGGATGCGACGGTTTCTAATCATACAGCTAAGGCGTAAAGTATACGCGGCCCAAGATGACTAAGCCGGGCGCTGCGTGAATGAGCAATGCCGACGGAGCGGCAGATGATTGGCATCGTGTAACCTGCTGGAATATAAGCTTCAGCTGTTTACTTGTGTTTGAAGAGATACAGAGAAAAATAGTAGATTAGTCTATTAACTTCCAGCTAATAAGTGTAGGGCATATGTAGTTCAGGGTGTGTATGAAAGTGAATCAGAGGGACCATTACTATATCTCGTAATGGTGTAGCAAGGCTCTAGAAACACTGATAGCAGATGCACTCAACTCAGTCGTAAATATGTAAATATGATGATGTATTTAGATTATAACATGGAAAATAAGAGCAGTATTAAATAAACTTCATACGTACATCCTCTCCAATGCATCTTACCCAACGTTTCACTAGCAGATTTAGTATGCGAAGTGTCAAGTACTAGCCTCTCACCAACCTGCAAACATGGGGGTCTCAAACAAATGCACGTTCACGGAATCGGGCGTCCGTTAACCCATTTTGGCACAAACTGCATGAGATAGCATCTTATGGAGAATCCTTCGGAAGCATCTAGAGCATTCAGGGTTCTTTGCCGGCAGTGACATGCTTACAAATTTGTCATTTTCGGGTTGCATATCCGTCACTTATCAATGTAAACCCGCCACCAAAAGAAACAACGGGATACAAACAAGTACAATGTGCTATTTCACATCTGATTGGTCACCGTTTTATATATACTATGGGGATACTCCGAGCTGAACAAAGTACTCGGCATAATATAACAAGAGTCAGCTCAGGTGGTCGGTATACTTGCCCAAGGGTCCTGGATCCCCCTGCTTCCTAAGCTGTCACATTCACAGATGGCCGGTGAAGATGTTAATGGGATGATTGGTTCGCCCTACCGAGAGACTAAACCTCAAGAGTGTCGATATCCCTCAACATGCATAGAAATACCTAGTGTGGCTACCTGAGTCGGAGACGCCGAGAGGACAGGTCAACACTGTCAAGACATGCATACTGGAGCCGAGGTTAGACGGCCAGATGAATCTCCGAGTTATGACGCCTGAAAAAAGCCCAGAGCGTGCAAATACTTGGTGTTTTGACTCATTGAGCCTCGCGTATTTGTAGTTGGAGGCAACATAGGTTTCCTATTTGGTACAGATGGCATGATCTTGGTGGCGATGGAAGCACGCCTGTAGTATTCAATCTGATGAGCACAAAGCTAGGTAGACGTGCGTGTCGAGCTATCACAGATTATGGTAGCATTTGATACCTCGTAGTATAGACGAAGTGGAATCCCATGATTGGCGCGTACTTACACGAGTGAGAAGTACGTATTACACAGTGCGTTGCTCGGTGAGGATCTTAGCTCATCACACCGACTCTCCAATAGGGATGTTTGTAACGATATTTCATGATTCAGCAATTCATACATTCAATCAAGGTCTAATAGTTAAAACCTGCCATCGCCCAATGCATCTTCCGCCCTCTTCATAGCCGCTAGCACCATATTCTCCTCCAACCGTCTTCCAACAACCTGGACACCAACTGGAAGACCATGTATATTATCTGCATTGTTTAACTTGTAGGCACCTCGAGCAATTTCGTTGAGTCTCGAGATATCGAAAGTGCTTGGCAACTGGTCTTTTTCCCTGTCCACGTGAGTTACAGGCATCACGTCCGCGGAGTAGTCAATCTGCAAGCACTTGGCATTAGTAACTTCACAATTCACGTACGTAACATGTCGATATTCAAGAGCACCCACCAGATTAAGGAAGAAGGTATATCCACAACTTCTCACAGCATCATGTATTCCATTGTGAGGAACAGCGGGGAGTGCATTTGGCAGAGCGAGGATAAAGTCAATCTTGGCACCACTAGAACCATCTTCTCTTGCATGCTTCTCGCTTGGCAGTTAGTTGCCAGTACTCATAGACATCCTTGGCATACCAGTCGTACAGGAGGTCAGCCCACGGAGAATTCCCTGGATGTACTTGACCCAAAGGTAATGCAGATACTTGATAGCTCGAGGAAGTTGCATGTAGAAGCGCATTTGCAAAACGCCGTGGTCGTTGATCTCTCCCCTGAGGAAAAAGCCATGGAGGGTTAATCTCAACCATCTAGTGACCGGCATTACGAAGAGCCGCCTCAGCCATTTCAAGGGCCCTTTTGCAAGCAGGGCTGGGGTCTACGATGCTATCTGTCCTGAAGACTCTAACTCTAAATCGGGCTTTTTGTAGAATTTCCTGTCAATCTCGGATCCCCACGGCAGAGGATGAACTGAATAGTCGTATGTCCACGGCTTCATCCAGATAATGGATTGAAGAAATACATTAGATAATCCAAGGTTCGAGCCATTGGAGAGCAAACCAACAGGATGCCCTCCTGGCCCGACATGAATGTACTTGCTCCCAGCTTCATCTACCAGCCTGTAGAGCACTTGAAGCAAATATATCCCCCGAATACTGAGCGGGACATCGAACGCTACCTGCCACATCGCTTCCAGTGGCAATTCTCCCGCCGAGAGCGAGCAGTGCGCCCTCGCCACGAGTAGAACCTCCCGCTGAGACCTTTTTATTGTAATGATTGATGGATCTATCCCAAACGTCCTTGCTGGACCCGGAGCTCAGTAACATAACGTAAATGTTGGTCTTGACGTACGGCACGACTCTGGCGTCCTTGAGCAACTTCGTTGTTACCCGTCCTCTGCTTTCACATCGCCAATGAACTTGCTAAAACCAGCCGAGCTATCATACCTTACTACATCAACAGTATAATTGAGACTAACGGGAATATCTGCCAGGGGGGCACTCAGATTAATTGATCTATCTTCGAGCCACTTCTCGGCGGAAGCTATCATAACCTCAGTTAAGCAGTCGTTTTTTTCGTGGGTCTTGACAGCAACTTTGCCATATGTGTTCAAATATCCAGGGCTCGGTCAGCATTCTTATGCACTTCGACGACAAGATCTTCCATTGGTTTGTTGATAGGCTCACGGTCTTTGACGCTGAAGAGGCCATGACATGCTGGGAGGGCTCCGATTTGGCGGCTCGTTGATCCTTTTTGAAACGACCACCAACTGCGTCAGAATCAAGTATTATCAGTTATAGATTGATATAAACATGGCACAAAGAATCGGAGCTTTTAAACGTACCAGTCTGCCCTGTGCTGAAGATATCCTAGGAAAAGCCTTATCCAGATCACGATATGTGATATACTATAAGATGTGCTTATAGACAGGTGCCGATATAATTCAATTGGAGGCCGATTTCAGACGACAGGGCTGATTAATAGCTTCGATTGGTCATTGCATGTATCACACAATACGGCATCCTTGAAGCTGTTAAAGGGCACGCCCTTCATCCATTAAAGACATCGCCTTGGTAATGGAAACACCAGATGATACCTACACAAAGCAGGCTTCCCCGCATCCAATTGCTCCAGCAATTCAGGAACAGCTGTTAGCCAAGCTCTAGCCAGTCTAGCGATAACTTTCCTTCAAGTATAGTGAATCCGACTACGATGTTGAGGCAGCCCATTTGGCTTAGGCCTGTCAACGACATTAGACACGTGCTAACCGCATGTACACGACCTAGGTAAGCGAAGCTCGCCTCCAACTAGCCACATTTGCAGAAAACAAAAATATCAAATGGATGTTCGCCGGGTTCAAAGCGGACTCTTCCGTTGACGCAATCTATACCATTCTCCTTCTTTGCCCTTTCTTGTCTTCGTTTCCCAGGTCAGATCCTGGTTATTGCTAGGGCGAGATGGTAGTTTCAAGCTAGGGGCCTAGCTGGAGATCGGCTTCGTCTTTGCCTAGTCGGTCGTCTATTCCGTTCTTGCACTGCCATTATTCCCACCTGGACGAGCCGCTCGTCACTTCTATTATCTCTTCACAAGCCAGATGAACAATTCTTTGGCTCATTTTTCTCCTCTCAAGGTGAGATGGCGGCAGCGTGTGGGCCATGCCTGAAACCATCTGCATCTCGCTGTTGGCTCTAGCAGCAGACTATTGGCTGTCATGCTTGGAATCTCCAGCATTTGAGCAATAGGAGCCTCGACTCGGGTCACTAAAACGAGTCTCCAGATAGATTGCGACGCTGCCTTATCGGGAGTCCAAGAAAGGCAACGAATGGCAGGGGCGGAACTGCCACACGCGCCAAGGGTCTGAGCTGTCTTGTGCATATATTGAACGCTATCAGTGGCGATGCCATCTTTTTTTTCTTCCTGTCCTTTTGACAGCAGGCCTCGTACCTTTCCTTTTCTTGAGCGCCATCAAGTCCACGGAGAATTTGGGGCTGGACTCCAAAGACGCCATTTTACATTCTTTTCAGGTGGTTTATAGCTCTGTTAACGCCCTCTTTTTAACCTTGGCATTGAACTTTGATAAGACGCTTCTCTCCATCTGTGTCACTCTTTTTTCAAGATTTACATTTCGCTCTTTCGGTGGAACCAGTTATTTGCTGTGTACTACACTTTTAACGTCGAATGATGCACCTGCTTCTCTTTCTGGCAGTTCTCCTGGCCACTTCTATCACTTATGCGGCCCCCATTCAATATGAGAGCAAGAAAATCTTTATCATTTCGCAGAAGCCAACCTTGATACCGCATTATATGCCCCAGGCCAAGAGTGCAACAATTCTTGCCAATGTGACGGATCCCGATCTCAGCCGCGACTCCTGCGGCTCGGTCAAGATGGGATTTCGTACCCTTTGGACTTGTCGAGACACTGCTATCCGCGTCCCTGGCACCAACCAGTTTGCATTCGTCTTTGCCAACACGGCCGGCTGGACCGACCATCAGCAAGACGAAGCACCCGCAATTCAACAGGGAGGACCGATTGGAGCAGGATCAGATGGTACCAATAGCATTCTCTTGATGAAGGGCCCGCGGCCAACTCTTCCTACGTTCTACCCCTTGGGCCCCAACATGTGCCCAAACTCTGGGGCATGTGATGACGGGGCAAGCAGATGGACAGCATGGCCAGACTCACCACCAATGGTCACGGACACGGCTCTCAATGGAACTGTCACGGCCTATACTTGGGTGTCCAACAACAAGATGGTCAGCAGTAGCATGGAGCAATTGACACCTCAGCCTTCAACCACCCTGTTCAAGATGACATACACGCCCAACCTCAACCCAGACGTGCTTCCGGCTGTTTCGACTGTGGATGGTAATTTCTGGGGAGAGCACGAGATTGCATATGGAACCTATGGCAATGTTGTCAAGGGGGAGTATGCCTATCTCTACGGACTACTACACCTGGGAGGTGTCGCTTTAGCAAGGGTTCCCGTCGATTGTGTCGAGAACAAGAGCCAATACGAATACTATGTGGATGGCAAGTGGACAAGCACCAAGCCCGCCATCGATGACCCAGCTGCTGCAGTCCCCAATGCCGGAACAACAGGACAGGGAACCTTTTACTTCTCGGATCGGGCCCAGTCATACGTCTGGATTGGCCAGGCCAGCATCAGCGTTTCGGCCGACTTTTACATCTCGACGGCCCCAAACCCAGAAGGGCCCTGGACAAGCCCATACCTCCTCTACTCAGGGCCCAACGGTGACGGGGACCTGCCGTCGTACAGCTTGCAAGCGCATCCTCACATGCTGCGCGAGTATGACGACGGCATCTATCTGACGTGGACGCAGTATTTCAAGCTCAGCACATACGCTGCATATGTCACCCCGCTTGTGTACGTTTCGTTTGTTTAGGATCGGGTGCCGGGTGGAGATGACACATGCAGTTGAACGACGATACCCCATTGTTTTGATATGCAAGCGAGCGAGGCCTACATACTTTGTACATACATGAATGCCTTACATGGATAACCTACACGTCGGATACAGGTACATGCACATACATGCTCGACCGGGGGGTCAAGGAGCTGGAGGGGCAAAGAAACGGGTAAAAGCATTGATACATTGATTAGATGTGCCTACAAGAATGGCGTGGTGCCTGATGTGTTGTTCCTCATTGGGGAGACTGAGGTTAACAAGGGGGAGAGTCTTGTAACGGCCATTGAAGGGAAGCGAAGCACCTGAGAAGCCCCTTGAAATGATACGTTTGCTGTGCCTTGTCCAAAAGCAAACATGATTGCGACTTTGGTTCATCTTCTTTTGCATTGTATGGGGCTGGCCAGCGTCTCAGCGCCCTGAGCGGTGAGCTGCAGAGCCTTGAATCAAGTGCCCACATATGACACGTGTGAGATGCTCGACGTGTGTCCATGCCATGTACAGCAAATTCATCAGTTGTGAGAACCCAATTCCCCTCATCTTGGGTCTTGGGGCATGGCTCATGCATACCTGCCTTACCTATCCTTCACTGCTGCTTCAACCGCCATCAGCCGTGTCGCCCTTGAGCAATTCTATCTTCCCAGCCTTTGATTTTCCATGTCCCTTATCAATCACCCATGTACATCCTATTCCTCCCATTTTTTTTCGTCCGTTTCCTCCCCATGCTGAGTGCCGCCCACTAGCCCTAGACAGCTGGTCTGTCCCCCCCTAGCCGTGCAGCCATCGCCAATCACAGGACCGCTCGCTGCTCTATAGCGCCCTGTAGCGCCTTATAGCGCTCGCTTCCCTTCTCCCATCCCACTAAAGCCGCCTCCGGGACCCGACCGGACCAGCTGGCCGTCTCCACACCATCCTGTGAAAGCCTCTGCTCTGAATACCGTCATCAGGCTCAGAGCCCAACTAGAGCTTTTTTCTCTCTTCTTTTCCTCTTCTCTTCTTCTTCCTCCTCCTCCTCCTTCCCCGTCTTCTCTTCCCCACGCTTCAAGCTAGAAGCCCCTCATCATGGCGACCGAAAACAACCAGGTGATGGACGTGGTAAGGACTGCCCTCATTCCTCGCCCTTGCGGCAAAAGCAAAGCTTTATAGCCGCGGCTAACGCAAATCCCCTCCAGCTCAACACCATCTCGGGCACCTTTCGCAAGGTCACGGACAATGCCGCCGAGTTCATCGACAAGGGCGTCGACAAGGCCTCCGAGGCCGTTCGCGAGAGGCTGGCGACGGTCGACTGGCTGCCTGACATCGTGAAGCCTCTGCCCCCGCCCAAGCCCGAGGTCATTGTCGTGCCGCTGTCGACAATCGAAAAGCTGCAGAGCTGGTTCTCTAGGAACAAGTACCTGATTGGCGCTGCCGTCGTCATCACCACCACCGTTGCCTACAAGGGCTACCAGCAGAACAAGTACGTGCGAAAGGTACGGAGGGCCAAGCGAAGCAAGAATGGCGGCCGCTCCGAGGTTGTCGTTATCGCGGGGTCCCCTCGCCTGCCGCTGACCAAGTCGCTGGCTCTGGATATGGAGAGGCGCGGCTTCATCGTCTTTATCGTGTGCAACGCTCCTGAGGACGAGGCTGCAGTCAAGTCCTTTTCTCGTGCTGACATTATGCCCCTCACCATTGATACCACAAATGTGAGTCTTCTCCTCATAATGATATCCTTATCATGACTCATTTGGGTGGTTTTGATGAGGACTATATAAGTCCCAAGTTTGCATGTGAAAGCAAGTTTGCTAACTGCTATTCTCACCTAGCCTCCCAATGCCGGACTGGCTATCGAGCGCTTTGCTCACTTCCTCACATCTCCCAGAGCTCCCGGGCCCAACATCAAGCCAAACCAGCTGACGCTCAAATCCGTCTTCCTGATCCCCAGCCTCCACTACCAGACCTCTCCCATCGCCACTATCCCCCCATCAGCCTTTGCCGACCTCTTCAACACCCATCTGCTGCAGCCCATTCTCACCATCCAGACATTCCTCCCGCTGCTCACATCAAGGCTTGGCCCCATCGGAGAGAAATGGGTCCCTCCCAAGGTCCTCGTCTTCACCCCCTCCATCATTTCTTCCATCAACCCGCCCTTCCACGCTCCCGAAGCTACCGTCTGCTCCGCTCTATCGGCCTTCACCGAGGTCTTGACAGCCGAATTGCGACCTCTCGACATCCCCGTGACCCACATGCAGCTCGGCACCTTCGACTTCTCCGGCTTCGTGCCCATCCGCACCGGCTCGCCAACCCAGGGCTTGGTGACCAGCGCAGGAAACCCCGAGGACACGCTGGTCTGGCCCGACGGTGCTAGACACGTCTACGGACGCAACTTTGTTGCCCAGACCGCGTCGGCCATCTCCGGAGCCCGCATCCGAGGCCTCAAGGGCAGCTCCCTCCGACACCTCCACGCAACCGTTTTCGACGTCATCGACGGCTCCGTCAAGTCTGACACCGTCCGCATCGGCCTCGGCGCCAGCATCTATGGGTTTGTCGGACGATGGGCCCCGCGAAGCATCGTCTCGTGGATGATGGGCATCCGCAAGGTCGACGAGCTGTCCACCTGGAAGACGAGCTCATACGAGGGCTCCGAGGACGGCAGCGACGACGGCGAGGAGGGCGGTGAGGGATCCATCTCCGAGTCCAAGGAGTTTATCGCCGTCCAGTCCGAGGGCAACGTATGGAACTCGGGCGAGACTGCCAAGTGGGATCAGCCTCCTACTGATGCCCCTGCTCCTTGAAAGGATCAAAGGCGTGAAAGAAGAACTTGAAAAAAAACTGAAAAGAAAAGAACATAAAAAACGAACTCGGTTTTATTTCCTGGAAACTGATGACGCAAACAGCCTGCCGGAACAGCATGGCCTGAGCTGGAAACCTATGGGTATATATATGTTGCAAGCCCGTATTTAACGATTGGATGTTTTATGTATGCATGGAAGGAAACCCACTCTGATTTCATCAACGGTACATAGATACGCTCACGACTTTATTGACTCAAATTCATTCATTCAGAATTATTTATTCATTGATAATGCTGTCTCCTCCATACAACATGTGTATGCAAAGTATATATAAATATGCGTATAACGCCCAATTGTTTGGATTTGTGTTCCTTCCCCCGCCATAGCCTCCATCCCAACAGGGTATCAAAAAGTTGTAAATGTATCGTAACAGCCATGAGCCCTGGCTTCGTTTGATCTTCTCCCCTCTTCATTTCATCACCACGGCGCGACATCTCTAGTGTCCTCTGCCCCTATATCTTCCTCGTCCACCTCCTCCTCTCCATCGTCCGCCTCCTCCCCGCCCATGCCGCCCATGGCCCCGATCTTCTCTACCCTCACGACCGTCTCGATCCCCCCGCCCATCTCTAAAGCGATCTCCATCATCGTCCCTAAACTGCTGCACTTCCAGCTTGATTTCCTCCTCTGTCTTTTCCGCGCTCTTAGCAACCGGCTTCTCCAGATCCTTGGACCACTTCGGATGCGCCCCCGTCTTGCACTCCAGCCCATCAGGACAAAAACCCGCCAAGTAATACACACAAAGCTTCCTCCGCACATGCTTCTTCGAACAAAGCGGTCCCAGCGGACAGAACCCCATATCATAATGCGGACACGGCGGCAACTTGCTCAGCGGATCGACATGCAAATACAAACACTCCTCGCCATTCGAACAATACCCATTGCGCATGAAGAAGTTGCATTCGGGCATCTTGCGCAGGTTATACTCGTGCAAGAACTCGCAGTGCTCGCCCTTCTTGCACAGGCCGCGCAGCCAGTGCTTGCACACGAGCGAGTTGAGCCCGCCCGACGGCTGCTGCTGGTCCCTGGAGCGCCCGTCCGAGACGTGCCGCTCCGAGCAGCGCGTGCCGTTGGGGCAGCTTCCCGACTGGAAGGCCTTGCATATGGGGCGGTCGGGCGGGAGGCCGACTTGGTACGTCTGCCGGAGGAACGGCGAGAAGCGGAAGTTGTAGGGCTGTGCGGTGTGGTTTAAGATGGCGGCGACGTCGCTGGCGTGTGCTGTTGTCGTGGCCATTGTGACTTGGGTGAGAGGGCAGAAATGCCCGGGTTGCACGGAGATGTTGTTTGAATTGGTATTCGATGAGTGGGATTAGGAATGGACGAGTCTCTAATGTTGGATTGAGTAGCACAAGAAGATGGTCGTCAAGGTCGTTGGAGCGTGTCGTGGAGATGTTGATGGGAGGGCGGAAAAGTTGAAGTTGAAGCTTTGGGTCAAGGCTGCTGCTTTGGCAGAGGTTCAATTGCATCCACCCGAAAGCTTCAGCCACTAGTGGCGGATGTGTCAGCCACACCACCATCTTTCGTCCATTTTGAGAGAAAGTGGCCGAAGCAGTTGAGATATTGGCGACTAAGTAATCCACCAAGACTGGGATGAAAGGCGTGTATCTTTGGTCTAGTAGGAAGAGATTGCAGTTTTAAACGTAGATGCCTTAGTATCAAACTATATTGGCCGTGTTCGCATCGTAGGGCTCACCAAGTAACGGCCATCTTTAGGCAATATCCCCAAAGGCGAGATGAACAGCTATGCGAAATGAAGCCTATCAATAAGCGGCATTACAATGCCGAGGGTATTATAATACAGTATAAGTATCAAGATATGCGTTGTGAGCCAGAAGAAACAGAATGTGTGTGCATGTGTGAAGGAATGAGGGTGAAAACGAGGGAGGGAGGGAAAACAGAGAGACCATCCTTGTCAAAGCAAACAAATACAGACTCGCAAAGCTTTTTGATACCAGCAATAAGCCCGGATACGCAATCTCTAATGAATAATCCCGTGGCAACTCCGCGTAAAAGGAAACTGTGAAAAAAAAATCCATCCAACGAACTTCCATAAATACCAGGCAAGAGTTCAAGCCTGATCAGGGTTGCATTTCCGTCCAAAGTAGAAAAAAGTTCCGTGATCAATCATAGCAAAACACCGTAAGGGAAACAACGAGGCCGTTCAATACAGAGACTCGGCAAAGTGACCTTCTCTCTTCTGGGCATAACAGACGCAACAGTTGACATAGCGGTGGATGGTGTCGTCCTGGAGGCTGTCTCGTGCTGCTTCGAGCATGGCCACTCGTTGTTCTGGAGATAGATTTAGAGCAGCCAGAGGCTTCGCCGCCATGGCTCCGAGAGAGTCGTTGATAGTCGTCTTCATAAACACACCGAGGGCTCGCAGGGTTTTGTCGCGCGGCCAAGTCGATATCGGGACCTTTTTCGTGATGCAGTGGACATTTGAAAAGCCGGTTTCTCGAAGGATCTGCTCAAGCTCAGTAATGGCAAGGATGTTGATGCCGTAAACTCGCAGGCCGTTTTTCACCGTATCAAGAAACACCCGGAGGGGGTCGTCATCCTTCATAGTTCCATCGTCGCATCTGATCTCCGTCCTGAGTTCGTGAAACTCTACCCAACCGCCGTTCTTGACATGTCTATCCTCCAAACATCAGTCACGTCCTTTACAGCCCGATGGCTTTGCATCATGAAAGGCGGAACAAACGGGTAAATCTTGGTCAGGAGGCCCTTCAGGTCTCGCAGAACGTCCGTCATTTGGCGGAAGTGAACTAGGTCGAACTCAGAGCCATGGAGCCATTCGGGCTCTTCGCTATCCTCGATAAACATGCGGACGTTGATAGGTACCCATGACGGTTGAATCGGTGAGAGATCGGTGCCAATAACGCTCGCGCTCGGATGCTGATCAGCGACTACCACGAGGACATCGGTTAGCCATGCGTGCAAGAAACAATCGATGCGCCAGTAAACGTATACATGAGGGCATAGAGAATTGCAGTACCATCTATAGGCCAGATTCCTGTTCGAACGTTGATTAGCATTTGAGCGAATGCGCAAGCTTCGTATGCAACTTACCAATGCCGGTTCCGATGTCAATGATCTTCTGGGGATAGTCGCCAATGTTGGCATAGAATAAATGTCCGCCCTACAGCCCAAACATGTGAGCATTCAATCGCCCATTTGTTCCGACGAGGCCGATGGCTTTCGGTGGCATACGCCAGCGCGAAGCAAAACAACCACCAAATCTTAAACGTATTCCCCGCTTCCTTGGACATACCATTAGCTGAAGAAACAGGGCATGGACCGTTTCCTCTCTGTGACGCTCGACCTCATCGTTGGGCATAGGATAGATGCCTCGGCGGAAGCCGTGATATCGTCGACCGTAGGCAATCTCATCCTCGTAGACGCTTGGGGGGACCGAGGTGGACGGTCCCGATGAAACCTCCCAGCCGCTCTCGAAGTCGCTGGTAACGTCGCTAACGCCCGCAAATCCGGCGTCCTCATCTCCGTGGTCGAGCTCGAGTTCGGTCCGCGTGGTGATGCTCGTGGCATCCGTCACCGACGCCGTCGACACCAGCGAAAACGTGGTGTCATCGTCGTCATACATGGTGCCCTAGGAAGAGTGTGGGTAAGAGTTGGGTTGGACTTTGATTCCAGACGGAGCCATGACCCTTTGTTTGGCTTAAGAGAGAGAGACGGTTAAGACCGAAGTGGAACCTCGAAGATCCACCGTTGAAGATTAGTCCCTTTACCTGTTCCCTGCCAGACACTAGCAGGCATATCCGGTCCGTCAAGATGAGGGGTCCCCTAATTGCTAGCAGCGTGCTTGTTCGTTCTCTGCGTTTCGATTTCCACCACAAGCTTCTTTGGCAACCCAACTGCCGAGGAGCAAGAGCCCAGTGGTGACGGCGACCGCTTGGCAGTTTGGGGTAGCACAAGGCGAAGAGCCTTTTATTTTTTTTTGGTCTTCCCGTCGCGCCAAGTGCCGGGGCGGGAATTCGCAAACAACTTTGAGCCAATCGTTGACATGAGACCAGTCACAATCACTCACTCAGGATTTCGCGCAGCTAGGCGAGTACCTCCTTGGTACATTGCGAGGTACCTGTAGTAGTACGTTCTGTATCGAGAGCCTGTTTCTTGCTTCCATCCGCGTCGTCGTCCGTTTCTAATGTCTTGTATTCCAGGCCACTGTAGTATGATACCTCATATCATGTAGGGGGACATTCGGATATTTCCCCATCGAAGCCTTTCTTGCGCATAACCTGTGTGCGTGCCTACTCGTACAGGTCTTCACATACCCAACAGCCCGAGGTCGAATGAGCCAAAGCCGTGGCACTGGGCTGATGAGCAGGGTCCGGGGGTGCCATTTGACCCTGCGGGCGCGCAAACAACCATGCCAGTAATAATGCGCTGGACGCTGCCTCGCTTACATCGTTGTTGTGGATATGATGAACGCTGTATTGTACTTTGTAGAACTGTACAGTATGGCCATGGATAAGACCAAGGATCCGAGACAACATGGAATGCTTTCCTCACATCCAGGCAGCCGAAGCGCGTCTGTTGACAATCTTGCGCAAAAAAGGATCCAAAGCTGGACTGCCTCTGTCTATCGGTAGCGTAATGCTGCGACCAGCTCGGCAGACAACGTTGCCTTTGCAATGAGAATAGCTGTAGGCTAAGGACAGGTAGGTAAGTCGTAGTAGAGTATTGTTTGGTTAGGTAGGTAGTAATAACTCAGCACTTCTGGGGTAACCGCCAAGTACCAGCGCGGTAACTTTGCTGCCCACGATGCGACACACGCTGATGCTTGCAGCTTTGGAGGCGTCAAGGGAGGTCTAGAAGCACCCCGGCAGCATCCGAGATCCTCCCCGAGCGGCACGCAACACATTGGCTAGTGTAGTAGATATGCAGCCTGCGGAAGCTTCGCAAGCGGGGAAGACTGAAGAATTTCAAAGAGGCATGAAGGTCGGGAAGCATCCAGTCTGTGCTGTGTTTGGCCTGTTTCGTCCCTCGTTTTTCCTCCTATCACAGTCTCTGAAAGCGTGGTGATGCGGTTAAACATCGAGAGACATGTGATGCTTCTGGCCTATCAGGGAGGGTTGGAGGGCTGCGCCTCTGGTCCGAGCGGGTAGGCTGTAAGTCGTAATATGCCTCCCATCCCTGTTGGTTTCATTTCATGGCGGTTGATGTTGGGCCAGGATGAGCCAGCAGCGGGAGATACAGTACTCGTAGTTGCATAGCATATCTTGGGCACAAGCAACCCCAGCAGAACATGTGAAGGCCTCGTGATCACTTTTCAGGCCTGAACAGTAGCGCTCTGTTATTATCTATCGGGTACCATGAGGGGACTGAGGAGGTGCTTACCAACTGCGTGTGGCGTGTTCCCACAACATCCATCCATGGAGCTCTTGGGCACTTGAAGCATCGAAGCCACGGAACAGGGCATGCCTGAATTACCCGCCCTTACCTGCCTTTACCAGTATATGATACGATACTAGCCCTTCGTACTCGATACGCTAGCATTGCAAGATGGTGGACGGATGATTTCCCCAGGCACGCCTCTTGATCTCCTCACGTGTGGCGGATCAAAACGTGGCAGTCACAGACGGTATCCAGTCAAGACGCAGAGACGCCTGCACCAGATGATTTGGGTGCCCACCAAGCAGCAAGGATTCTGACTTCTGTCCCCCGCCTTGCTTTGCCATCGGAGACTTGTCCATGGTTTCTCCATACCTGAACATGGTTTCTTGTTCACCGGCGCGGCAGCTTGTGCAGCGCCTTGTGCAGCATCTTGTGCAGCCTGTTTATCTTGTATAGCTTGTGCAACGACTGACATGTAAATGGGGGCAAGCATAAGCCAGCATTGAGCCGGGTTCCGAATGACCGCGACGGATGTAGCATGAACGGGCGTGACGATGCTTGGTAAGGAGCGAGGATTCCCCCTCTCTAGAGCTTAGATGGCCTAGCGATGCCATCGACGTCCTAGTTATGCCTCGACGAAGATCTCAAGACTAGTAGAAGGAATCCGGACGAGCTCGTAGAGTTCCCGCAGTCGGCGACATGCTCCTAATCGTCATGAGCCTCACCGTGTGCATCCTGATTTTGTCGACTTGCAACTGGGACTCGGCCAAACTGTTAAACATGAAAAGCATCATTCAACGTAGAAGCATGACATGTTGTAGCAAGATGCAGCTGGATAGAAGCGTTCATGTTTATTACGAGTACGATTTCCCTTGGCGGGTTGGGAGTACCTATGCAGAGTGTCGGAAACATGTTGCCCAAGCGAGTTTTCTGTACTTTGTAAGCACAAGAACGAGCATGGCTTGCCCTCAACGGTGAATGTTCTACGTTACCCATACGTTCATTGGTCAATCAAGAGGGGAGGAGTCCGAGCAGCAGTAGAGGGAAAAAATTCCCTCGATGGAGAAATTGGCATTCTCCTCTTCAGAACTTTCTCCATAGTGGACAGCGGAGGTTCATCGCCTAAGCTCTCAGCCCCCACGAGGAAATTTGGTAGATTTTGCTATCTTTTTCCAGCAGCTGAGTACATATTGTGACCGAATTCCAAAGACGAGGAGAAGGAGCAACGAGCAACCCGCTAGAAGGAACAAGGCCAAAAGGAGGAAGGAAGGGCTGATGCCTGAGGGCGCTGTTTGACAGCCTTGCGCAAACCAACTCAACTCACCCTGCAGTCAGTTGTGCCATGACTTGCCAGCCTTCTCTTGAACCTCGACTTATTAACCTCTCTTCACTCTACACTCGCACAGATGCACTGCTCCCATACAAACAAAGCCCGATTGGCCGCACAGAAGGGAGATACAAGGAAACTACAGGCCGTGCCCGGCTCCATGCCATCATTTTCCTAGCCTTGCGAAGTTGCGGTCGAGTTCTTACTTGTCTCACAGTCAACATTCCGCAGCGCTGCCGCTTGTCAGGTCTTGCCGTTGGGCAAAACGCCCGTTTAGCAACGATTCGACAGGGCACGCCCTGTTTTGTCTTTTTCCCTTCGCAACTTGTCCGAAGGTGATGGCGATGTTGGTCGCGATGGAGTAACTCCACGGTCATTTCGGTCTCTCCGCCTCAAAGCGCCCTTGTCTCACCGTTGACGCATATCCACGAGGCGAATCTGACGTGATTTGGTGTGACTTGCAGCGTGTGTCTCGGTCAAAGAAGCCGGTCAGGGATGCCTCACCACCGCCGAAACGCTGTCTCGCCTTGTCGACGTCGGGGGCTGATTGGAGAGCTGCCGTCAAGGCGTCGGGCTAGTATCGCATTAGCCTGTCGCTCATTTCACAGCCGCCAATCTGAACATTCAATCAAATATGACGAAGCAGGGAAGGGAAAAAGCTGGCGGTCAAGAAAAAGGCAAAGACGGGTCGCGTCCTGCCGTCCACGGGATGCGATGTAGCCACGGCGCTTAAGAGTTTTCTGCGAAGACACGAATCCTGTCCAAAGAGATGATAAACATGGGTGGAAGCGGCCCAATTTTAGGACCCAGAGTCCGTGCGGCAGCAGTCAGAAGGAATCCTAGAGGAGAGGAAGAAGAACGAAGAGGAGAGAGAGAGATTGGGAGAGAAAAAATCGGCAATGGGAATACGACCAACTTCGAGAAAGGGAATTGGCTGTGGCCGTTACAGTTACTGGCAAAAAGAGCGGTAGCGGGATCTGGTTTAGGATGAACGGGTCTTTTGGTGAATGTCCACCTCATCCGTCAAGCTATCCAGCCTCCCATCGTGTCTAGCCCTCCCAACGGGGTCATCATCTCCCCCCTCCACTCGATTCTGATCGCCGACAGCCCAGTCACCTCTGCCAACGACTGGACATGGGCAAACGACAAGGACGAGGACGGTTTTATCTAGCATACGTAGGGAAACCGCATTCACCGAGCATCCGCCTTATATACGCTCAAGCAGAACTCAAGGACGGCCCCGTCCGAGGCGGCTCAAGTCAACCAGCGGCCAACAACTATCCTCGGATCTGGAACATCCCACGCATGCTGTCACTGCCTCTCTCTCTATACTCCTGTACATGTCATTCTCCTCTTCCCACGCAAGTCAGCAGTTGGGCTCCCCGCAATTATGTCATGCATCGTGGATGGCCTCGTCTGTCCCTGGCCTCTGGCCAGTCCGAGGGCTTTCCTCGGACCCTCATCTCTTTTTTTTTCTGTGCGTAATTTGCATTCTTCCTGTGTCCCATCTCTGTGTTCAGTGCCCAAGACATTTTCAAAGCCCCCCGGTCTCCACCGCGACCTGCCATTCGACTGTTGCCCGTCCCACCACCCGGACCGCTTGGTCTTTTGCTCGGCCTAGGGTTTTGACTCCCTCTTCCATATCGGTGTATGCTCGTATGAGTGAGCGCTCCGTACCACGCCGCGTGTGAATGGCGTTTGGCAATCATGCCCCCAAGAAAACACACGACACGCCGGCATTGAGCCCCAGCAAGGCCGCCCACCCCCTTGATGCCTAACCTGAGTTGCTGTCTTGGTCCTTTGGCCTTCCGGAGCTAGCCCCGTCCCGAGTAGTACGTCTCCGGCAGGGCTTTTGAAGTTGGATCTTCACAATGTTGCCGATTAACTACAAAACTGTCCCATGCTGCTGCCCTCTGTGTCTTCCCCCCCTCTCAAACCCCCGAAGCCATCCCTTGCCGCTTCTCTATGCTTCAGACTCGGCGGCCAATTGATGACCCCGTCCATCCACGGCCACGGCCCATTCCTCAAGTCGCCGTTCTCCTCCGTCACCGCCGTTCTCCTCCGGCTCGTCTGGCCGTAAACCGACAGCAACATGAGCGCCGTGTCACGCAAGTCACGAATGGCCACCAGTGTGGCCAGAGTCATGTACACCAATGCAGTCTATTTCCCTAGCAGCAGAATATACCAAGGTGATTCGCCCGGAATGCTCAATTACGGCTGCATCAACCACGTGTATTATGCTTATGCCAGTGTGACTGCGGACGGCAGTGTGTTTGTGAGTCCTGATGAAATTGCCCGGAAGCCACCATTGCCAAAGTGGCTTTCTTCCCGTGCTCTTGTTTCGGGATAAGTTGAGAAGATTTCACCTGCATATGTTGCACGGCTGGCTGACTTTTGTGACGTGTGGCCCAGCTTGGCGATGAGTGGGCCGATGCAAGAGCGCCAGTGGATGGCGTTCAGGGTGGCTTGGGATCCTTGATGCATCTCAAGCAGAGGCACCCTCACCTGCAGGTCGTCTTATCTATTGGTGGCAGCACTGCGTCCGAGGTATTCCCCGTTGTTGCGTCCAGCACTCTGCTCAGGGACAACTTCGCCAGGTCTTGCCTTGGCCTTGTTGAAGCTTCCGGCCTTGATGGTATTGATAGTGAGTATGAAAAAACATCCGGGGGATTGATGATACAAGAGGCACAGCCGTCATCATCAATTCACACGCACACACGCATATGCAAGTCCACAACTAACCGCACATTGGCCGGAATAGTTGCTTGGGAGTTCCCGTCCGAGGCCAAACATGGCCACGACTTCCTGGCCCTATTGGCAGCAGTCCGGATTCACCTTCCTGATGACCGCTTCATCTTAACAGCTGTCCTCCCTGCGGCGAAGGAGGTGCTCGACCTCATCGATCTAAAGACGGCAGCCGAGTACCTTGACTACATCAATCTGGTGGCATATGATTTCTTCGGCACATGGACGTCCAAGAGCGGCCATCACGCACAATTGTATACCATGAACAAGGACGAGCCGTCAGCATCGTCCGGCGTGGCACACCTGATGGCACAAGGATTCCCCCCAAAGAGCATCCTGCTCGGCATCCCTACGTACGGACGAAGCTTCCTGAAGGCAAACGGACCCGGACAAGATTTCAACGGCGTAGGCGGCCAAGAGGGCACCTTCGAGTACAGCGAGCTGCCACGGAAGGGATGCAAAGAGATTGTGGATAGGCGCTATATTGCGGCCCAATGCGTTGGTGGCGATGGGGGCTTTGTCACCTACGACAACCCCGAGACGGTCAAGGTCAAGGCGGAATTTTGCAAGCAAAAGGGATTAGGGGTCTGTGGAGCTCATCTTCATCCAATCTTTGTGAGACGGCAAAAGGGAACTTTGCTAACGCTCAAGCCTTTTTAACATTACAGGGGCTCTTTTACTGGAACGGACCGGCGGATTCTCGAGATCAAGCAAGAAGCCTGATCGCGGCGGGTTTCCGCGCTCTGCATACCTCTTGAGGCAGTGCTTCAACTTGATGATTATGACGTCTTTTTTGATTTTTTTCTCAATCTAATGCATATAGATTCTCTTTACGCTTACGCCCACGGACCTTGCGCCCTTCACCTTACCGCCTCTGCTAGACAGAAAGCAAATCGGAGGAGGGGGGGCTTGGCTTGTCCAAGCTGTAGCATGACTCGGACGTCGTCGCAAGAAGAACCAAGGAAGGAAGCGTTCCGTCTTTTCTCTTCAACTACTGTTCCATACCGCGGTGAAGGATATTCTTTTTTTCCTTTCTTGGGTACTGGCTCTTTCTCTTAGGCAGAGCAAGAAAGAGAAGGTGGGAAAAAATAAAAAGGAAAATAGAAGGAGATGCGCAGATTCCATTGGTGCGCACACTGGAGAGGAAAACAACCAACATCTTCTGATGATATCCCTTTATAGACTTAAAATAGACGGGGAGCAGGCGTTTCATTCTTTTGTTTTGATTACAGTTTTGGGGCATATTTCAACGATTTCTTACCTTTCTCTCTCACCTCATCCTCCCCCCTCCATCCCCACGCTGCCAGATTGAATTTACCCAATGCTTTCTTCGCAAAGACTCCGCCATTTGACGGCTACAGACGGACCCCATGGCTATTCATAGCGTCGTTATGGCAGCTGCATTGGAAAAAGGCACGCCGGAGCATCAAGGAGGAAATTTTTGTGGCGCGCCGGGCAGAAAAAAACGTCACTCAGCATGTGGTGCGTTTCAAGTCGGAACACCCAACTGGGGTAGAAGCGTCTGGGTCTGCATCTGGAAATTGGAGCCCCCATCGTGGAGCTTCTTACGGTACAGAAAACCGGGCCCGGGATTCTTGACTGGCTCGTCTTGGGAACTGGACAGCCAGGATCGGTGACGGTTTGGTGAATTAAAGTCGGGACGCACTTGAGCGGAGCGGCTGTCGCCGAGTTCGGGCTCTTGGGCGACATGTTGGCTGTTGGGAATTGGTGGAACTCAGTTAAGGTCGGTGCTATTCACAAGCTTCCACGGTGCTAGATGAAAATCAACCTCAAAGTCGTCGCTCCGTCCCGCCCATTTCGATGCCGCTACCGCCGACGAGAGCTGCAGAGTGGTGGAAGCTGGCCTCTGAGAAGAAAGAACTCGTCCCCACGCCTTGGTCGCAAAAAGTAGCATCCAGACATGATACTAACGCATTTGTCGTTGGTGCTCGCAGCAGTACCTGGCAGCTTTGACGACGACTAATCCCGCGTCATGCAACCAAGAGGACAGCAGTCAGTCAAGCGGCCATGTGCGAAGTATACTCAAAGAGACAGTCCATGGCGTGCTCCGCATAAGCCCAATGGCTTTAGGACAGGTATTAGCCTCAACGCTAGCAAAATGGATTCACGAGTCGAGTGCAGCAGCTTCCAATGGCAGCAGAGGTTACGTACGAAGTTTACCGCACGGGGACTTCGTATACGCACAACGCAGGCCTAGCAATTCTGGACCGAAGTTGATTTGGTGCCAGAGTCCGAGTCCTGCCCGACGATGGAGATTTCGCTGGGAGCTGCTGGATGGGGATTGGGAAGAATGATGTGAGCTTTTGGCTGCTGGTTGCTTGGCGTCGCTGGGAATATGCCATATGATGCTTGCATGCATGCGGCTCACGTGGTGATAAGATATGTGGGAATGCCTGGGCCGTGTCCTGCGTCTACGAGTGCGCGTCATCTTGCAGAGAATAACGGAGCCTTGAGCTGGTGCTGTGCTGTGCTGTCAAGTTTGTTCCGTTACTGCACATACCTTACAGCACGAGACCTCAGGCCACAGCGAAACAAGCGCCACCTACAGGCTGCATTCACTAACACGGGTGCTGTGCAGGTGCTAAACGAGCAGCTATACGACAGCTATACAGGCGCCACACAGGGCGGTATCCTGCCATGCCAGGTAGCGCCAAGGTACCTGGACGCTTCCGGTAGCCGCGCAGCCTCAAAGCCAAACCAGACACCAAAACGAAGCCAACCGGCGCAGCGCAGCTCAGCAGGCTGACGGACAGCAAAACCCTCCAGACGGGCTTGAAGATGCCGCGTCTGTCGTCCTCCCTCTGCGTCCCCGTCCAGTCCCATCGCCATGTCCGGCCCAGATAGGGACGTGTCTTGCGCGGAGCCGCCCGCTCCGCTAACCGCGTTTAACGATCCATCTCCGTCCTCATCAGCATCGCAGACCCAGCCTCAACGGCCAGAAGCAGCCTTGGCAGCCCGGCCCGCGGAATCCCCCGAGTACGAGCAGCAGCATCACCACAATCACAATCACGGCGTCGACAGCAACAGCGGCCTCGTCGACGGCAGCGATGACAACCACAATCACAATGCCGACAACATCGACGGCGCCCACGACGCCGACGCCGACGCCGACCTCCCGCCCTTCGAGCCCATCTTCACCCTCCTGACCAACAACACCACAAACACCACCGTCCACCCTCGCGTCCACTACCTCTTCAGCGACGACGACGCCTCTGCCGTCCTCACCGCCCCGCAAACCGACCCTTTGCACCGCGCCCTCGTCGTCGACCTCGCTCCCCCTGCGGCCCCCAACGGCAAATGGACCGTCTCCTGGGCTTCCAGCCTCACCCCCGACTTCGCCATCACAGCCTCGCAGCTCTCCCTCCAGCAACACGGTAGCGGCAGCGAGGGCAATGACGCCGAGGCTGGGTCAAAGTCGGTCGTGCTTCGTGTTGAAGGCGTAGAGCGCGAAGCTGTTGCCTCGAGGCCCAATAGCCTCCCTAGCTCGGGCAGCGGTATTGTCGGCCGGGAAAACGTCGACCAGCTTACCGAGGAGTTTAAGCGTCGCATGGGTGTGCTCAAGAAGGTCGTTGACGAGGGCGAGAGGAGGAGAGAAGCGATGAGTAGGCTGAATGAAGGGAGGGTGCAGCAGCATCCTGACCAAGGCGAGGATGCGGCAGCAATGCATGACGATGCCGGTGAGAGGAGTGTGCCAGAAGGACAGGATGGATGAGAGGGACGTCAAGAGGATCCATGATTAAACCCCCTCGACTAGACGACGCGTGGATATTGCCATCTGATGGCAACCCAGTCCTGACTCTTTAACTCCCTCTGCACCCAATATCTACTACTTCTTGACACCACTGCTCGCAAACGACAGCATTCAACGACGACAATCTCGCCCAATTTTTACACTACTCAGACTTTTCTTCACAATACCAGCACTCTCAAGACACACTTGGAAAGCATCGCTTGGCGTACAGTCGCCTACAATCGGGCTTAGATTTGGCTCTTTTTTTCTATTTCTATTTAACCCGGAGTTTTGCTTCTTTCTTCACTTCTCTCTTCTCTTTCTTGAGCTGAAAGATAGATATCTTGTCAGATCACGGTGATTTTCGCTGAGCACTTGATTTACAGAGCTATCGGATAATAATACTACCTAGGACCAATATACTACTACTACTATCGAGTTCTACCATATCATATGTCTAATTAGTGATTGTTTTCACCTTGAACTAAATCATCAAGTTCTGACCATATACCATATGTTATCATTGATTGTTTTCACCTAAATCCATACATTCCATCATCCAAGTCGATACATACGATCAAAAGAAATGTGCGCGCAAGAATGAGAATATTTTGATTAAAATTTGACTAAAAGAAAAAACTCTCTGCTGAGCGCCTCAAATGCTAAACTCCAAAAAAACTAAATCTGCCTTGATAAAAAGAGAAAACAGCAGCAGACGAAAACAATCGCATAGGGCATCTAAAACACAATCAATCAATCCAATCGGCCATCTCCCGTTCTTCGACGACATAAGAAAAACAAAATCAAAGGCTCATTCCCTTTTCAAAACAGCCATCGGAATGCTGTAGCCTTTTGCGTGGTGCCCGAGATCCAAAGGCGTAAACAAAAGAAATATAGGCATATGTCCTTGCCACATGTCGATAGCTACTTTTTATACAATGTCTTTCAATGAAAAATGGAGTCAAAACGTGTGCACGCGTTCCCTTTTATACCTCCTTCTCTCTTTTCCCCTTTCCTTCGATTTCACTTCGTTGCTCTTATTCAGTTCAGTGGGGGTGCGACGGGCATGTGAGGTCTTCCGTGGGCTATGCGGCCAAGTCTCAGGGCCAGAGCATCGTCCACGGCGGGGATACGGGCGCCGAGACGAACCGCTGGCATTGCCACTCCCTCGAGCAGAGATCGCTTCTTGTTGTTGTTGTTTCCTCGGATAACGAAGACGTAAATGAGGACGATGATGACGACAATGGCAATAATGGCAACTATACAGGTTAGCTCTGAATTCCAGCACCAACGGCAGAATCGAGATCAACATACCAACAATACCGAGGCAAATCCACTTCTTCTTCCTGGTAGCCCTGGCAGTTGTGACAGCCACGGCAATCTCCTCATTGCCCTTGTCGAGGTTCTCGACAACCTCCTCACCCTTCTGCTCAATCTGCACAATGGTGGCATCCTGCTGGACGACCAGGGTATCAAGATCCTGCATGAGCTGGAACAGCTCCGTCATCTGCTGCTCAATCTTGAGCAGCTCCTTGTGGCGGTCCTGAACAGCGCTGAGTGCCGCACGAGCCTTGCCCTGTCTGTCGCTCTGCATCATGGCTTGGCTGAAGATTTGGCCACTGCCAGCATCGTTGACGGCGGCCTGGACCTCCTCCTCTGTAGCGTCGGGGCGGACAATGCGATATTGGCGGCTCATCTGTTGCTTGACGGCAGCCTGGAATTCCGACTCGACACCCTGGTACTTGGTGATGACGTCCTTGAGCCGTCGATCGACTCGGCTCACATGCTCTCTGTTCGCAGCACTTTGACCTTCAGGCTTGGACTTGACTTGGCGCACACGTTCGACAAGGGCACGATAGTGAGTCGTGGTCTCGGTGGTGAGGGCATCCAATTGGCGGTTAGAATTGCTGGTCGAGGAGGTGTCGGTGTCATTGAGGACTCGGGTTTGCATCTGCTTGATCTGTTCCAGGCTAGCTTCGACTTGGCCGATTTCGTTGCCGATGTCACGGCACTCGTTGCGAATCGCGTTGGGGTCTTCGCGGGCCATGCCGCCGGCGTTTTGTGTCAGAGGAGCCATCTCGACTGCTGTGGCTGCAAATTGACTGTAAGCTTCTGAATTGTCCATGGTGGAACGATGTATACGAGTATATGGTGTCTCATACCTCCAGCCTGGTCGTAACCACGGCCACCAGCGCCATAGGGGGTATTATTATAGCCGGGAGGGGGAGTGTCATAGCCGCCCTGGTCATAGCCACCACCGCTGTAGTTGTTGTCGTCCCGTTGGTCGTACGGGTTTTGCTTCCCGCCGTATCTGTTGAGAGACTGCTGTTAGTGACAGGAATGCGGATGTGGATTTGAGGGGCATTGCAGGCATATTGCATCCAGCAAGCATCGATGCTACTGACCCGTACTGTTGTGCCATTGTTGTTAGCGAGCTATTCGAGGTATCATAAAAGGATATGGATATGGATATGGTAATGCATGTGAATCTGGAGGGGAGAAGCAGGAAGAGGAGAGGAATTGGAGGCGAGAGCAGATGGTTTTCTTGTCGTCTGCTCGGACGCTCGTGTTGAAACGGCAGCCGTAGGAGAGTCGGGGTGAAACACTCACACTCATTGTGGATGCAGGCTAGGAGGATTCCAGGGATTATCTCAGTTGGTCTGGAGCGAAACGCTTGTAAGCGGCAGAGGTCGAGCGAGTGACGATCGAGGATTCTATGCTTTTGGATGGAAAAGGAGACGAGATGAGCAACTGGCAAACAAACAACGGCTGCTGTGTTGGACAAACAAAAGACCAAAATGCGTATGTAAACTGCAGAAAACAAGGTCGACAGAAGGTTGGAAGAGAGTAAAATGGCCCAGGAGCAGGAGGCCCAAGCCCGGGTTTCCAGACAAGGATTAACAAGGGTTATAGCGGACGGCGAGAAGGGGGCAGCTGCAGTGTAGCGGGGCCTGGACCAGGTCGGGGCGGCCCTACGAGACTTGGTACCGGTACTCTCACTAGACAATCAGACAGCGGTGCGGGCGGTGCGACAGCCGGTATCTGTACAAGGCGAGTGCACCGTGGCGCCTGGTGTAATAAAAACAAAGGCACTGCAATAATAACTATCACGAGCGTAATCTTGCACCGGTCGCTTAGTATAAGGAGATCGACGGCCAAACGAAATCAATCAATCAATCACCTTCACTGTCTATGACCCGGGGCCGGCGCTTCGTATAAGTACTGCAGATACTAACTAATCGATTGGTAAGGAGAAACAGATTTTGCCTCGGACCAAGACGATGGATGAGCCTCATCGAAAACGACAACCCCGGGGCAAGGCTTTTTTCGCCCACCTCCTTCGTCCTCAAACCATCAACCTCGTCGCATCGCCAGTGTCAGATGGCCTCGACAACCAGCAGCCGTGATTGGACCAGCAGCTGCAGCACCGCACAGGCTAGTGGATTCAAGGCCGGTGGCGCGCATTGATTTGCCCTGGCTGAATGGCCGGGTTCGAGAGTGTGGCATCGGGGACCCTTGCCAGGATTTTGATGAGTCGCAGAGATTGCACTACGGGGGGTATCAGCTTGTTAGCGAATGGGAAAGGGACTAGTACGAGTATTAGCACCGTTGCTTGGCTGGGGTTTCTTTGTTTCTTATTTTCCTATTTTACAGTACGAGTATTTTCTTTTCTTATTCGCGAACAAAATTGCCCGCGCTTGTTTGAGCTCGACTGGAATGGAGTCGACACGGCGATCACACAGACAATTGCCTCTCTGCTGGGGGTGACCCGCGTGCAAAAGAAAAGATGACTGATTGGAAGCTGACACTGGCAAATGCGCCACCAGCAACACGTAGCTCTGCTTTCGTACTCCATTCTTGCGCACTTCGTAAACGGGATCCGGATGCCGTCAGCATGGCCACCGGCTGCTAAAAAAAGAACGAACGTCGTTGGGCGACAAATTCTCAACACTGCCTCCACGCTTCAGTGGCCCAACGACAGATCGGGATTAACGCTGCCAGATGGCGGGAAGCAGGATCCGTCTTGGATGAACTGGTGATGCAGACCGATTCCTTCATCTAGAGAACTATTGTAGAGAAAGGATTTTTCATTTATGTTCAAATAGCCGCAATTGCCTGCCTCCATTTACCCCAACCTGGGGACAAACGACAGGAATCGCGTAGAACAGGCGAGCTTGTAGGATTTTGAATAGCGTGCGCACACGGCATCGAATCCCAGCCAGTATTGGCATTAGCTTAAGCTTCTACCACAAGTAAGTAATAAGCGGCGTTGACAAAGCAGCTTTCAAAAATGGAAATCTATTATTAAAAATCCTAGGTGAAATCCTAGATAATGCTATTGCCTCTGTAATTCTCCCCGCGTAGTATACTTGAATTCTTAGTCGATTATTCCATCTCTTGTAAACTCTGCTTTCACAAAACTGCATAAGCAGAAACATAGCTAACGCTCGAGTCATCCGGCCATATAACTTCACTGCTACGGTCATATTTCACAACTTTGAAGCGGCTCTTGTTCTCGTCGGTGAGCTCCTTGGCGTAGAGCTCGAGGGCAGCCATCGCAACACCAATTGGATGTCTCCCGCACACCGTGTTTCCTGTAAGTCTAAGGTTATCGACAAAGGCGTCATGGCTGCCACTCTTGACGGCATTCATAGCCGCTTCATCAACCAGACGAATTGTTTCATAAATGGGCGGTCCTGATGGCTTTGGGCTGTGGTCATGGAGCGAAGATAGTCTCCCAATGTCCCCATCAGGAGTGTAGACAGCATAGTCAAACCGCGTGCCCCAGTGACAAAAGTCTGAGCTGATGATAAAGGCATTTTCTTCATCCTTGAGATAAGACAGAAGAACCCGGCCGGTATCCTTCTCATCCGCTCGGCTAGTACTTCCGACAATGACGGGAACCACTTTGGGGAATTCTTCCGGGGACTTGAAGGTCTGTTGACATCGTTTGTAAAGATATGGCAAGTGCATTTCGAGAGAATGCTCCGCAACATCATTCCTAACTCGCATGTCGTGCATCTCACCCGCTTCTTTTAGACGTTCGATTATATCTCTGTCCACAACGAAGTCACCAAAAGGCGTGGCATACTTGGCAAATGTTGTAACGGCGCAGCCCGAAAATCCGAGCGTATGAGATGGCCCGAAAATGAATACTCGCTTCGCCTTGCTGAGATCTAGACAGCTATAGGCCCAGGCAGCATTCTTTCCTGAGTAGGCATATCCTGCATGCCTTGATACATGTGTCAATTGAGATCATAGACGTGGACTCCAGATCACTCACGGTGCAATGATGATTCGTGCCCCTGGTATAGGCAGCGAGGAGCCATCAACAGTCTCAGGAACTTCGGCAAGATACTCATCGAGCTCTTCCTCCAAATCCTTTGGCTTGCCAGTATACCATGAACCTGCCTTGGAAGCTGGTCTTGTCTCCATGTTGTTAGCTCACGTATATTTATTGCGTCTTAAGATGTAGTTGAATTAATAAGATCGGATATCTTCCAGCGCCCTGGCAGCTCATAGAAAGCACGAAACGATGCAAGTCGAAGCTGCTGATGCCCCGCCTTTGTGATGCGGGGTTATACTTGTGGAAATAGCGGCCGAGAATGGATCTATTCAACGCCAAAACCTTGGGAAGTACCATTCAGTAGACTTTCTCGATGTAAATACCTAATCGATTAAGGTGCAGCCTGTTTCTGCAGCTCGAAATCTTAATATGGGAAGTATGCGGACTCATAAAATGGCCTGACTCTGTAATATTTTGGCCTGACTCTGTAATATTTTGTTTAAAGGTATACTATAGTAGCTCAGCCTTCTCATCTCAATAAGTCAGAATCGCTCGCTATTCATTCTCAAATCCTTGATTACATCATAGTCAACCTCTATTTCGATACCTATGCTATAATAGCCGCTCTTTTTGGCCTTGATATAATTTGAGACACCACTACATCGGAGCTTCATATATAAGTCTACATATCCTCTAAAAGCTAGGCTAACGTGCCTCGGTCAATCTTGCTCTTCCAGATGAACTGAAATAGCGCTCTTGAATTTATCTAATTTTATACAAATATTTCTAGCACTCTACCCAAGAGCCCGGCATTGCGGTTTCGTGATTTTCGACTAACGTCCAAAATTGACACGCCATGTACTCAAACTCCGGAGCCCATCTTAACTTCCAATCAGTGGGTTCAGGTCCAATCTGCAGATCTATTATCCGAAAAGGGAGCCAGTACTGTTCACCACGCCTATCGATAAAAGTCGCACGATGAACTTTCGGTAGCGGGTCGCCTCTCACCATGGAATGTCGCAGCATTGTTCGCGATTCCTCAATTGCGTCGGCATCGAAAGCCCCTTTCGTGTTGCTCTGGAGGTCATGAAGAATCGACGCCTCCTTCTTTCCATATTCGAGTATGTCAACCCCAGCGGCATCCAGCAGAGAAAGCCATTTATAAAGGCAGCCATGGAACAGCGTATCCCAGTGATTGAAAGATATGCCAGGGCAGAGATAACAGAGTGCGCCTCCAATAACTGATATAAGCGGTGTGCCCTTCCAAGCTGTTACTTCATAAACATCCCATGGCACGACCGTCTCCACGGAGATGAGGTCATCGAGAGTTGCCATACGGGCTATATTTGTCACAAAGTCACCCCAGTCTTCTTCGTATATACGTAGCCATACGCATGGTTTCAAGCAGGTCATTAATCTCTCTGGATATCGGCATCCAAGTGCCAAAGCCGCAGAATGTACAAGAGACACTTTCTCACGACTTGATTGGACGACATCCATTTGAGTAATTTTGCCGTCTTTTGAAACAAGGCTCTCCAACGTTTTGCATCTGATGACATTAAAGGCGCCGAGCCGGACAGCTTCAAGTCGATCTCTGAGTAATCGTAAATAATAATTTGGCATAAATAAACTTCGGAATTCAGACAGCTTTTTATCGTTAGGTTCGAATTCTCTGATGAAATCCAGGAGCCTTTCTGCTGGTAACGCATCTGGCTCTTGGAGATATGAAGCAAATAAATCGGCTATTCTGCGTGGATGTCTTTCCGTAGGCCAAGTCGTCACGGACGATATATCACCCGCTATAGACTCAATCGGTGACGAACTATAACCTATCAGCTTTTATTGTAGAGGAAATTAGGTGGAAATACTAACAAGTTTCCTTCGCTGTGGTCTAGCAATGACTGGAGACCCATCTTTAGCAACAGCTGGCATATCTCATATTGTTGACTCGATGCCGCATACTGTGAACTGTCAGCTTCTTCTCTTAGTAGAACAATAGGACTTCTAGACAGACATATAAGAGACTTCCCCCTTGAGCATTGCGGTCAAAAGGGGATGCATCTCTGTTGTTAAACATCTCTCGAACACCAATCAAGTCTCCACTGTTGATCTTCTTAATTATCTCCGAATCGTTTGGGATTATGTTGTATACACGATAAGTGTATGTCCAACCTGCAATCGCTGGCGCAGATATGAACTCGTACACTGATTTTGATAGCCATTTGGGTACCTGGAGCTGTACTTGCCATGCTCCAGTCGATTTGGTATGAGCCAATGCGAACCGCAGATGTTGTGTAAAATTAAAAGTGAATAAATCCGTTGTCTTTCTAGATCTCGCAATAACACTTTCCGTCTCAATAAGGTCTTCATCTCTCTCTGTCTGATTGTGAGGCATTTTCTTTTGTGGTCGTTGTGGAAGAAGTTGTTGGATCTGTGCATGATGTTGTGGCTGGAATCTTGCTGAGGTGGTCTGAGAGCTAAGTTTCCGAAGCATTGCCCTAGCGATTCAATGTTAAAAGAGTATTTATACAAGTTATATAATTATAAAACTAAAGCTCACATTTGATATGCTTGTATTGCTAGTTGTAAAAAGGTCATGCATCGAGATAGACTCTGCTCGAGTCTCTCTAAAACGGCCTTATTGAGCAAAATCTTGACTGCCGCATATTTGCGCTTCATCCTCTTATTTGTCTGCAGCTGCGTTCTCATATCCGCAACTAGAACTCCCAAAGAATCGTGTGCCTTTTTGGACAGCTCAAGGCAGTTCTTGAAGGATGGCGAGGCACCATCCTCGTTGAACTGGTCTTCAATATCTGAGAAAATGGACTCAAGAGCCTTCAGCTGGTCTACAAGTCCCATAATCCCGTCTGGGACATTTTTGATTTCCTGCCATAGCTGGTGAGTCTGGTAAATGAGTGTCGCCACACGTGGCACTGTTTGTATCACATCAAAGTTTGTGGTGGCCATGTCCTGTTTCTACATAGGCGCCGCGAGCAATAGCGATGTAGATCATACATAGAAGGAATAAAATAGTCACAAGGAAAGCATGCGACAACAATCAGAGGGGGAAACACCTCTGGAAAAAACGACCAGATAAAATAAAAGGAATTTCAGTCCTGAGGAATTTTCCTTGGTAGAGGAGGGCACTGCCTCTCTCCAGCTGGAGGCAGCAGTACAGAAGTCCACGGTGCCCGCACCTCTTACATGGGGTTGAAGAAGTGGACATGGATAAAAATAATTGAAAGGTATTGGCTCAACATAAATTGCTACGCTGTTGGCCATTTTTCCTTGATGGCGGTTGCATGAAAAACACAAACAGAATGGGCGGCTCGGCGCATGTCCTATTCGTTCCTTCGAGTGGACAGGGGTTTGGGCGGTAAAAATGGATGAAGCCGGCTGGCGGATTTCAGTGACCTACAAGTCGAACGTCCAACAACATATTTTCAATACAAAACAAGGCTTTGTGTTCCGCAATCCTTTTTATTCCCTGTCTCTCTACGGTGAGATGCATCGGTTTTAATGCAACCGACCGTTGACTCAGAAAACAAGTCTTTCCGCACAGAGCGATGCATATTGCCGTTGAAAACCGGCAGGATGCTGTTCTGCGTGGCATGTCTCATGTAACATGCAAGTGTTGTCTCAGTTCATTTCATCCTCCGCAAGCACAAGAAAGTGCTCCGGGAATGAGATGTGTAGCACATGATGTTATATTTGGGGTCGATTGGATGTTAATTAGTTGTCGAGTATACTGAGGAAATACAGGATTCAATATTTTCCATCGCTTGCTTTCTAAAGCATATCTCGCTCCACTATGCAATTTCTTCTGACATAGCACAGCATTTCAGCTCTCACCGATCGCCAAGTTACATGACAGGAGCTGTGGTTTCATTTGTTAATACTGGTCTCGATTCAGAAGCGCGCATCATAATGAGGGGATAGTGGATGTTAGGGTGGTGTTGTGCGACTGTGTGTGACTATACGCCTACATGAGGCTTTACGCAGCTACCCTGTGATACCCATCCAATCTGCCATATGAGTAAGATGGCCATTATTTACCCACTGTGCTTTACCTAGGTACTGGGTACATGTGAAGAATTTGTGCTATTAAGATGTACAGGCGATTACGATATACATGATAGAGGAAGTCTTGGTGCTTGGATCTAGGTGGTTTGGCTCTGTGAAGCAAATACCCGACAAGAGCTATACACATGAGGGTTGTACTTAGATCAGCGCAACCACCACATAGATCCCAAATGCCAAAGATTGCACCTAGTTTAGAGAGTGTAGCACCTAACTCAGCTATTGAGAAATAGCTGCAGTGATATTGCATTAGGGTGACATTTAATCTAGATCAGCTCCCCCTATTTGATGTGGATGTTGACGTTGCATCTTGCCACTCACGGCGATAATGTCGTGTTCAGGTGACGGGAGAGCCACAGCCGAGCCGATGGACACCGAGCTGCAATTTGGCCGCCAAGGAGCCTCTGACAGGGCCCTGCTCTAGTTGGTCTGGCCATCTGCACGGTGCCTAAGGTACTAATGTCAGGTAGCAATATGAAGGCTGCGGGAGATGTGTCAAGTAGTATCATGACGCAGGAACACATGCAATCGCCGTGAAGTGGCCTAGAAAACTGACTTGCTTTAGTACAGTATGTAGCTCAATTCCTCAATTGCTGATAATATTGTATTATGTTGAAAGGAGACAGTGCATGGACCCCTTTTATAGAGCAACAATACAAAAATCTCTACCACAATGGCGTGGTGGCGCCATGTTTGGACAGTATAATTTGCGGGCGGCTTACAGTACCATGGCGGATATACTGTACGAATCCTCCGACTCGTCTGCAATGCTCGCATCGCACTTCGTACATACGAGTGGCTTTTGAAGATGTATGACTAAGGTTGCCAAAGACTAGACACCTGACTGGTATTTATCAACCAAGGCACTGCTGCCTTAAGTAATAGCGCTGTCATCCATCCATTGCCTCCCGCAATCCGGTATATCCCAAGTGGCGATCCGTGATGGATTCCTGATTCTTCCATCTGGGTTTACTTGTACAAACTCTCAACCGGCAACACAATTCACTCCAGCCGATGCTTTTTCACTATTCACTCATCCGCTGAATACGAAAAAATTTATCCCACTAGCCCTGCACCGGCTGATGCTGATGCTTTTTAGCTGCAGTCAAGGCGTTCACTTAAACTCCCAGCGTTCCAGGGCGCCATTCACCACTGCAGTGGTCTGACGCTACGACCCCACCTGCGGCCAACAGCATTTCAACTCCCAACTTCTATTGAACATTAGAACTTCTTTGACTACACAACACCCGCTCTTAAAGAGAGAAAACCCCGTCGCAAATTTTCTCGTCGCCTCAACCACCTCTCGCGACTCTTCTCTTTCTTCTTACTTTCGTCCTCTTCTCTGATCATCCCATTTCGACTCCTGCAGCTTTTCCACGACTACGCGCGCCAGCCCTGGCGCTGCATTCCTGCTCACGATGGCGAAATCCTCCCGATTTGCGTGGTCCAAGAGCACCCGCATCAAAGTCATGATTGCCATCGACACGGCCTTCTTCCTTCTTGAGCTGATATGCGGATTTCTGGCGCATTCGCTGGCACTGACGGCCGATGCCTTCCACATGGTGCGATGCGCGATACTTCCTCCTTTCATGGGGAGACAACTAATTCTATATAGTTAAACGACATCATCTCGCTAGCCATCGGTCTGTGGGCCGTGATGGCGTCGCAAAAGGCCACTACAGACGAGTTCACCTTTGGCGTAAGTTGGGCTCTTGACCTTGACTTAAAGCAGACGTGAACGCAGCTAATATTCGTTGTTCACAGTGGGTACGAGCCGAGATTCTCGGCGCTTTCTTCAACGCAGTCTTCTTAATCGCGCTTTGCGTCTCCATCATCCTCGAAGCTCTGACTCGTTTCGTTGAGCCGCCCGAGATCAACAACCCGAAACTCATCCTGATCGTTGGCTGTGCCGGTCTATTCTCCAACTTGCTGGGCTTTGTGGTTTTGGGAGGTCATGGACACGACCACGGACACGACCACGACCATGATCACGGCGACGGCCACGAACATGAACATGCACATGAACACGACCATGCCCACTCGCACGGCGACCCCTGTGATCTTGAGGAGGGACAGTATGATGGTGCCTCTATCGCTGATGAGCAAGGGGCTGTTGGCGATGTCCTCCCTGAAGTAATTGTCAGAAGAGCTGTCGAGACGGGACGCCGAGCTAGCACAGAGAGCCCCGAGACCGCGAGACGCATTCACTTTGGCGACGATTCTACAAGTCGAGACGAGTCCAACACCAGGGTAAGCCGGGCATCTACCCAATCCAGGGGCCGAGAGCACCAACGTCAGCCCAACAAAGGCCATGCCCGCTTCGCTAGCATCGAGGACATGAGTATTCACCCCGCCAGTTTTCGACAGGAGATTCTAGCTGCTAGTAGAGCTGCATCATCCACCGTCTGTGCGACTAGTCAAAATGACTCTGGAGAGGAGACTCCCTTTACCGACTCGGAGAATGACGTTAATGAGGCATCACCGCTTCTCCAGGACTCAAAGGGATCTCATCTCTCCTACTCCCACAGCTCTTCCTCTAAGAAACCGAGAACTCGACGAGATTCTGGTGTGCACAATGGCCATAACCACACGCTTCCACAAAAGCCAGGCACCAAAGTCAGCGGCCACAACCATGCCGATATGGGTATGCATGCCATGATGCTCCATGTCATAGGCGATGCTTTGGGAAATGTCGGTGTCATCATCACAGCTCTCATCATCTGGCTCACCGACTGGCCCGGCAAGCTCTACGCTGATCCCGCTGTCTCCCTCGTTATTACTGCCATTATTCTCAAGACGTCCATCCCCTTGACTCTGGCTACTTCTCGTGTCTTGCTACAGGCGACTCCTGAGAACATCAGCATTTCAAAAATCCGAGATGATATCGAAAGCCTCAAGGGAGTCGTCAGCTGCCACCACATCCACGTATGGCAGCTTTCTGATACCAAGATTGTTGCCAGCTTGCATCTCCAAGTGTCCTCCGAACTCGACACGCACAACGGCGAGAAGTACATGCAGCTAGCTAGGCAGGCCAGAAAGTGCCTGCACGGCCACGGCATTCACAGCGCCACTATCCAACCCGAGTTCTGTCTTGATAATAGCCACCAGCATGACGGTGACGCAACGGCGCTCACTCATGACGGAACATCCGAAGAGCCCGCTCGTCTCTGCCTCCTCGACTGCGTCGACGATTGTCGGGCAGAGGGATGCTGTGTGGTTGAAACTTCCTCGGCGTGTTCAACTCGACGAGCTAGCGAATCGTCGCATAGCGCGCACAGCGATGGCCACAGTCACAGCGATGGCCACAATCACCAGCATTAGCCCTGCTAGCTTCTTGGGTTCGTTTTCACTCGTATAATGCTTGTGTTGGATACCTGATAGAGGTGGCTAGATGCGGGCCACTTACACAAGCTTGACCACATTTCCTACATTTGGGTCGGAAGCCCATGGTTACTCTGACTGGGCTCGCCATTTTTATTTTTAATCATTGTTTTAATATCTCATGTGGCTCTGCGGACTCATGGAGGGCTGGCGTTATTTGTGATCTGGGCTATGCATGGGAACCCAAACTTTCTTTAGATCTTTGTAACTGTGCTATATTATGCTTTTATTCTTTCTTTCTTCCTTTCTTTTCTTTCTTTTTTTGTTTCTGCCATGGGTATCGGGTTACCATTTAGAGGTTGATGGCACATCTTGCGGGTACGGAAAGCAAAGCAAGCAATAGGGGGTTAATCATTGGGTTTTCTGGAGGAAGGTGGTTTTGATCAGCGAGAAAACGTGGATGTGTCGATAAAAAAGCGGTTCATTTATTAAATGCTTTGCTACATTAGATCAACTGCCTTGGTAGATGTATAAATGGGAGTTGCAAGTGGATGACTCCTGTTATGTGTTATTGTCTCTGTGAAGAGTATTCCTTGGGTCTTTGGACCGTGATGTATGAATAATTCAGAATACCTCGAGGTTCAGTTTGTCTTTTTCATTTCCTGATATCTTGACTGTTTGGTCCAAACCATTCTGCGTTACGATATCTTCAAGGTTGAGATGACAGAGTTGGACGATCAGATGCTCATGTAATGACGAAGCCACCCCCTTTATTTTCATCTCAATAACTCCTACACCATCGCTCTATGAACACCATGTCCTCAGCTATATGATTCATGTTCTCCTGGCCGTATGATTCATGCTCTCCGGGCCGTATGTCTCAGCCTCGTTCTCTAGAAGAAAAATAAAACCTTAAGTACTCATACATCACTAATCCGTATCCTCATCAACATAATATCCGCATATATGCTTTGTAACGCTCAATATAATTAGGAGCATAGCCCCGTCCTTCCCTTCGGCTATACAAACGAAAGAAGCTGCTCCAAAGTCCGCTCTCGCCTATCTTTAACACGAAGCAAAGAAGCGAGCAAGACCTGAGACACTGGGTGAATTACTAATTATACTCTGACCTGGATTATTTTGTCGAAAGTGGCAAACAAAATACTACTGCCACGAGACCATCCTTGACTCGGTCACCCTGTATTAAAATAACTGAGCTTATTTCCACAGACGAAGCTTCTAGCGAATATATACTATATATGGGAATATACTATATATGGGAACGTGGAAATATAGCTGGTGTTGTGACACGCAATAGGCATCACGCTAACATAGCTGTGACGTCCATCCTTAACGAGAAAACGGTGATTCATCTTCATTCTGGCGGTGTCGACGCCGTTGGCTTACAAGGGGCATACAATCGGATATCTCTCTTCACCCCTTTTACTAGTAGCAGGTCATCTGAGCTGGCAAGGCAACGTGAACACGCAACATGCAAAAGACAGCTCACAAAGCCCTATCCAGGCACACTGCACACTCCCCCAACGTGCCACAGTCACGAGAGACGTAGCGGAGATGAGAAAATAGCTGTCAGTGTCAGCAGGGCTGTTGCATGTTCCGGGGAGAGTCCACGATGCCGTCAGTTGGTAGTTTCTCGCTTGACAGGACCAGGATGCCCCTAGAGATATCCATCGCAGAATGGGGGAGATCCAACGTGGCTGAGCCTCTTTGGTACACAAATAACGGCGATATGGAGTCACTGGCTCCGTCCTCCCTACTGACAGCAGCGTTGTGAGAGCAGACAGGCACCGTTCATTGGAGCAGATGCCCATTGGGACTCCAGGGAGCTGGGGGGCGTGAGGCTGCACGAGACAGGACGAAAGATCCTGGCGCCAGGCGGCCGGGCAAAGCGAGATTGGCTTTCTTGATCAGAAAAAGAGACGCCACCAGGGGGATCCTCAATCCATATCAGGACTGCACCAGTAATGCTATACTGAGTAGTGAACCAGTAATTGTGCCAGCAGTAATAGCATTGCCCTCGACAAAGCCGGTCCAGGTCCTCCGTGCATGTCGTAAGACTTCCTTTTTAGACCAAAGGATCCCGTGTCTTTGCTTGACCGGGGGTCGAGATGAAGTCCTACCACAAAAGGGCGTGTGCAGCGCCTTTCCCGTGCATCCATTGATTAGCAGTCTGAGGGATGGACAAAACAGGAGTCCAGCATCGCAAAGTCACGAGATATCAAGGTAATTATTCAACTTTATGCTTGTGCTTGACCAGCGCCATTCTGGTCGGCTTTTCCCCTTAGCACGTATCACGGTGATTAATGGGAGCAGGGGTCCCCCAAGGCAGGTAGCAGTACAAGCACCAAGGGTAACGGAACTGCGCATTACAGCTGGTTTGCACTCGCACGTTGCGACGGTTGGCATAGCTGAGCGGTACAAGCACGAGTATTCAGTAATTCATCCAGCTTCCGTGGCGTCCGCAATCGAGATTTCGACGACAAGGGGGCGCTCAGGAGAGAATTGCAGGTACGGAGAAACGGGGCGTCTCGTGTCGTCAATCGCAGTCGGAGCAGCTGCTCAAAGCGGGAACAGGCGAGCTCGGAGACGAGTCCTTTGATTGCACAGCACTTTGATACGCCCGTGCCAGTTCCCTGCTTATTAGCCGCAGATGCGGGCAGAAGCGAAGGGGGCCGTCTATACTGGTACAGTACTCGTACTTGTGCCAATATGCAGGTGGGACGCAAGTCAGTAACATGGCTCGTAAAAATACGGAATCATCAGTGGCAGTCGACGCATCCAATGCCCCAGGCGTGATTGCAATATCCTGTGCTGGCAGATCCATCAGGAGAGAGGCTTGGGGCCAAGGGTGACAGATTGCTTGTTTGCCATCAGTTCTCAACACAATGGAATGCTGGGCCATCGAGACAAGTCTTGTTGCCTTCTGCAGCTCTGTACCCAGCGTCTCCGTATCCGAAATGAAGACGGGGTGTGGAGAAGCCAAGTCCCAGCAAATTGGCCGGGGTGTTATGTCATAATGCCAGAATAGGAAACATGCATCAATTACGGTGCTGGTGCGAGTACGCTCGATCAGCCTGTGTGGTACAATGCTCAAGTTTGCTGCATCCTTCTTGAGGGTGTTGTCAGTCAGTCGCCGAACACGGAGCACTCTGTGTGCACAAAACAAAAGGCACGAACACGGCATGGGATTGAATCATTTCAGGTACCGCCTTCGTTGGTTAGCCACAGCTCGTACCTGTCGAGTCCAGTGGCCGGCCTGGCTAGCTTTGAATTCTACTTCTCGCGGAGAACCTGCGACTGGCTGACGCCAACGAGGCCAACACTAGTGACCCCCTGGATCTGACGGCAAAATTGGCGTGGCAAAGCTGCCCCCAAAGCTACTTAGAAACTCCAGCGGGCGACTTCGCAATCCGCTTCCTCAGATCGGATCTGGGATCGCACGGGGGCTGCTGTGACAAGGCAGAGCACGCAATGTAGCAGCCGGTTTGGGAAGCTCGAGAAAAGTCGGTATAGGGGCGGAGTTGCATATCTCGATGCAGCCGCATTCTCACATCACCAACTGCAGCTGCGGCTGCGGCATCCCGCCGGTTGGCCCCTTCTGCGCTGCTAAAAGGACCATGACAGTCCCTCAGCTGAAAGAGGCTTTATTTGAGGGCGCAATGTGTGGAATCGAGTACCGCCGACAAGCAAGTGGTATGATTTGTTCGGTCTTGTTTCGAGACGATCCCCGCAAGCTTGCCAGAGCTCAGCTGAAATCTAGCCTTATCTGACTGGTGGCGTTGTGGCTAATTCATGCAGTAAAGCAGCCATGGATGGGCGAAAGTACCAGTACGTTTCTCCATGCGGCTTCTTTATCGTCGATAGGAGCTCTCATAGGTTGAACCAGCTGACGCCGAGCCTGTGCATGCCTAACCACTGGCAAATGCAACATTGCCTCAGAAGGACGACATCCCAGGGGCATGGCCTCAACGAGGGAGTCCGGCCTGAGCGATTGGCGCATCGAGCATCGAATTGATTGATAGGCATTGCACCATCTTTTTTATGCCATCATGCAGAGCTTCGGAGGGAGCATTAGCGAGATCAACAGGACCAGCACGGGGTGGTATTCCATCGCCAAAAGCAACTTCTCCAACGACCGGCAAGGCTCAGAGAACCGCCTATCTGGCCGTATCTGAGACGACGGCGTTCCGCATGGCCCGAGAGCGGTTCCCGACAGGGCAGATCGATGCCAACAGCACGGTTAGAAGCACCGAAAGTGCATTGGAGCCTCAATCGCCGGTGTTTGTAAGGTTGAAGTTTTGCCAGCTGTGGTTTTTTCACCGTAACTCTTTTTTTTTTTTCCATAGTCATGCCTAGACTCGGCAAGCTGCGGATACCGCCTTCCTTTGTTGGCTGGTTCCAGTACGGCAGGTACGGAGCACCACTCTGGGCTCCGTAAATTTCCAGAGCAAAGACGCAAACTTTCTAGCACACTTTAAAGCACAAAGTACCTTTACATACTAGCATGTACTCCGTAGTACTATCTCCATGCCGTGCTCGAATCTGCTCCCTCACATGCGTCAACGATTTTTTCTTCTTCTCGGCTCCTCCTTTCTCCATTCAGTACGTCTGGACCGAGACTCGGGCCACGATCTGCCAATTGGCGGAGCTAGACGGAGTATGGCATAGCGCCAATTGCTCAGAGTAGCTGAGCTTGCGCAATTGGCTCTCATCACAAGGATTCAGCCCTCCCTCTGGCTGTTCAGCTTCATTGATATTGCGAGGTGGTGTCTACTAACAATACAATACCCAGCACAGGAGCTTTCGGTATCAAAGACCCTCTTCAACACTGAATTTATCAAATGCCATTGGAAGAAGTGCTAAAAAATGTGGTGGATTCAGATGCTCCATGGCGTCTGTCGTTGACTAGACGTCATTCCGGGCTGACTAGTCAGCTCCTCAACCGATCTCGCCCCAGCAGGGTCCAGCAAAAAAGCCTTTTTATTGATAAGTCATGCTTCGTTGCGTTCGATTGGGAGCAAAGCGACATCGCCGAAGCCCGAGAAGACACGCCAGATTTGTGCAGCTATCACAGGTTCTCCGCAGTGGTTGGACGCCTTCAAGCACATACGACGGAAACTGGGCTTGACGTGACAAGGAACAGGCCTCAACGCTCTTAGACTCCAGCTTGGAACCAGGATATGTTCTTCCCGAAGCCCCACGCTCCTCGACGCTACGAAATCGGAACGTCTTGGAGTATCCAATAGCCGCCGCCTCGGCCGTGGCGATTTCGCGTTCATGTTCATCTCTTGTAGGGGCCATATCCTTGCTTGTGACAGTTGGCGTACAAGTATCTTTGATGTTACTGAGGAACCCTGTGTGTTGGTACACACGTGAGCTCGTGACAGCTTGTCATCTTTGTCTTCCTCTTCCCCACAGGCCAGAGCTGGAAATATCCTAGCCTGACCAGTACAGTTGGTGCTAGACCACAAGTATGAAAAGTCTCGTCAAGTCGCCGACTATGGGCGTATTGAGCCGTGGCCCAAGGTGGGACTGCTACATACGAGCAGGCACTTCTGTGTCGTGTTAGGAAGCTATATCACTACTGCACGTACATACGGTGTGACGTTGAGTCGACCTACATGTATGGCTGCGTTCACCATACCGCCTGAATCCTTTGGCATTATTCACGCTGATGCAACTGACTGTCATCCCCTACACATGCCCAGCCAGCCTGCTTGTACGAGTACGTCGTACAGGTAATCAGCACCGTCTCCAACATGCTCAATTGCCTTTCCGATGCAAGACCGCCCGTTGGCCAAGACTCACACAGACGCTCAGCCCCACGCAACTAGAGCCTTGATCCGAGATTCCAGTCCAATGGCGCCCCTGGCGTACCACGCCTCTGCATACAGAAACCCCAGCCAGTGCTCCGTAGAGGGGCAGACGCGACGCAGTAGCACATGGCCGCGCCTCGAATCAGCCGTCAGCTAATTGGCAGATGCTGTATGCAAAGAAATAAGCAAGGAAAGGCCGGCATGCTACGTGCATATCACTGCCTGTGCCAGTATGTACGAATATGCGCCAGCGAGGCACCCGCAACAAGCCGGGCTCCATTCAAGCACCGTGATCTCAGCCCGACGTACATTTGGAGGGGCGCTGCTGCGAACCACGGCAGAACCTCCGTGATTGGAAAAGAGAAAAATGGAATATGAGGGGAGGCAGCAAGCGTTGAGTGGCTTTTGTTCGATGCACGGAGTACACACGGCATACTTACATATGCTCCGGTGAGAGCTTTCATATTAACAGACGAATCAGACTCTCAAAGGGTCTAAAGTTGGATGGACGGAAAGGCTTATTCCAACGCACAGTCTACAGAGAGACATGCACATGTGTGATACGGCGCAGACACCGACGGAGTGCCGGCCACCGCCGGACTTGAGACGTGGCTGAACGGTATCCGGCGCTCCGGCTATTTGCTCGGAGTTGCCTGGCCCCGGAGACCGGAGGTGCCTAATTTGTGTGTGCTGCAGACATCAATGTGAGCCAATCTCTGCTAGTTATTTGCATTGTCGCGTTGCTAATCAGTGTGAAAGCGTGTCGTGGCGGCGACTACTGTGATCGGTAATGTGCAGCCAAGCTATGTGCCGGCTTGTTGCAAGCGACATGCTACGGGATTCCGGGCCTAATCGTCCCCTACCCAGCTACGAGTATGTGCCACTTGATGCTCGTACGAGGACAATGCTGAGCTACTGTATGGAGCACACGCGCGCCTACTAGCAGGCACCGCTCACTGCGCGGTAGGACCGCCGTCTTGCCACCGAGTCTGGCGGCTGCTACGTGAGACTATCGCGTAGCCATGGATGATGTTAGGCGGAAGCCGACGGTATCTTGTGTCGGAATCGTGCCTCTCCAGCCAGTAACCGAAAGACAAATCAACGGGCAACGCTTTAGGCATTCGCCGAATCCAGCACTGCGTCCGCTCTGGATGCAGCGGTCAAGCCCACTCTGCATCTGTGTCCGCAATTCATCCTAATTTTCAACGACCCTGTCGGCCTGGTGTGTAAGTACCTGTAAGCTGCTGGCGGTGAATGCTGCATATTACTAGACGCCAGGGTAAAAGCTGTCACGATGCATTAGCATTCGTGGCCTTACAGAAAAAATTATATTGCTTTTTTCTTTTCTTTTTTTTTTCCACCGCGGAAACCGCTCTTGAATAGTGCAAACTGGTCCCCTCCAATCGGCAAGTGAAGTTTTTTTTCTTCTTGTCCCCTCCACAGGATTACGGGGTCAATATGGATGCTTCGGAAAGGCCCTTTTTTTTGGCCTCCACAAACCACAAAGCAGCCACTCGAGTGCTTATTCATGATGCCATTTTCTGCATCTATCAAAGACAGTGCAAGGGGACTTGCATATTGCCGCAGCACTCACACTTCGCTAATAGGATAGACTGACAGAGGGCCCGCATGATTGGAGCACTGGCAAAAGGCAATTGAACGCCACGAGATTCTTTTTTCGTGGCCAAGTCCTGCAGTCACGTATACTGTGCATCCTTTGGGTGCATCTGCTGCAGGTTCCGGCAATGTACGAAATAGCCCCATGAGCGCGGATATGGAGACGCGTCTGCGGCGTGTTCCCATTTGCTCGTTTTTTTCTTCGCCATTTTGACGTGCTGCATGCTCCGTCTCGACGCCTCTTTTTGGCGTCCGCTGCAATGGCGCGAACTAAGTACGGGGTACATCGTGCCCGAACCGACTACATGCTGGCACGACTAAGAACTGTACCCGTACTAGCACTTGGTAGCAGCAGCAAGCTTGTGAGGACGAGCGTTTGACGCCCCCCCTCCGAGCATACCTGTCTAGACTCCATACGATACTCGCACTCCGTAGTGCATCAGTCCGGAGCACGGGAAGCTCTAGGTGGTTGATTCGCAGTCTTAGACCCGATGAGGCGGATAACAAGCCCCAGAGACTAGCAGTTTCTCTGATACCGCGGCGGACACAGGTTTGTATAGCCAAGGTCGTGCTAGCAGGCCTCCACTAGGTGGTTTGAAGGATTTTTGCGTTCAATGCGTGCAGTATGAGATCCAGCAAGAGCATGATGAGCTCTACAACTTTAAATCAATACACACACGCCATCATCAAGCTCCAGAGAGAAAGAAGAAAAGAAGAAGAAAAAAAACCACCCGCCGCACAAAAGAGAACGGGCATTAAGCCTTTCCCCACCGCGTTTAAAGCAGACGCCACAAAGAGCTCCGAAAAGCACCAAAGAAAAAAAAACGGAGAAGTTGTTTCCTTTTTGGGAGAGCTCTTCAGCCTCGTTTCGTCCTTACAATTTGACCATGCCGAATGAGGAATGCTTCTAGAACGGAGAGAAGCATTTAGTTCCAAAGTACAACTTTGTGACGTTTTAGTGCACAGGCTTGTGCTATGAATAGTTCCGATTTAAGCATTAGTGCTGGCATTAAGTAGAACAAAAGCCGTTGCTGTGTTTTAGATAATTACCTGTATCCTGCAGTATAAAATTGTGTAGACTTTTACGAATATCATAAAATGGAAGATGCACCGCTATGAAGGCTGTAAAAATCTTTTTTGTCGTACGTCAGGGTACATGTCAGTATGGCCCCAATCCGTCACCCAACGCTCAGCCAAGAGCCAAGAAAAAGAAAGAATTTGCATCCTCCAGACAACCAAGTGCCGCAATACCCACAAACTTTGTCATCCATTCAACGGTTTTTTTTTTTTTTTTTTTTTTTCTTTCTTCTTCCCTTTTTCGCCATTTGCTGCAGGAGTAGCGTCGGTTTTTCGGCTCGTTCATTAGACAACCGTACGGAGGGGTTTCTGCTATGGAGCTGCTTAGGTAGGTTTTTTCCCTGCGCTTTGCACGGGCCTCCAGTGGACGCCCACTGCACCCCTCGACTGGGGCTTCTCGCATTTCGGCATAATACCGTACAGACTATGTACGAGTAGCTTCAAAGCACTAAGAGCCATCCACCACGCGCCATCAATTGCAAGGGCATCCATCCATCCACTGCCGAGAGGTAGAGTAAAGACAAAAAGACGAAGAAAAAAATTCTATTCACCCCTCACTTGAAGAGTTTCATTTTCCACTTTAAAAGCTTGTCGGTGATGGGTTCTAACTTCTCCCTACCGCAGGTTCTGCAGGAGGCTAAGCACATATGCATGTGTAACAATTTGGGTAAAGTGCTTGCATCTACACTCCCTTCTGAACGCAAGGTACAAATCTTCATGACACCACGCCTCTTTTTATCATTTTTTTTTTTCTCTACCAGTAAAGAGGAGTGATACTACTAGTAATCTAATCTACATGTTTGCACCCCTACTAACAATCACCAATGGCTTCTTCATTGGCACCATACGTACACTCGGCACCAACCATTCAAAATACGTTGCACAATGCCTTAGACCGCCGCCCAGGCAGGCAAACACAACGGATTGAGGGCGACAGATACCCGAAACTAGGTAGCAAGTTGAGACAAAATTACACTTCCCCGGGCCCAGGGTGATTTAAAAAAAGAAGAAACAAGAACAAAGGGAACCAAAGAGCGGCAGTGTCTTGTCTCCTTGCTTTGCGAATCGTTTGATATGTGAGGTCTTATACCAAACAGAATTTCCTTTGAAACGCACAAGGTCTCGCGGAACGCAAGGCTATCCCTCCCCGCGAGTCGACACAGCCTCGTTTTTGGAACGCAGTCTTGATGCTCTGCTGGGCCTATGATGTAAGGGGGACGAGTATTTGCACTGAGTAATACAATATTTGCATCGACAAAGCACGGGGTAGAAATGACGAATATCTCTCCCGCGGATCCGACTGCAGTACGAGTGCACGTCAAAAAGCGATGCAGTTCGTCCGGACGGTGGAGCCATACTGCTGGTACGGAAAACCGGGTTCTTGGCTACCTGTAGATACTGTACAGTACATTCTGTATATCAGTCGAAATGCAGCTTGAAGATTCTTCCACTGCGATTGACCAGTGAGGAGCTCCTCTCTGCATCTTCTCCAATGGATCTGCGAGCTTTCAGTGGTGCTCCGATACTTGCTACTGCTAGCAAAAAAGCGTCGGGCGAACTCCCCCACCCTACTAAGCTATCCGCATGTGGCTTGTACTGTAATACTTTGGAGGGTGTTGGTCCAGCAAAAACCGGCCCTCGCTCCAGTCAATGCAATTCCATCACGAGAATAACTCACCTCATAGCAAAAGTTGAATGCACAAAAGGGAGTGAATCTTGTCTTTACAAAATACGAAAAGACAATGATCGACACAGCCTCATCGCAATTACCGGCAGCAAACGTGGCAAAAGAGCTCCTCATTTCGACCCGGCAATTGCATGAGACCTCGCCTTGCTTTATTTCAAACAAAGGGCCTTGCTCTCCCTACACCCGCGTAACACGAACGGCATGTTAGGCGATATTTGAAGAGTCGCAGTTTACGAGCGCACGTAATATCCAATCGAATGCGCCGCCATACAGGCCTAGTTCGAATCTTGAGATAGATCTTCTCGGCCCAAAGGGAAGGGCATTGTGTACGTGAAACCAGAGGGAGGTGTCGAAACAAGTTCTGCCTTGGCCTTTTGGGACGGGCAAAACCTCCGACGCGGCGCCGCTCTTTGAGTTGGAAGTTAGCAGGAGGTAGTATTAGTCAAATACGGCGGCTTCAGAAGAGGCCAATAGTGAAATGAAGCCACCAAGCCCCATGCCCATGCTATCGAGTCTGGTGGCTTTTTCCCGCCCAACTTGCTCCCTTCTTTATCTAGCTGCTGTGAAGGATCAACCTTGGGGGAGAGAGAGGACTGGGTTCAAGGTTGGTTAGACGTGCGAAATTTGCAGCGCTCGGCTCGTCCTTGCTTTAAAAAGGCCCATTGCCTGAAGCGGATATTCTGATCGTCGTAAAGTCAAATTTCGGACGGACCACTTGTTCCCCGCGAGACAAACGGGGTCTGGTTTCAGCGGACGGCCTTTGTTGCTGATCCAAACGTGAACCACAGCTGATTTGCCCTTTTGATGATGTTCTTGATGGTATCGATTATCTTGCGTCAAACAGCTGCCTATTGAGATCTCTGCACCAGAAAAAGGGCGTGTACATGGAGATGCAATGCGCGTCAGCTCTGGATGCGCTGCCGTCCGTCGCAATGCACGACGTGATTGGGGACGCCGTCTGCCGAAAGCGCGAGATTGGGATGACCGATGTTCCAATATGGCATCATCCAGCAACGTCAGATTGCCACTGCGCTCCGCGTTGGTTCGTCGTGTTCCTGAGGTCCACTCTCTCTCTCCGTCTCTCTCTTTCACCCGTAAACTCCCAGGCGTCGAGCGAGTGAGGGGTAAGACGAGAAAAGGCATGGCATCGAATCCTCCCCCTCCAAGCGATTACCTAGCATTGCAGACTCAGCCTGAAATGGACGTAGTTGAGCCTCCAAGATTTGAACGGGACTGGGGAGGAAGCGGAAAATGCTACTCTCTCCACCCAGCCCTACTACCTTCGAGGCCCCGTCTCCAAATCTCAAATCAAATCACAGCGCAGGAAAAAGACATTGTAGTGCTGATGCGAAGCAAATGGGCGTGGGGTGGGTTTGGGATTTTGGGGTTTCATTTGATCCGGAAGGAAAGTCGCGTTGGCGCGTTTAATTGGGCGAGGCCCGGAGATGCGCGCGTTGAGCATTGATTAAATCTCACACCAAACAAGCAAAGAGAAGAGAGAAAAAGGACGCGCCCGCCCCCCCTCGAGTCTTTTGACTGCAAAGGCCCATCGCGTTTGCCTTTTCGATGGCGTGCGAAGCCGTCGATCTGTGGCTTTTGGTGTCGGCCGTGTTTTCCCTCCTGGGAAGCCCAGTCGTGAGAAAGCCAGTCTCACTTGCGTGACACCCGCGGTTTGTTAGTGGAAAATCGGAGAGTAAGCGAAATCTGCAAAACGCCCATTCATCCAGCAAATAGGCGAGAGGATGTTCTAAATACGGCGCTGTTGAAGATGCAGGCCCCAAAATTGGAACACCTCGAGCACCTGTGTGCATCAACATGCAGCGGATCTCATGCTAGCCGGCTCAAATCGTCATCTTGCCTGGCCGTCTCCCTCAATAGAATTCGTTGGATTGTTGCATTGCATTGAATGTTCTCCCATTCCGCTGTGTGCTCGGATTCGGTTTGCAGGGATATGGCATCCTGAAGGGCAGCGATAAAGAGGCAAAAAAAAAAAAAAAAAAAAACTGTGTATCCCATGCTTGGAATGACAGGCAAAAGCCTCCAATTTCGATACCATTCCCGTGCCTGACCAAACCTTGATCGAGGGATGCATGTAACAGCTTTTTCTCTCTCATATGATTCATCTTGTTTCGAGGCAAATGTAGGGACGACCTGTGACTGTGTCAGATACTTGCCATGACATTGGACCGTAATCTATCAGTTATCCCCGAGTCTCAGACCATTGAAGCTTCGTCAGAAAAAGGCCAGGACCCAAGGCATGGGTATCCCGACTTAGAGTTTAGGAAGCTCAGACGATGCGCCCTGTCCCACTGTTTCCGCCCATGCATGTGCGAATACAGGCAGCACATGTAAAAAGTAAGAGCTCATTATGCTATGGAAACACCACGTAATACTCTAGATATATTGAAGAGCCCCAATAGGTCAATACTTGTAGTTGGTCTGGTGATTTGCATCTGATTCGGGTCTGATTTGCATCTCGGTGGCAGCGACATCACCCGTTTTGACACATGCGAATAAGCTGAGAGGCGTCCTCATGGATTCTCATACAGGCACTCCGTGCTATTGCTATTGCATGTCCATATTACTGCGTCCCGCTGACTACTCCGTACTTGGCCCAAGTAGGAGCTCGTACCTGCTAATTCATGCACGGTGTTTGCATTCGCGGGGAGATTAAGACGAGCCCGGCTTTTATTCTTGGGTTGTTGGCGTGCTCGTTGGCTGGTGCGGGGTGTGATCTAACCTGCCAGGGCCTCGGGCTAGTAGTCTTTGCTGGACTCCATGGCTTTAGCAACTCAGCAAATCCATTACATGTAGCCTGATGAGCGCAGTTTCATAAAGGCCGGCCCCTGTGTCTGCTCCTTGCTGGCAGGCGAGGATTCCCGGTACGCCGGCCCTTATATTACGACGGGCCAGATTTAGAAACAGGTCTTGCAAGGGAAATCTGCAACATTTCGTCTCCTTGCCGCGACACTCCGTATAGCCAAGTACAGGCCACCACCACGGCTCTGAGCCTGTCCAGCCCTATCACCCAGCTTCAGATCCATCACGCTAAAGCCCAGACTGACTCCTTCGGGCTTGATTGAACAACGAAACTTGAACTTCTCAACGAAGCACCTCTGGCACCCCATCCAAGGCATCTCCAAGGCACATGAAGTAAGTACTCAGGTACTAAGCCTGTCCAGGTGCAGGTACCTGCGTTTTACAGTTTGCGGGCGTTGCGCTCGGTCCAACTTACATGCCAGTACTCGCGCATGGAGGCAAACAAGCGTCAGGAACCTGCCCTGACAAATATGCTCTGTAACAAAGTCTAATCGCTGGTACCTTGCGAACGTGATCCAACGCCTCAACTTTGTTTCTGTGTAAGATAAGAAATCGTGTGGTGTCGTGCATGTCTTGGCCGTTCTTGTTCCTGTCAAGACGGGACAAGCTATTGAAGTGAACAGGTACTTGTACATGTAATCGTACAGTATTAGCGCTCTTCTTGCAGTCAATCATTACTCGATCTGGGAGACATCCGCTGCTTGCTTTTGCTCCTCTCGGGGCGATGCATTTACGGGCTCGGCTATGATGTAACTGATGAACAAAATTCGGCGAAGCTGTCGATTGGCGGTCTGCTTTGGCACCGCGCCCAATCCAGCCCGGATAGGAGCTGATTGTCTGGCGGGATTCGAAGAAGGTGACGATTCAATTGCAACAGCACGGCCCCCAAGAGGCAGCCTCCCACAGTCCGGCAGGCCGGATTGATTGGTGAGAGGGATTCATGACATTAATTGAATGGATTCCCGACAGTCGTGCAGAAAAGCGCGTCTGGACCGAGTGATTGGCTGGACACGATGCCTTGGTGGCGGCCCGGTCGAAGCGTTCGTCGCAGCACTGCAACCACTAATCGTCCACTAAATCTGTGCCCTGAGCGCGAGGCCGCTTCGACGGTTCAATTGTTTGCAATCAAATCAAACAGGCCAGCTCCATAGTTGCTTGGACGGGCTGGGCTGGGCTGTGCTCATAAGGGCATGCCGAGTGGCGCTATCGACAGAATACGGGGTATGGATACCGTGATGGACGCTATTACCAGTAGCAGCGTTGATGGTGCTGTTTCGACTGATGACTGGATTGACTGGTTCTGGATGTGCTCACACGACGATTGCTGCCTTGTGAATGGCATGTTCACGCAGTTGATCATAGGTCGGCAGCATCAACATCCTCAGACTTTCTCATGCAGACTAATATGATAGTCAACTGCAGTCGAGAGGGAGCAAATGCGCGGTCAAGACGCATCTTGAAGCATCGGCGATCAAATCACCAGTGAGCTACAGGGGCCGCACTAGGCAGCATCTCCGCATTTTCTGAAAGTGGCATCCGCCGACTGCACTTGTGATGCCGTTCGCTGCCCTTTTCTGATATCCATGGGATGCCAAAGGCGCATCAGTGCCACTCAGCTTCAGGCACAACCGCCTCTTGTCTCTTCTGTCACGTCCAGATACGGGTCCATTTGGGAAGCGCGTGTCTTTTTGCGTCTGACGCATCACGGATCATGGATCATCTTCCAATCCCACTTGGCGCGAGCTCGGGGAAGCTGGAAATTTGACAGGGCCAACATGCAGCACCACGGGGGTCGTGTTCTTAGAAGGCCCGGACACGTTCCATTAGACATTCCATAATAAGCGAAGCTTGCTCAAGAGATCCTGGACACGTCTATCGGTGTGCAAACGGCTGATGCTTTGCACGGGCTGTTTCTCCGCCAAAGACTGGCCACGTGCAAACCTCATTTCACGTCTTGAAGTTGAATGTTTTATAGACATCCGATTTTTGATAGTACCTGCTCGTACCTTGAATTTGACGGAGGTGTGCGGGCAACATGCGGCCTCAGCTAGCAAAAGTAAAAAGCTCGGTACGAAATAGTCGTCGTTAAGCTTTCGCAGCTTCTGTCAGAGTGCCTGGACATTTTGCCGCTTGTACCTGCAACGTACATACGGTAGGAGTTGGATGGATGGGCCATCGGCTGCCACAAGCTCTTTTCCTGTCACGCGCAAGATGGAAATGGGTCTCTGACCTGGCAGACGGAGTGAGGCCCGATTCAGGGCCCAAAACAAACAACAGCAAGGCCCAATATCATGACCGGAATAATAAATAATACTTGCACATGTCAACATCAACAAGAGGCTTCGACATCAGGCCGCCCGTACGACGACCTATGAGCTGGAAGACTTGATATTGTAGACACACAGCGGCCGAGTCGGCGACCACTCACCGTCTTGGAGGCCCAGCAACGAATGCAGGCAAAGTCATGACGATGTTATACATTGGTGTCAGTGCCGATTCAGTCTGCTTTAGGCGGTGCACAAGCCACAATTGCACCAAATATCTGGCCTTGGCGCGCTTTAGATGTGAGTGGGATATGTAATGAATGCATATGCATGAGGCACTACTCCGCATTGGAGGCGACAGGGGTGGTTCTTATCCGAAGAGCGAGTACAGGAACAAGCACTTTTTAACGTTGAGGCTATTGCGCATTTGCTGCTGGTAGTGGTGGTGGTGTTTGCTGTTGCATGTACTCCGTACAGAGCACCAGCCCATTTGAGTGATCCGATTGATCTCACATCTCAGCAGACGGACGACGCCGTACGCAAGTCTTGCCTTGCCTCGCCAGGCACCAGCACCGCCGCAAATAAGAAAAAAAAAAAAAGGAAAAAGGAAAACATTGGACGGAGGGACGTTAATTGCCCAGTGCTGCTCATCACCAACATCAAACCGCTCCGTCGCCGAATCCAGGCCGAATCCCTGCTTGCCCGTGGAACTGCCACTTGGATTGGAGAGCAGAAAAAAAGGGGGTTTCCGGGCGCCAAATCTCAGAGCGCACAGCACTTGTGGCCATTTCTCGTACCACGGCCCTCGTCAGCAGCGACACCGCCTTTGTCAGGACGCACGCACGCACGATTTGATTGATGGGGATGGGAGCAATCAAACGACTGCAGAAGAAATTGGCTGTGCAGCGCTGGATAATACCGTACTGTCCTCGTACAGACAGACCTACCTGCCTTGCCTAGTACTAAGGTAGGGAGGAAATTGTGTGCGCTCGTGAAAAAGACAAGTACATACAAGTATTGATATTCACTGTTCACCCAAACCCAGCGGAAACAGGCTATTGGAGACTGTCTCGTTTGGCATTGTGTTGTTTTGGAACCGCCTTGCCTCGTCGATGCACTTCCTAATTTGCTGCAGAATAGGTATAAGCTGCGTGCACAAGTATTTAGGCGGTATTGTGAGGATTATCCCCCTATCATCTTCGTTTTGTGCAGACTCGGGGGGTGTTTGTTGTGTTGTTGTGCGCGTCCACGGAGTATTGATTGTCCCCTCGCATTATTCGACCTTAACTCGCAAACACGACCCCGACGCACACACGTCCCCCGTACCGCATCCACGGATACAACACGCATCGCATCGCATCGCATCGCATCACAGCCCAGCCCAGCGTTTGAAATGTTATGTAAACAATTACGATACAACCGCCAAACTCGACTCGTCCATAGCGAAAAAGTCTCCATGTCCCATCTCGCAACGGCACCCCCCTCCCACTGCCTTAGCTTAGCACCTCCAGCAGCAACTGGACCACTAACAACCACTCGCAGCTACGCACCCCCTTCGGCCTGGCTGGCTCACTCCCCCTGTAGCCGTCCAGCCCACACCACTCTCTCTGGACGCGGTCACTTTCAGGCAAGGAAGATGGAAGAGCAAAAAAAGGCACAGGACTGCGAGAGCCACTGCACTGGGGGCCGCCGGCTGGGGCTCTGGAACCACTGAACCACTGAGGAGCCCAGCAAGGGCCAGGCCAGACCCGGACGCTTCCCAGGTTCCATGTTCCATGTTCCATGCTGCTTGCTGCTCCACGCTGCGAGCTACTGTGCTGTACTTTACGTACCAGGTACGGAGCACAGGTGTAGCCGCACCGGTACCGTCCTGCCCTGCGCTGGCTGTACTCGCTACCTCCCTCCGCGGGTACCTCTCCGTACCTATAGTACACGACAGGGGGTCGCGGTGCTGCTAGCAAGCTCACAAGTGCGCTGCTCCAAGCGTGGTACCTGTCTGCACGGGGCAAGTACTTGTACCGGGCGCATGTACCCAGTACCCAGCGCGCAGTACCTTAGTACAGTCCCGTACCGCTCAGCTCGTACCCTCCTCACCCGCTCCTCTCGCTGCGCTGTGCTGCTGCTGCTGCTGCTGTGCCTCTACCTACGGAGATTCCCTAGCTTTCGCATTACAGATTGGCCCTGTCCAGTTAAAACTACCTCTCCTCCAGTCCTCTCTCTTTTCTTCCTCCTCCTCCTACCTCTTATCCCACCTCTCTTCCTCCCCTCTCTCTCTCTTCCCTATCCACTCATTCCCTCATCCATTCCACCGCTTCCTCTGCCGACCCTTAGAGTAGGTCGATTCAGGAGTTTTGGCCTTGGACTGAGGAGAATCGAATCCCCCGACCGGCTACCGCTCGAAGACGAACCCCCTTCTTCTGCGGCCCTCTTATAAAGCAACCCAAGGAGAAGCTCCGAGACGGAAGAGAGAGGAGAGGAATAAAAGTGAATCAAGGACTGGTATTTTTTGTTTTATTCACTGGCATTCTTCTATTCTTTCTTGCTTCCTCGTTGTCTTTTTTGGTGCCTGCTTTTTTTTTTTCTCCGCCTGGCCCTTTTCTCGCCAGAATTCCTTACCTCTAGCGACAAGGAACTTCCTCAACTCCTGGCTCGCCAACCTTTTTTTTTTTTTCTTTTCTCGCCCTTTCGTTCTCCGGCCACTCACGAGACGATATCGAGAAGGATAGAAAGAAGGAAGAAGAAGATTTTTTCCGAGACTGCACATCGTAGACAGGCCCCAATTGCTTTGTCTCGATCAAATCGCCCGGTTTCGTTGTTGAAATCTGCAGGATCTGGTTGCTTGGTGGATCTGACTTCAGTTCCCCGTCACCTTATTCTCGCCCAGCTTCCGCTTTTAAAAGAGTCAGCCTCTTGACAATTTTTCCCACTCACCACCTCGTATGATTTAATCGTTACTTCCCACCGCCTTTCGGTGTCCTTCCAGGTTCAAGGTGTTCGAGTGTGACAAAAGGTAAGGGCTTTTTTTTTTCTTCTTTCGCTGCTTTGCTTTCTTTTCCCTTCTCTTCCTTCCATCAAATCAGCCTCGAGAATCGCCAGTATCCGCAGGCATAATCTAATATTCTGATGTGCGCTCCCTTCGACAGCTGCATACCCGAGCCCGCTCTCCGCATTCTCAGCATCTGCTCCACAGCTGTGCTCGACTATCATTCGGTGCATTGCTCTGCGGGAGACGTTAACTCGTTGATCCCGCCAATTGCCCGAGGTGTCTCATTGACTATCCTGTCACTGTCCCTTGTTTCCTCGTACGTGGCGGTAAGAGAGACCTCCCCCTGCTCGGTCCATCGCACCCTCGTGCCAATCCATCTTGCACCTCCATGCCAGCCAACCCCCCATTCAGTAAAGGGAGCGAGGCGGGTGGATTCATCCAGCTCAGGGGAAAGGCTTTTTCTGCGCCATATCATTTTCCGCCTCCATGTCTTGCGATGGCACTTCTATATCGGGCATTTTTGACTAACACCATTGGTTTTCTATTAGAGCTGTCGAGTCGGTCCCCTTGGTCGTCCTTGAACGGCGCCCCTTTTCCCCCGGTCCCTTTTGCGTTTTTCGATTGAATATCCAGTCTACATGCTCCCGGCTTTCTTCCCAGCCACAGTCACTCTTTTCCATTAGTTTTTTCACCACGCTCCTTAATATCTTAATATCTTAATTCCTAGGGTGGCATTCACTCCTTGATACACCCAAGGCTCGCTCTTTTTGTTTCAATAGTCTCTCCCACTCAAAGATTCCTGGAGAACTTGCCCGTCACTCTTTTAGACATATAATCATCACACCGACAAAAACTAATTTTCACCATCCTGTTCGCCAACCCCATCCGACATCATGGCCTACGCTCAGCCTGACGAACACTTCTTCATCGAGGATGAACCCCAGTCCAGTACCCGAGCCCGGGAAACCGCCAAGATGCTCGCGCGCAGTCGGCAAGACACCATTGCCTGCGAGCTCTCTCGTCTTGCGGGCGAAGAGTACCTGGGAGATATCATGACGCATATGCGACACATGGAGGCATGTTGACCTCCAAGCCTAGACGACGAACAAACTCAGCCTTGTTCCTCCGTCTTGTTCCTTTTTAAACCTGCTAACACTCAAACAGGAGGAGACTCTTCCCGATGCTAACCTCATCGACATGCAACGTGAGATCCAATGGTTTATGCGACCTTACCTCATCGACTTCCTCATCGAGGCCCACGCCGCCTTCGCCCTGCTGCCCGAGACGCTGTTCCTCACCGTCAACCTGCTGGACCGGTACTGCTCACGGCGTGTAGTATATAAGCAACACTACCAGCTCGTTGGGTGTGCCGCTCTCCTCATCGCGGCCAAGTACGGCGACAAGAAGGACCGTGTGCCTCAGATTCACGAACTCAACAACATGTGCTGCGGCCTATATGATGCTGGCATGTTCACCCAAATGGAGATGCACGTCCTCAACACCCTGGAATGGACCATCGGCCACCCCACTGTCGACTTCTTCACCCAGCTCATGGTTGCCGAGGAGCAGGACGACAAGGAGGTGGAGCACATGGCTGCCTACCTTTGCGAGATTGCCCTGTACCATCGCGATTTTGTTTCGACAAAGCCCTCGATGATGGCACGCTCCTCCTTGGCCTTGGCGAGAGCCATCCTTGGAAGACCCGAGGTCAACGACGGTGACTGGGACCACACCGAGAACCTGACGCTGTTGACTCTCTCTCAACACCTCAACCAGCCCTCGCCTACCCTGGCCCGCAAGTACTCTTCATCGTCCCTGTCCAAGGTTTCACAGAAGCTGGCCGACTTCATGGCCGAGCAGGCTGCGATGGCCAGGCGCCAGGCCGGCCCCCAGTCTCCTCCCGCCGAGCCTCCTTCAAGACACGCCGACATCTACAGCACTCCCCAGAAGGGCCATGGCCACGGCGCTGCTACCGGTTTCGACGGTTACCTGACGCCTCCCATTACTCCCGACAACGCCTACGGAAACACGGCCAAGGTGGACTCGTACCACCAACTGCCGCCCCGATGTCCCGTTACGCCAACCCCCCAGAGCCATTCTTCTTCATATCCCCAGCACGTGCAGCAGTACGCCGCTTTTGTGAACCAGCATGGAATCCACCAGCAATAGGAGCCTTGGTGGCGCATACGTTTGGCATAGTCGTCGATTAATTCAAGTACACCGCTTCTTCTCTCCCCTCTTGTCCATATTCGCTTATGGGTGGGAGGGGATGTTCATGTTTCAAACTTCGAGGTCATGGCTTTGGACTCACACCTCTTCCAAGCAATCACATTCAACCTGACAGTCACTCTCAGAATGATCTGTCTCATATCTACGTCATGGCATTTAGCGATTGATTTTAATCCCTTATTTTTCTAGTCTTTTTTATTCATTTATTTCGCAATCAAATTTTCAGCAAGTCTTCATGGCACCAAAAAAATGGAACGCGGATCATACCCAATTTTCCTCGAGTCGTTTTTTATTTCATTTTCAGTTTCTGCGCTTCTGGGCACTGTGTATGGTTTCCACGGGTATGGTACCATGCTTATCCAGGAGTTGCGGGGGCCCCCGATAGAAAAGGGGGTTCTATCTTTGTGGTGGATATAGTATTTGAGGGGATAGAGGAGTTGAAGGGGGAATTTGGCCAGCCTTGAGATGGGGGAACGGAAAGGAACACTAAAGAATGCAAAGTGGCCCCTGAAGAGAAAAAAGTCAAGGATACCACGGAGCGGAGGGGGACGCAAAGAAGCAGCCGAAAGTTTTTATTTTTTTTACTTTTTCACTCGACTTTCGGATCTAATCTCTACTTGGCATATGGGAGGAAACATGAGCCTTGCTGCAAGCAAGGCAATATTGGTGTATAATTCTTTCGAACAGCAGATGGGAAACGGCGGACGGAATAGCGCTCAGGCGCAGTGATACCCATCGCTCTCTTCCGGAAAGAAGGGATTGGACAGAGTGCTTTGCCGCCTATTTGGTCGATTGAAGGCGGCATTGAAAGGTGAAAGGTTAGCCTCTCAAATACCCCTCGGCCTGTACATATAAGGTAGTGCGAACAGGCACAAAAAAAAAGAAGTAAAAGTTCTTTGAAGCAGTGCGTGTGCTTTAGTGGTTCTTGGACAAGTGGTAGGCGCCTGTTTGGCCCATCTTGTATGTAACGTGGTACAGCTAGTTGTATGGTAATCTTTCTCGCCTGCACTGGCGAGTGATGACGAGAAGTCGTTTTGCTCCATGCTATGTAAAGTGGTGATGTTGATGCCATGGTTGATGCCAACTCCAACGCCAACTACCTAGTACCTATCTACAGTAAGCATGTAAGTTGAAACGATACTTAGTTGGTATCACAGGTGACAGAGGCTCTATCGTATTCCCCCCCAACACATCTCTCTTTCTCTCTACAGACTACAGACTTTAATCTCGGCGAATTTGGTGAGACTGACGCAGTCCGGGCCGTTGGTATGCGCCAAGAATGCGCAAGTTGGTGGATTTTGGTTTGATGGAAGGGCAAACTCGGGGGAATGTTTGTGAGAGAGGTTGACTAAGCTAGTCTACAAGCGGGAGGTGCAAAACGGTGTGTCATTTACAACTGCATACGAATATACAATGTATGCAGTGAGATAGATACCTTATGATTTGCCATTTGTGTTTTTTGGGTGTTGGGTTTGGAAGGGAGAGGACAAAGGAAGGAAGGGGAATTGTGTGAGGGTGAGTGTGTGATGGTTTTTTGGTGGTGGTTGGTTTTTCTTTTTCTTTTCTTTTGGAAGAAAATCGGTGAGGTTGGTGGTGAGTTTAGCTTTGAAAAAAGGGGCGAGGGAGAGGGAGGGACTCTGAGAGGTTGATTGATGGGAAGAGGTTGGTTGGTAGAACAAACAAAAGGAAGGCGAAATAGAAGAAAAAGAAGGTTGGGTTGCATGTGGGGGGTTCGTTAGTCGTAAAAGGAGGGCAAATATTGGAAACAAAAGGCAAACAAGAGAGATGCACGGGTGGTCATGAGATGAAACGAAACGAGGTTGGTTTTTTTTTTTGGGACGGGTTTGGAAAGGGCTTTCATGTTTGAGGTTTTTTTTTTTTTTTGTTTGCGTTTGAGGGGGGTTGTTTCTCTATGTAGGGGATGTATTGGGAACAAAGGAATGAG